CTGTTACACGGCGCGATCGGGGAAAATACGCGGCTGTCGAATCTCAGCCCTCTCCTTCGTTCATATGCATGCTAGCCGCAGTCGAATACGGTTCCCGGACACTTTCACAGGTAACCGTCGTCCCTCCCTGCCGGTCCGTCTTCCCGCCCCCCGCCGTCTAATTCTAGCACCATTTCTTCTCTCTCTCTTCTCTCGACTCTCGAGTATCGCTCTGCTGGATAGTTACCTACGTAGTTGTCCCCCACAATCGATGCGCTTGGACCATCATCCAGATTCCACAGGACTCGAGTTATTCATAGTACCAGACGGATGATCCCATATGCACGTCCATCCATCCCTACCTTTTCCACCACCACCACCGCCTCCAAGACCTCCACCTCCACCACTGACCACTAACCACCGACCATTGCACCAGATCTCCCCGCCCAGGATATAAATAACGGCCCGGAAAGAAAATCTTGGACCACCACCGACCGAACAAACTTTCCTTCCACTCTGGCGATATTGATTAGCTATGCATAGGTGGCTGCTAACTAGCGTACTGCGGGTGGCTAGAATATTATTAGAAACTCCCCCCGGACTGGGTAGTACGGTGGGTATGCAGGATACCACACGAGCGTGCTTGTTTGCCCCTCCCCTCCTCCCTCCCCCGCCAATATCCTCGCTCGCTCGCTTCCCCGCCAATCCGCTCGGGGGCTGTGTATGGGAGAGGGAGGGGAACATGTCTTCTGGATCATCTGGAAGGAAAAGGAAAAGAAAAAGCCAAGGCCGCACACGATGCCGCTGCATAACTTGCTCAACCTACATACATCTCCTGCGCGGCCAATCATGCACACTGGACTACCGCGAGACGGAAGAAACCATGCATGTGGCGAGGCGAGGGGGAGTTCAGCTTGTCTCGTTTCTCGACTCTGGACTCTCCGCCGTGGCCAGAGAATATCGGAGTGTATGCTTAGAGCTCCGCATCGATGTGTGTATGCTCATTGCTCTGCTCATTGCTCATTGTTCATTGCTCGTTGACAATTGACCATTGCTCAGTGCTCATTGGACCTTGAGTAGCGAGCAAATTCATCCCTTCGAATTCCCCCGATGACCTTGCTCGCCGACTGACGTAGTACGCAGCATTTCTCTTCCTTGAAGTTTGAACGCCATCCGCGTGCAGCAGCAGCAATAGCGCTAGAAAAGTTTGTTGACCCTGCCTGGAAGCGGACGGACGGACGGACTGATGGACGGACTAATGGACGGATGGTTCATTACCCAATGATGCCGCTCGTCCTTGGTGGGCTCCACCATTTCCACCTTTCTCATCGGTGAAAGCAATCACGAATAGGTCGCGTGGGGACCTCGATCGCAAGTTCGCAATGACGGATCCCCCTCGGCCGTTGCCATCGGAAAAGTGCACGCATTGCCTATGCTACCTATGCTACCTAGCCCCGTCAGTGGAAGAACGGAAGGAAGAGGGATGGGAGCACCGCATAACTACCCAACTATCCGCCGCCGCCGCTTTCCTGCTCCACCTCCTCCTCCATCATCCACACCCCTCTCCTGCATGTACGCTATCTATCTCAAATACAAAGTTATGCTTATTTCGCCTTTGGGTTGCGGTCAGCCGTCACGGCAAGCCCACAGCTCACATGCAATCACTCGACTATAAGCGGAGACCAACCACGGTGTTTGCTGCGGTGCGGTGCATGTAGGCAGCCAGCCAGGCAAGTGACCGGTTGTGGGCGTTTCAGGTTTCCATACATAGCCAAATTTCTTCCTGCTCGCGGTGCAGCCGGGTCCACGTTTATTGTTGTGGTTATTGCTATTGTCCGCCCTGCCGCCGTCCTGAAAACGGTATGATAATATAGGTTGTCGTCGTTGTCGTAGAGTTGGGTAGAGCAAAGCAGAGCAGGGTAGAGTAGAGCATACTACATAGCAGAGTAGAGTAGAGTAGCAAACATCCCAGAACCGATGCATCGAAGGCTGAAGCTTCAAGATTCTAATAGCATACCTACATCATACCTACTACTATTAGGACCACCTTTCCCCCTCCGAGCCCTCCCAGGCCTCCGCCTCCGCCTCCGCCTGCCCCTCCCTCAATCCAACCCCAATCCAACCCAACCCCTCCCGGACCAAAGACCAAAGCATAAAGGTGCTATATTAATCCGAAACCGAAAGGAAAAGAAAAGGAAAGAAAAGAAAAGAAAAGAAAGAAAAACGAAAACGAAAAAGAAAAGCAAAAGAAAAGAACAGAAAAGAAAAAGGAAAAGGAAAAGGAAAAGGAAAAGCTTATGTATCATGTATGTATGCTTCGCTCTCGCTCGCTCGCTTGGTCGCTTGCTTGCTCGTTTGGTCGCTTGCTTAAGCTTTTAGGTTGAGCTGGGGTACTCTAAGCTGGGGTTTGATGTGCCTTCCCCAAAGCCTCAAGACTCAATGCTTCCGATTCATGTACCTATGATTCTAAAGTATCAGGTCAAAAGTTATCGCCACTCGCCCCAACGAGATCACCACACCACACATGTAGGCCTCTCGAACACCACAACCACACAATAGAAAGTAATACAAATTTGCATACAGGATGATTAGATACATATCCGGCTTCGACAAAATTTCCAGCCAAAAGAAATCAATATTTTATGCGAAGTTATGCGGCTAACCCAAGTCCCATTGTCTCAAGGCTATCCATTTTCAACCACAGATTCTGCGTCCCAAACACGCTGTAAAAAATATTGGACAATTGGAAGTCCTTGTTAACTATTTAGGTGATCGTATAAGAAACTGGCTCGCAAATATAAGCAGTTGTGGTTGAGCAATGCGGCCCAGGTGAAAATTTTATGGTTGACGCTGGTTGTCATGCAACTTTTTGTATGGGAGTCCCATACAAAATGCGAAATCGCCGTTCAAGTCATGTACAAACCCCCATTGAAAGCCACCAATATTGACTAAAAGCGGTCGAATTTTTTATATATGAGAGGGCTTATGATTTTGCGGCGTCTGTGAAAGACACAATATTTTTCCGTCAGACGAAGGGTGGGTTTTGGTTACTTGAAAATGGGCATTTTGGGTGTAAAACGGCCCCTGTGCAAAAACTTTTGACCTAGTACTTTATGTAGCCCAAACCAAACCTCAGCATCCGCATCCGAGCAACTAGGCATGTACCTACAGTGTTTAAAGTGCAAATAAGCGGATGGACTTATATGCACATAGTAGGTACATATGTAGGGCTGTCAAATTTCGGGGCAGCTGATCCCATCGCCAGGCCAGGCCAGCGGTCCGTACTCTAACTACCTGCTAACTAACTGTTAACTAACTACTTCTGTAAGTCCATCCCGTAGCAACCGGAAAGCAACCGGAAAGCTCTCGGGCCGTTCTGACCTCGAAGGCTCCAACCAGGCCTTCGGAGAATTATCATTGATTGACGCCTACTAACTGCTTGGGGCCTGTTCGGATGCCAGCTATATTTTCCACCCTTTTGTTTCCGACTCGTTAGAGGTTAGTTGCGTTGGGCCTGTTCGGGTGCCAGCTGCATTTTCAAAATTCGCGGTTTTGACGAGTTGAAGGTTACCAAAGCTGCAGCTGCAAACTCACAACTTCCCGGATGACCCATTTGGCAACCTAGATATTCAACAACATGCCACACTCTTTGTTTTGTATTGTAGCTCGGTTGACAATATACAGTTTCTCGAACTGTTAATTTGGGGTGGTGTGCCGAACGCTCACCCATTGCCCGGAAACTGAGGGTTTCAAACTGCATCTAAAGTTTGTGGGGTAGATTCAAATTTCAAAATGCAGCTACCAACCGAATAGGCCCTATCGAAGCTAGTTTCAAACCTCAAAGCTTCAAAACTTGGCTTGGAACTTGGCGATGAACACACTCGCAATCGCAATCGCAATCGCATGACCGAACATACGTACTCTAACCAGGAGGATGGCATTGATACCGAAGCCGTCCGTCCTCACACGCACACGTCCGCTACTACAACAGCAGCAATCGATCGATCAAGCACGCAAGTAATTAAGCAAGCAATTTACCAAGCCATCAAGAAATGCAATGCAAAGCAGTGCAAGCACTCCAAGTAATGCAATGCAAAAACCCCACGATCTTCCGTTGCCAAACCAACCAACCAACAGACTATGTAACTCAAACAAAGAATCGAGGCGGTTCCCCGTGGCCGCCCCAACTGTGTACTCCTGCGGACGTCCGTCTAAACCCTCAGGGATACATCTCATCGGCCACAGCCAATATTGTTTCAAAATTCATATTTCCATTCCCGGATCGTTACTATGAACCTACATACTACAGCACTGCTTATACATAACCACATAGCGACCACTGCACACAAACTCCCCCTCCCCCTAAATCCCCCCCTCCCCCCCTCCCCCCTCCCCGCTGGGCCCCCTCCCCTCCGCCATCGTCGTCATGCGCGCGAATCTATGGTATAGATGGTATAGATGGTATAGATGGTATAGATGGTATAGATGGTATAGATGGTATAGATGGTATAGATGGTATAGATGGTATAGATGGTATAGATGGTATAGATGGTATAGATGGTATAGATGGTATAGATGGTATAGATGGTATAGATGGTATAGATGGTATAGAATGGACCGAGATAGATAATAATATATGTTGCTGGTGGTGGAAAACCAGAAAACTGAAATTGAAATGTGATGGGTAACCGTTTCCCTACATACCTCCACCTCCACCTCGTATATGCAAGAGCAGGCAGGCACCAGGCATGGGGTGCTTTAGTATGGAAGAGGAATAATGAAGGAAAGAAAAAGAAAAGAAAAGAAAGAGAGAAAAAGAAAAAGAAAAAAAGAAAAGAAAAGAGAATATTCGTTCCAAATATGTATGAAGTATGGTAAAGGATCAGGGAGAAAATGAAAAAGGAAAAAAAGAAAAAACAGCCGTTTAATCGTCTACTTCATCAAACAGAAACAAGAAGGAAAAAAGAAAAGAAAGAAAGAAAAAAGAAGAGAAAACCGAAAATGCCCCGAGCACAGCCGCTCTATGATCCCTCCCTCCACATCGCATGAGCGATAAAGTCGCTGGCGGTGAAAGAGCTCTGAACATCCTGTGGAGGATGCGGCGGTGGTGGTATGTAGCCTCCTCCGGTATTGACCATGGCATACTCCGGAAACGCGCCGAAATCCCATCCGCCGAGATGGTTCGTGTGTAGTGGTGAGGATGTAGCTGTAGCGGCGGCGGTAGTGGTGGTGGTAGAAGGTGGTGGTGGAGGCACCACGCCCGTTGCTCGTCGCCAGTCCATTCGTTCCCGAAAGTGCTTCACCATCTCCAAGGGGAAGCCCATCAGCTCCAGGCCCCCCCGGGCTGCGGCAGCTGCATCTGCGGAGGTGGTTGTCGCCGTTGTCGCCTGCTGTAGTAGTGTTCGGTGAATCTGTTCGATGGGTCCCACGCTCATGGTGCCAAAGTAGGCGGCACCGACGGCCGGGAAAAGAGGTTCGACGGCCAGAGCCACGCCGTAAAAGTGCGCGAGTAGCACCATGACACTCGGATCCGTCCGTCCTCTGCGCAGAAAGTCTATCGGAAGGAAAAATAACCATTCTCGGAGCGGGTGCATGAGATGGAATTGTTCTTCTGCCGAATGCGCCGGTATTTTGTCCTGTAGCTCCTGTACAAAGCTCACCAGGTCTTCGAGACCCTTGAGCGCCTGATCGTTGGTGTCCGGTCCCTGTGGCTGGCTCCGGAAATACTCCATGAGCGGAAGTAGGCATTGGTACACGTGGTCCACCACATAGCGATCCCGCTGCGGATCTAAAATCTGTTGTCGGAGGGAGCCCCGTGTGAAAACATCCCCTTCCTCCATGAACTCTGCAAACTCGCTCTCGTGCTTCCAGGCCTGCATCGCATCGATGACGGTCGATGTACCCTGTAGCAGACTCGCCCAAGACCGCCTGAACGACACGATTTCATGTCAGCTGGTGGTCTCGCCCAAGACCAAGTATGGATGTTGGTGCCATGGGGAAGGGGAAGGGGGAGGGAAGGTGTCGGAAGCAATAAACTAACCAGTCGGTTACTTGCCACGAGAGAAGGATAGATGCAGCAAGCACAGCGTCCGAGTTCTCTTTCGAGAAGTCACCGATCGATTGCTGCAGGCCCTGAAAAGCGAGTCCACGGTGTTGATAGGCTAGCTGCAGCGTTGCGTAGGATTCCGTCAACCACGACAGGTGAGATGCGGAAAGGCCCAGCAAAGAATGCATCACGAAATCGTGCTTCGACGCAATCGTCAGGAACCTGTTTTGCAAGATTAGCCTCTGCAGCTGCCTATGCGGGGGAAGGGGTGGCGGAGAGGGTTGGGGTGGGACATGATCGTGTCCGCGTGGTCACTGACATTGGAACCCTCTTGGTCCAGATCGCAGAGTTGCTCGGTTCCACAGCTTGCATCTGCGATGCGATGGACGAGATGTGGTGGATCAGTCGGAGGTCCGTGGGCGAGTATCGTGTGGGGGACGGGTGGCTTTCGAGGCCCAGGTTGGGAAACGGGTATACACCGGTTTTCCTCCAGGTGTCGAGCTCCCGTTCGATTTGCGGTGTCATCTTGAGGTCCGGGATGCCTTCGACCGGACCTCCGTCCTGATAGTCACATCTTACGTTATGTTTGGTGCAATTGCGACTACGATTGAGATTACAGACCCATTAGCCAGCTGTCGCCGATACGGGATCGAAAGACAAAAAAACAATAGGAAGCCAGAAGACAGTGCCCTGATCCGAAGCCACTCGTCTCCCCCACTCACCGCCCCCTTCCTCCATGCCTCCCTCCGTACCTCCGTACCTCTCTTCCTCCCTCCCTCCCTCCAACCATCCGTCCCCCACTTCCCCCATCCCCGAATCATGCACACACACTCGTTCACACTCACTCACCATTGCGGGGTTGTTTCATCACAACGGATATGTCTCTTCTTGCAGGTTTTACAACCCTTCCTTGACTTTGTATGGCTCCTGCGGGACTGAACTGTGGGGCCACCGTTGGCAGTAACGGCCGACGCCGAAGAGGAAGTAGAAGACATTCTTGATCGAGGAGAGGTTGGCGATGTCAGTTTCGACTGCTGCTGCTGTTGCTGTTTCTGCTGTTTCTGCTGCTTGTCGAGCGGGTACGAGAGGACTTCCGAGAGCTTCGCAACTCGATATCGAGGAGATCTACCTGGGGACCGGGAGCTCTGCTGTTTCTGGGCGCGGGGTGACATCGTGCGGCGGGATGTCCTGGTATTTGAACCCAACGGGGGGTGGAAGCTTCTCAAGTGGATCTCCCACAAACTCCGATATGCAATGCACCACTCCCCACCTGGGATCGCGCGTAGGGCTCGGGATGGTGGTTGGTGGGACAGGACAGGACGGATGAGCTCAAGGGTGATGTGATGTGGACGGAAACCCGTGGCAACAGCTACTCCTACTACTGTAGGAGGTGACGGAGTACCCGAGTCGAACCCAGACGAAATAGATGAGATCTAGAGAGGGGGAGGGGGGGATAGGCAGACGGATATTCGAAAGATGAAACCACAGGGGGGTGGGGGACCAAAATCCAGGGCGGGAAACGAGCTTCGTTGTATGTAGTGCTTTGCGGCACGTATGACTCAGAAAGGTAGGAGAAGCCGGGCGGACAGTGGTGCATACATCGACATAAACTAGGCTTCGGAGAGAGAGGAAGCGGGAGCGAGGAGCTTGGTGCCTTCATAAGCAGCTGGACTGGGGGGAGCGGAGGTGCGGGGGGATGGGAGATGGGGGGATGGGAGATGGGGGGATGGGATCGCAGGCAGTGGCAGTGGCAGTGGCAGTGGCAGCGGTCGAACGATGGATGGATGGATGGATGGACGGATGGGCCACGCAAGGCGACACGACCCTGCTTGCCCTCTGATATGTGTTTTCCTGCCAAGTGTCTGGGGGGACTTTAAAAAAAGGGTAATGAAAGAAGTCAGCACACATTAGTTTTTTGTGGATGGACCAAAGGTGAAGGAGGAGTCTTTCTGGCGAGTCACAATCAGCCCAGCCCAGTGCGTGGTACTGTACTGGTGTTGCTGTTTCTGCTGGTGCTGCTGCTTGCTTGCTTGCTTTCCGGGTGGAGGTTGCACGCCAACAACACAGCCTCGTGTAACGGTGTGCTTGAGCGAACAGTTTGTGAGACTCGCAGGAAGGTACGAACCCGATTGACGGGTTCGACTTCTTCTGGGGTGGGCCCCAAAAAAGGAACAGAATCGAAGAAACCCAAAGCTGCCCACAACCTGCAACCAAGTTCCCAAGTGCCCCTGCCCCCCCCTCTGAATCCTAGAGCAATGCAGGGTGGGAGTGATCTTGGCCGCAGTGGAGGGTGTGTAACCGTGGCGCCCTCAGAGACCCGGGACGCCAAAAATGACGAGGGATCAGCCTCGCAGGGTCACTCTAGTGGTTACCTACTACTCTGCTAGACTAGACTCTACTCTAGCAGCTGCTAGCCACATCTTCTAGGGAGCCCCGTTTTAGATGCAAAGCTACTCTAAGCAAATCTTGACCGACGACAACAACGACGACGGCTCACTTCATCGATATTCCTATGCTGGGACCGACAGCGGTGTCCGTAGTCCCGCCGTAACTCTAGTGGAGCAGGTACATGTATGTAAACTACTCCAGCAACTAAGGCCACGGCAGTTGCTCCCGCCTACTAGTTGTACATACTTACATAACAATGAAGATTCTAGTTCCATCTATGGAGGTACTATTGGGCTATAAACCGCACTCGCTGCTGGCATGTATGTACATGGAGATATGCACTTAGGTACATACTCCTGTCGCTGAGGGGTTTCCCACGCCGAGACAGCTTGGTGGTTCATACCTGGTATGTAGTGTGTAATCACTACGGCACAGTCGGCGTGATTGAAGCCGCAGTCAGCCAGCCATCCAGTCTTTCTCTGAGATAAGTATATACCGGCACCATATACATCACGAGTGGTCCAACGGATAGATATGAAACCAGCCAAGTATGTGCATATGATATACAGCGTAAGTACCGTCCAGTAATTTGAGAGCCATTTCTTACGCCATGCCGTAGAGAGTCTAGAGACCGGTAGGGCGTATGTATATTCATACACAGTTATGATACTAGATATTCTCTCGACTCTCGCGCTGCAGATCGGGAACAGGCCTGGTCGGGAGTCGGAACTTCTTCGCCGTAGTATACTTCATAGTAGCGTGTCGGCATCTCTGCCGATACCTGCCCAAGCAACTAACCTATGTACTCGAGACTCCTCTCGGCGGCAAGTCGATCGCTATATAGGCTGGGGGCATGGATGGATGGCTAGTTACCCCGCTCGAAGCAAAGCACCGCTGGTTGTGTGTGCATGGTGTGCAGTGTGCAGTGGGTAGTTAGTGGGAAACGCATCTGATCTGAACATTCAACAATGTCGGTGGCGCAGTCACGGCCTTCCTTGCGTATGTACATATAAGTTTACATGGTTAACTACGTCCGAACTCTAAATGGTGGTTCTTCACTAGTATTTAGTCTGTAGTTTCGAACTGCGTGAGACGGTGACCGACCGCCGAGTGCATCGATCTGCACGCCGCGCAGACATTCGAGGCTGCTGTGATCATCTCCCCCGGGCCCCAGAAAAACAACCTGTAAGCCTCGTCGAGAGCGGCGGATGGAACGGATGACCATGACCATGACCGGCCGTGACCGTGACCTGGCGAACCCCAAGATCTATAAGTGCGCTCGATGGGCGATTAGAGAGTACTATAGTTGTGTACGTACAGGGAACGCACTGCGGGCGTGCGGTCGATATACCGTAGTGAAGCTGTGTGCCCCCGTTGGCCGTTGGGGCCGTTGTGCCGTGCCGTGGGACAGGACGACTGGTCCTGGTTGCTGATGTTGCGGAGCGACTACTTTACACGGTATATACATAGATGGATGGATGAATACTCACCACTACAGGCTACAGCTTAAGATAGGAACACATGTACATATGTACATATCATACTCTGCACTGATTCTCTCAAGGAGCTCCGGCTAACCAACTACCTACTACCTAAATCCAAACAACTGACCAGACTGACTGTGCCACCAGTGACCAGATACCGGTACATGTCGAGCTGACGGGGTTCAAGGTTGGCGATCCGCCATATGCTGATGATGATCTCACCGAGTAGAGTAGAGTACCCAGTTCTAGCGGTGCGGTGCGGGTAAGGCGCCTTCCCCACTCCGAACGGCTTCTGGTGACCCACATGCCAGGCAGACAGGATACAACTCCGAGTCGGTATAGCGAGAGAGGGGGAGTGGCAGAGAGGGACTGAGCAAACCGCCCGGCCCCCAGCGGAACGGGCAGAGGAGAGAGCGACGTCACGTCACGTCACGGTTGCAACTTGCAGGAAGCGTATGGATTTGGAATCATCCATAATACTCCCCGGTACCTAGGAGCCAGATGCCAGCCCCTCGGCGAATCGGGCATACGCAGGCCGGGACAAGTCTCCCGCGCCGGGCGACAGCGGTAGGTGTATGAGTGTGTATGAGTGTACTTGTACCTATGTGTAAGTGAGAGGGGTCTCGCCGGGAAGGGGGGGCGTCTGGGGAGGTCTCGCTTTTCCCCCGGTTGCATGTGTGCAAAGCGAGCCAGCCAGCCAACTATCGTGCTAAGCAAGTATGTACTTTACTGGTACTTGGCCGGCGGAGCATGTGACGATCCTGACGGGGCAGGATCGTGTGTCGTGTATCGTGTATCGTGTATCGTGTGTCGTGTGTCGTGTGTCGTGTGTCGTGTGGCAAACAAACCGTCCAACTTTCGGCGCAACCCCCGAACGAGCGAGTTTCGAAATTCGGCCCGCCTCCGTAGTTTTTTTTTTCCTTTCTCACTGCCTTGCTGTCAGCCGACAAAGAAAGGAAGAAAAAAATAGGGCTGCCTAAATTCCTTCTATGTGCTCTAGGTAGAGTACTCTAACTATGGGCCTGATGCAAGACATCGGCGTTGACCGGCGACGGTCCGACGGGCAATGCGGTTAGACGCGCTCTCGCCAATGGTGCCCAGTTTTGGTAACGTGTCGTTCCTCTCAACTAACTAGAGCGTGTAGTTAGTAGGTAGGAAGCGAGTCCCACCAAAGATCTAAAAGTACATCCATTACCTTCTTAGGTACATGTGTGTACAGTGTACACTGAGTGAAAGAAACCTCGCACGTATGCAAAGTATCGGCTGCACGGTGGAATACTTTGGTATGATTGACAGCCAGCACTGATGGCCGAGGGGGGATGTAGGCAGGACCGAAGAATCCGCCCAGGCTGTGTTGTGTGGCACAGAGGCGCTGTAGGAGCTCAATGGGCTTCTGTCAGTCTGTCTGCATGGACGACTGCGGTGTCTCGCTGATGTGTCCACTCCGTCCACTGTCGACAAATCCCCACTTATAATTGGGACTCGCTTCCGAATGGATGTAATAGCGTGGGTGGAGAGCTGCCTGTACTAGGTATACTAGACTACCCCCCTTCCCCCACCCCGGAAATGTATATATTTGGAGCCGAAAAAGATCGTTCCGGTTGAATAGATACGGCCCAGGTTTTTTTTTGCGCTTGGCCATGGTGTGATAACCTGTGATCGGATCGATGAGCGCCCTGCGCCACACACACAGCGACCCCTCTCGTATCACGCAAGCATGTCATCATCGGAACAAGTTTATCCCTTAGCATCGGAATACATAGGCATGTGTTTACACACCTTGGGGATACCAGTCGATCTGCACCGAAAAAACGTAAGCCGGTTGCGGAACATAAGGCGTGCGCCTCGCCTCGCCTCCCACGCGGCCGGTTGGCACCATAGGATTATGGTCATCCATAGGACCACAGCCTGCAACCCATCTCTCTTCTATTCATATTCCATGCAGATCTTCCGTCCAGATGTAACCGTTGCAAGTGCCGGGCCCAAACGGATGATGAGGATGGCGAGCCCGAAGGATGGAATGTTGCCAGTAAGCATACGAGCTTAGTATGTGAGTACAACGGGAAGACCAGCCTCGTGTCTTAGAGACTCGGCGAGTATGTATTGGTGGATATGCGATAAACGTCGGTTCTCGATATGTATGCACCGCCGAATAGCCTGGGCGTTGCAGGTTGCCGATCCAGTGCCAGCGACGATATGCGACGTGGTAAAAGTTATGTACCGTAAACCCATCAAGTAGAGATGTGCTGGACCATCGCCGTTCGCTAGAGTATACTGCTATGCTTTCTCGGACGTATGCATACAGATGGCCTTCACGTGAAGGGAACTGTCGGACCAATCCACCGTGGTGTTAGCCTCGCCTGTTCCTAAGAACAACAACAGCGCAACCCAAGTATGCATGTTTCTGCCTTGTATCGAACGAATCCTGGTGGCAGGTAGCAGGGGCACGACGGGTACTGATAGGGAGTGTTTCTGCGTGTGCGGTAGTTATACCGGGAGACCCAGGCCACAGACAGGAACGTATCGGCGCGCCCCTCGCGCGGGAGCGATAGTAACGCAGGTCGGAGTCCCCCTCCCGCGCATTCTTCTGATGTCGATGTGTCACCCCCACTTGTCATCGGTACATCTCACTCGAACCATTCCGACCGCTCCCACAGTCCCGCTAGTTATTTCCGTAGCAGCAGCTGCCGTTTCATCTTGACTGACCGAATAGGTAGATATGTGCATAGCATGAAGATCTGATCCCGGCGACGGTATGTAGTAGTTAGTGTGGAATCTGTTACCGAGAATAGAGACGAAGGATTATCACATTGCCCTCACCCCCCTGGTCAACCCGGTGCAATGACTATCCGGCGCGCGCAGCACCCAACCACCATCTTCGAGACAGGCGACCCACCGGCAGCTACATCAGCCTACTTCACTCTACTCGACTGCACTCTACTTTACCCTAGAGTAGAGTACAGCGACCGAATCGTCTGTATCGATAGTGTCAAAGACGGAAAGAGAGATACCCGCAGAAGGCGCGCGAATGCGGTAGGAGGAGCCGGCCGAGTATAACCACTCGAGTATGCACTCGAATAGGTACCAGTAGTGTCTTGATTAGAATTTGAGAGCGCATTATTTGGCTGTAACCAAGTAGAGTAGGGCACGCCTTGATTCACTAGAGTACTGTACGGTAGCTATCGGGGTAAGCCGTGGGTGTTCTCCGCATATCTGGATCTGCAAAGGAGATGTCCTCATGAGGGTGACGGTGAGGGGGCTGTGATTATCGCTATCGATGGGATAAATGGGGCTGGACTGCGGAGTTGAATGCGGGGTATGGGTTCTTATGTGTAGGACCACGGATTCATCGCCGGGCGGCCACACAGGCCCGGCATATAGAGCCGGTAAGTAGTTACAGCCAATGTGCCGTCGTGCCGCCGTGCTGGTGTTTAGGCGTAGAGGAGTGTGCTTGGTGTCCACGGCGTCTGTGCTTCCGATTCCGGGAAGTGGCACCTCGGCCGGAGAGTAACGGTGGGTATGGGCGTGCCATCGGAAATGGTATGGGCTTCTTGAAATCCGTCTCTTGATATCTGCGTACGACGGACAGGCTTAAATGAATACGATGGATCGCTGCATGGGAACTCTCGGTGCCGGACACCCGACAACCCTGATATGTATGCACCGGTATGTCCATTCCCACAGCCCTAGATCTTCGTAGAGAGAGTCGAACGGCAACCGCTCGTTGCGGCGAAGTGGCGAAGTACCTAATGTATGTCCCGTATAGAGTAGTCAGTCGGCAGTTAATCCAAGAAACCCAGCCGCTCACGCTGAAGAAAGATAACTGCTTACTGTCAATAGGACCTCGTCCCGGTGGGAGTTGGGTACTCTCCAGTAGGTATATAAGGAGTTATGTAGGCCCCGCCGTGTGCATCATCCATCGCAATCCGAGCTCGAGGGCATCTCAGCTTTATGGGGCGCCACCGGCTAGCTCCATCTCCAGGCTCCCGTCCTCACCGCAGTCACCAGTGTGAGTCAAGCCCGAGCGGTGAGCGGCCAAGAACAACAACTAGAACGAGAAAAAAGAGCCTCCTCCTCCGCCGCCACAAAACGCCCCACTCGCTAATCGCAATCGCAATTGCAATCGCGTTTCGAATCAGGCTGAGACAGCATGGCAGCATGGACCGCGAGGCAATCGCCGGCCTCGCTTGGGACCACTGCATTCTGCACGTGGCTGCATTGCGTCAGGACGAGCAGCTACTCAACTTCATATCCAGGTACCAAAGGAGAGGATCGGTACACGACGTACGTACACACAAACGCCAGTGCCGCGGTGATAGCGACCTTCCACGAACCGCCGGAGAGACCGTGGCTTGCAGGGCCGCGTCACGATGCGTGGCTGTCTCGCTTAACTCTAACTACACCTGATGATCCGCGATGCGTCAGCAACCAGTGCACCACGGATCGGAAGGAAGCCTACCGAACTCCGGGCAGCCACGCTTGTTCCTGAGAGGGCACCGTGCTGCGTGAAGTTGGTAGATGGATGGATACTGAGAGACCCTCGACGGGTACGGGCAACTGGTGAGACTGATTCCATTGACTAGAAAGCAACAAGAAAGAAAATCAGTCTGTGTTCTTCAGACTGAACAATTTCAAAGTTCCTCTGCGGTATTGATAATAAGGTCTGCGGTGTTGGAGAAATGTCTGATGTGTTGAACAAGACCAGACGAACAGAAAAGCGGCAACAGAGAACATTTCAACGTTGAGGCGACCGCATCGGGTCTACCCCCGAATCCCACAATACGGCTCCCATCGGCTCGAGACGAGCCCGCCGGTCCCGGAGCTACTAGTATCTGCCGCTGCTGTCCTTCACGAGCTACCTACGATTCAATGATAGTCTTTGATAAACAGCGACCAAAGGCGGCGGGTTCGCAATCACGCAAGACCAACCATCGATCTATCCGTCCAGCATACCCATTACATATCTGGAGCGATTGGGCCGTGGACAACGCGGCAAAACCGCACCCAATTGCCAGTCCGTATCCCTTATGTGCACAACTGGCACATTTGAGTGGGTGGCATCATGCACCGAAGATCAAAGACGCGGGAGGCGGGATTTGGAAAGAAAAAAAAGAAAAAAAACGTGGTCAAACTCAATTCATTCAATGCACGGGGCCGAATTTGCCGAGTTTAGCCGTTCGGTCACTTGGAGGACGGTGTTGGTCGATCGGTACCGGTATGCACTCTACCGATGTTGATGTTGCTCCATCCGATACCAGTACCAGCGACAGATGGACGCAGAGGAATACCGGTACGTAACGTGCATACCGGCACACACGAATGTGGCCATTCCCCCCATGTCTCTCTAGAATATTCACTTGCCCTTCAGGGCGCCGAGCTACCGTACTATGAGGGACCACGCCGAGCTGGCGAAGAAGGCCGCTGCTTTCTACCAGTTGAATGGGGACTCGCAGAGTCGCAGACGCTTCGAACTCTCTTCGTGATGATGATGATCTCCTGCTGATCTAGCTATGTGGATATCCTAACCCACCACACCCAGTCACCCACTCCGCAGCCAGAATTAGCCGGCGTCGATATACCCCGACACCGCGAGATCTACCATCTGCTCAAGTGGTCCCGAGTCCCGACTCCCGACTCCCGACATTCACGCTCTTGGTATTCCGCCTCCACGCCTGCGCCCTATCTGGCCAACCGACTACTCGGTTACAGATGCGAACTATAAATGTGAACCTACCTCCTCCAGTTTCAGCCTTGCCCCCAGCCACCGCCACAGCGCAGCCGCAGCCCCTTACATACCTCCGCCAAGGCCCAACACGCGCAGTCTCCTCCAGCCACCGCGTCGAAACTTGGAAGCAGGTGTGATTACTCGTTAGCCTGAGCCCTAGCCTGAGCCTGAGCCTCAAGCGAGTTGTGAGTTGCGACCCGCTCCGCTCCGGGCCGATCCGGCGGCGAGGCGAGGCGAGGCGGGGCGGGAAAAAGTGGCCTGATTTTCAGGACGGCTGGTGCGCCGGTGCGCCGGGATAGATATGTGGATATGGATAATTGAAGGGAAGACTGAATGGAAGGCGCATCGTTTGGAGCAGCAGGGCCTACCTACCTACTCTATTCTGGAGCAGTATCATATAGCCATTTGGATAGTTACATACCTACATACCTGTATAGTAGTACCTAGGGGTGTACATCTCGCCAGCATCAATGTGATGATGTCTTAGTTTCTGTTTCTGCCTGGCCAAACCAAACCAACTTCGAAACCCTCCGAGGCTCCACCGTTCAAGTTCGCGTAGCAGAGCTACCCCCCGGGCTGTAAGGCTGTCCATCCTCCCCTCCCTCCCCACGTAAACCTCCCCACGAAAGCCTCCCCACGAAAACCGAGCAAGCAAGCAAGTAAGCCACTTGGGGTGAAATCGTCAACCGCAAACTCGCGGAGTCCTACCGTCTCCCCGGGACTCCGGGCCCCCATCGTCTCCCCCGAGCCCCCACGGAGTACCGCGGTGCACAGCAGAGTACCGCGGCAAGGCTGTGGCAGTGTGGCGGGGCTGCGGCAGCCTACAGGTTTGTTCCGCTTACAATAACTAAGGGCCTGTTCGATTTCCAGCTGCATTTTGAATCTACATACCACACAAAATTGAGATGCAGATTGAAACCCTCAGTTTCCGGGCAATGGGTAACCGTTCAATTCGAGAAACTGCATGTTATCGACTGAGCAATAGCTTTACAAATAAACTACCGTATACGGACAACCACCAGTAGAGTACATACCAGCGGTAGTCAGGAAAAGTGTGCCGTGCTGTTGAACATCTGGGTTGCCGAACGGGTCATCAGGGGAGTTGAGAGTTTGCAGTTGGTAATCTTCAACTCGTCAGAAAGTTAAAACCCCAGGTTTGAAAATGCAGCTGGTACCCGGACTGGGACTAAGTAAGGTAGATATATGCATATACACACACGCGCATCATAGCCAACCGAGGAGGCTTGGAGTCTACAGTCTTGGATTCTTGGAGTCTTGGATTCTTGGAGTCTTGGATTCTTGGAGTCTTGGATTCTTGGAGTCTTGGAGTCTTGGATTCTTGGAGTCTTGGAATCTTGAACCCCCATAGATTCTTGAACTCTTGGAATCTTGGTCCCTTGGTCCTTTAGAGTCTTGGACTTTTGAACTCCTAGCCTCTCGGCCGGGGAGAGGCGGGGGAGGAGGGAGGAGGGGGGTTGGATTGCTTTTCCTTTTGTCTATGTACCGGCAGCATGCAATGCAACTGGAGCGTAACCATACGGCATTACATACAGCCTCGTCATGGGTCGGAGGTAGAGTATAGCATCGGTCTTCAGACCGATCATGCCTTAAGCATCGTTTTTCCAATCAAAAAAAGAAGCAAAACCAGGAAGAAAAAAAAAAGGAAAAACAAAGGGAAAAGAAAAGGGGTACGAACGAAACAGAATGGGAATGGGAATGGGAAAGAGCGGAATGCGGAGAGTATCGGATCGGGCTGGTCTCTACATACTCGTTCTAAGGCTCACTTTGTTTTTCTGGCTGGTTCGTTCTGTACATACGATCATACTCTATTCGTCCTGGGAGTGAGAGAGAGAGAACTTCAATCCATTTCGCATGCAGCCTATCTAGACTATGGCGAACCATCTCACTTCCTTTCCTGACCACTGTGGTCGGTCGGGTTGGTGACCCTGCTGCCGGTCAGCACGATGTGGCGCCGCTGCCTACCTCGGGGCTGAGAAGCTGTCGGCTGCGCGTGGCATGTGCGTGCCCGAGTGATCCACCGTGCATCACCGACGACTGCGGAAGAAAAAAAACAGACGGACAAGGCCGCCCGCAATGCCCTCCACCTGAAGTGGATCAAGAAGCGGGAGGATGATCACGGCTGGTGGTGCAACAGGCCAACCAAGCAATCACGAGAGCACCTGTTCAAACACTGCTCATGGTGGAGAAGCCAGTAGAAAGCCATTCGGGCGAAGGTCGGGAAGCAGACAAAGAGAAGGAAAGAGAGATGGTCAATAGCGGAGTTGTTCGCCGACGAGCGGTGCAGCGAGGCAATCCTAGAGTTTCTAGGAACGACGGATGTGAGGAGGAAAACTCCGCCAGACCTGGAGGAGGAAAACTCCGCCAGACCTGGAGGAGGAGGAGGAGGAGGAGGCAAGCATCGCATCGGGGGCAGAGCAAGAGTACCCAGCAGGGTACTGTGTCTGCGGCCGGTGCGAGGAAGTAGGAAATGAGGATATGCGGTGATATTTTCTTGGTACGATTTCCTTTATTTGTTTGGCAGGCAGCGGCGCCACATCGTACTGGCCGGTAGCGGGGTATCAACCCCCGCTCGGCCAGCGTGGGCAGGAAAGAAGTGCGACGGTTCGCCATAGTCTAGATAGGCTGCATGCGAAATAAACTGAAGATCTCTCTCTCTCCGCAAGGCCCTCCATCACCGCCTGGTAGATATGGGTATAGAACCTCGCCAGGACTTTGCCAGGACTTCGCCGGGACTTCGCCTGACTGCTGGATCCGTGACGCAGTCCTCGCCGCGTACTGTAGAGGTGATCCAGAAATGCCCATCATTGCCGACCCGCTTTCACCGAAAGCCCCCAAGAATTTGAAATCCTATGATAGTACACTCAACACACCAAATCCACTCCTCGGCATCCAACCACCCATCAGGACCACTCGCATACTTGGTAACAAAACAGCAAAACGTCAACGCCTCGTTTGTCAGCCCATTCATCAGCCCCATTCACCACTCGCCATTCACCATTCACTCTTCACCACACTCTTCACCACACCATTCACCGTTCACATGCCGTCCTACCGGTCCCAATCCTACCAGTACCAAATGCCCAATGTAATTCCCCCTCTTCCTCTAAGTAAGTGTAACATCCAAGTAAGTAGTAGTATCCACAACACAACACAACAGAAACCCCAACCAAAACGACAACCCCGACAACCCCCATCCCACCGCGCGTCCATGCCAGCATACTAGATAGAGACAAGACAAGACAAGACACATCACACACGCACAACAAAAACCAACTCTTTATATTTGCATCGCATCAATCATCACTTCCGGCGGCGGCCGTCCGACCCATCTCATCTCATCTCCTCTTCCCCACACACCCGACCCAGCTGCAAACGATTGAAGACAACGGGGAAAAAAAAGAGGCCTAAATACGTTTGGAAGGGAATGCATAGAGGAAAGAAAGAGACAAGCAAAAAAAATGAAGAACAAGACATCCCAAAGCCCCCAAGTATCCCTACTCTTCCTCCCCATGCCCCACGCTACGCCAGTCAAGACAAAAAAACCCGATTTTCCCAACCAGAATAAAACACCCTATCAATACAACAGATCCTAGTTGACATATTCCGCCTGGATAGCGATTCGATCGCCTTGTGGAATCTGAGTCAAAAATGCGTCGAAATCGGCAATGAACGAACGGTAACCGGCGACAGTCTATCAAGCCGAATGGTCAGTCTTCAATTCCCGCACGGTCCTGGGGTAGGCCAAGCCAAAAAATTAAAATGGAAACGCACCTGTCTGAACAACTCCTTGAGCTCCGGACTCGGATCCTTGTAGCGGGCGATCGCCCTGAAGAAAGGCACCAGACAGCTCTCCATCGCCTCCGGGTTTCTGCCGACAACCATGCAGAACCCCTTGAGCGCCGTGTCCTTCTCGTCTGTCTCTGCCACCTTTGCCAGTGCGTCTAGGAAGGGGTACGCAAACGTGTCCAGGTGTGGAGCGAGCTCATCGCAAGAGGCCAGGCCGAGTCGTCCGAGTGCCACTGCTGCATTCTCCGTAACCGATGAAGGAACTTTGGTAGATTGAATGATAGTAAGGAGACTGATGTAGAGCCGTTCGACGTAAGGTGTCATACCGACTACTAAGTTATTATTTGTCAGTCATACGCACGGCTTTCGGAGTAGATGGGGCGCCCGCTTACCCTGTTGTAGCGCGATTTCTCCACAACTCCAGCATGCATTGTTGATAACGCTAAACGCATTGTCTTCGTCGAACTCGCTCAGATTCTCGATGTCCAACTGCTGAATCAACAGCTCCATCACGTTGGGGAGATAAGGTTGCAGCTGCGCGAATACGTAGATCGCGCAATCACCCAGAAGTGCGTAGGAAGACTGTCGGACATCGTTGTTTGTATCCTACCATCACATGTTAGAAGTGTCAGGGCCATCCGATGGATACAGGAAGGACATACAGCCATGCAATGTGTCAGAAGTTCGAAGAAGTTTGGGATGGCACCCGCCACCAATTGCGAGCTCTGGCTATCCAGAGCCTGGATGACAGCACTCAACAGGTCGAGACTGGTAACAAGGAAATCCTTCTCGGGTTCGTCTAGAGATGGGTTGTGAACAAATGCAGCCTGTTTCTCCAGGTTCTGATGGATGATACTGATGCATCGGTGAAAGATAGGTGTAGCGAAAGGTTGAAATTTTTGTCCCAGAGCAGTCGACACGTAGGAAAGGCACTCCAGCAAGGGGAACAACTCTCTCGAGTCATCCTTGACCTTCTTCCACCTCTCGATCAGAGCAGGCATGAGGATCGCCACCAGTTCATCCTGTGCGAGAGCCTCGCTGACGTGTTCCGCGAGAGTCTGTACGCAGTCGTACAGGATGAACATGTTCCGATCCTTGTACTGCCGCATGGCCGTGACAAACTGCTGGACGATAACCTTGATGTATGGCTCCAGAACACCCTTGCTCTGCTCCTCGAGGTTGGCAAAGGCAGATGCTGCAGCCTCCTGCACACGCTTGTTCCCATCGAGCATCTTGAGCAGGATACCCTCCATCATCGGCTCAAAGTACTTTTGCAGGTGCTGCGTGTCGTGGTTGCTGGGGTCTGGATCGGTGGCAGCCCATCGTGAGTATCGGCCGAGCGTCCAACATGTGATCTGACGCACAAGCGGCTCATCGTCGTTCAACAGGGAGATCAGGTAAGGGATCAGATCGGGAAGATGGAACGCCACACCGTCGAGACATCCATCGGCCACCGCACCCAGAGCCAGGACGGCCGCTTCTCGGTAAGGCCATTCTGGATGGCGGATGTTTTCTTTCAGGTACGGTAGGATGACCTCCAGGACGGGCTGGTGGAAAACAGTCGCCAGTACGTCCAATGCCGCCGCCGAGCATTTCCTCAGGTTCCACCGGTCCTCAGGATCCTCCATCCCGAGCAAATCTTCAAACTCGGAATCGTACTCATCGACTTCGCCATCGCTCAAGTCCCCATCGCCGTTGCGTGGCCGCTCTTCTACTTCTACACTCTCGCCGTTCGGTAGGCGCTGCCGTGACTTGGCGAACTTGGGCTTGATATCTTCCGCCTTGTCCTCCTCGTCGGCATCGTCGCCTTCGCCGCCAAGTCTGAAGATCTCCTCCTCCGCATAGATCATCGACTTCAGCAGGATGGGAACGATCTTGGGCAGGAATGGTCCCAGATGCATCCTCAACTGATCGTGCTCTCCAACCGTCAACCAGAACTCGGCGGCGTCCAAAGCCACGTCCACGTCGGTGTCATTCTGCTGCTGAACCAGGTAATCGACAACTCCGCTCATGACCGGTGCGATTTTGTCGGGGCGGATGTCGACCAGGTGCACCAGCGCGCGGCACACCTCCCGACGCAACGCAGGGTGGGGATTGTTTCCGAGGCGGAAGAGACTCTCGACCAGCGTGTCGATGTTGGCGAGTACCGCCTGCGACCGCATCGGGAGGAATATGTTGATGACCTCGAGGGAGTCGGCCTGGACCGCGGAGGACGGATGGTGGGTAAACTGCAGGAATTTGGGGATCATGAACGCAAGTGGACGCTGGGGATCCTTCTCCAGAGCCTTCTTGCTGTCCTGACAGACCTTCTTGAGAGCGCTCATAGCGCCTTCCTGCACAGCAACCGGTAAATCTGCTCCGCTGGGATCTTTGCCTTCTGTCATGGTGATCAACTGGGCCAGCACATCCGACCACGCCATGATTCCACCCTTCCGTAGCAGCTCGGTTATGACGTTTCCGGTAAAGCTTCTAATGCCACCATTCTCGTCGCGAAGGCCCTGAAGAAGTTCCGACTTGATGTAGGCAAGCGTTTGTGCCGAAAGCGAATTAGGTATTAAGGTGATGTTGTTCTTCATCAACATGGCGGCCGAGCAGCGGACAACATGGTATTCTCTGGCATCCATGCCGGGCACGGGGATCGGTTCGGGGTGTACGAGGATATAGCATAGATAATTGTTGATATCGGGAGACTGCTGGCTCGCCTGCTGCAGCATCTATAGGGAATTTCAGACGGATTAGCTATCTGTCCATCTTTCCCCTATTTCATCATCTCTGCGCGGCACCTCTGTGACGAGCATCCAAGTGACGCAAACGTTGTGGGGTACGGGAGGCAAGATACCTGAGTAGCACGCTGCTGGGTGGCCCTATCGGAACCCAAGCTGTCCTTCAGGTACCCCGCCAACTCCCGGATGGGAGCCTCTTGCGGTTGCCACGCCATTGGGGTAGAAAGTGTCGATGACGGTGCGTCTCAGTGAAGCGAGAGTGTCGAACGAGGTGTGTTCGGAAAACGTTCGACGCGGAGGAGGAGGAGTGGAGTCGAGTGTTCGAGGATGGATGACCGAAAGAGCAGAGGTGGGTGGATGAATTTCTTCTTCGCTGTGTTTGCAAGCGGTAGTGAAGTGGGGGATCACTAGCGGCAGCACATTAGAGTTAGACATATCGGTTTTCGCGCTTAGTTAGGGTCATTTCTTTTTTTTTTTTTTTTTACTTTTTGTTTTTGAGGGGGTGGGGGGGAGGGGCAGAGCTACATGAAAGCAAGCGGTAAAGGGCACACGAATCAGTTTCGGCAGGGGTGAATAGCACACCAAGAGGGTGGGAGGGCGAGGGGCGACGATGGGGGGAGGGGACGGGGAAGCGAACGACTGGGGTGGGGCGGCGGGGGAGGGGGCTGGTGGCGTTATTCCGGGGTGAGAGAGAAAGAGAGGAGGGAGAGAATGGAAGTTGAAGAACGAATGCGTCCCAGTCTCTTGGCTGGTTGCCGTCGCGAACCTTCCTCGTAAAACCTCCCAGCACCAACACCCGCAATGCGGTTCACATTCACCGGCCGACCGGCAACAGTCGCCAGAGCACCGTGCTGAAACGTGGGAACCGGAAAGGCAACCCGGCAGCGATGGTGATGAAGAAGAAGAACAAGAAGAAGAGGGATCAAGAGAATGAAGCGAGAAGGACTCTAGGGCTTTAGGGAGCAAACAGGAAGCATATTGCCACAAACTCACCAGAGGAATGTATTCTATATATGTTTAGCGGGTTCAAGGCAACATCAAAGTTGGCAGTTACGAGTAACGAGAGGCGGCGAATTGGAGAAGAAAGAAAAAAAGTATGAAGGCGCTGCCTGAACGGACCGACTGAATGAGAGCGGTGGGCGGTGAGAGGGAGTACTGGTGATGGTGGTGAAGAGTGGTTGGGTTTGTTTGGTTAGTGGAAGGTGGTGGTGAAGATGGTGGTGGTAGCGGTGGTAGCGGTGGTAGCGGTGGTGGTTGATGGTAGTGGTGTTGGTGGTGGTGATGGTGGTGTTGGTGGTGTTAGTGGTGGTGGTGTGTGTGCGCAGCAGAGCAGATCAGAGTACGGGTGGCCGGCGGTGGTGGGGGAAGCGACAGTTCTTGCGGGCGGGGGTGCGAATATCGGACAACCACAACATGACACAACCCACCAGAAAAAGCCGAACAAATTCAGCAAGAAGTAAGCGAGTCGAGACAGCTAAGTCAGTAAGTAAATAAGTGTGTAGGCAAGTAAGTGAGTGACACCTGGTTGGAGCACGAACACAAGCGACTCACCCGAGTGCTCTGGCGCCCTACTATGGCTTTACGTGAGCGAGACTGCTGCTGATTTGCAGTTGCGGTGATGAGCTACGGTGATGGTTATGGTTGTGGTTGCTGTGGTATTGGTGATGGTGGTGGCGATGCTGGTGGTGGAGGTGGCCGTGGTGGTGGTGATCGTCGTCGTCGTCGTGGACGTCGTGGTGGTGGTGGAGGCTGCAAAGATGTTGAAACTGCAGTAAGGGCCATATTGGGCCAATGGATGTCCGAGAAAGGGAATGTTGGGGGCTGATTTTCGAGACACTTGGCGTCGATCAGGGAAGTCTGGCCGCGGCTCACGATGGAGTAATATGGTACTTATTAAATCATAATACGCCCATAAAAGACCGAACAGGTAATCAAGTAGCCCGCAATTGATTGCAGACATTGGACAAGGGCCGTGATTGCCACAGAAACAAGCCACGTTAACGTTTGCCCTCAACAACGCTCAGCACTGCTCTCAAAGGCCTGCACCCCATCCAAGTATATATGATATGTATGCGTATCAGCAAGCAAGTACATGGACTACTTACTCAAGTATATGTGTATCCCGGACTCTTTGTTCCCACCTGCCGGTAGCTATCTCCTCCCATGTGAACCTGACCTGATCTGATTGATCATGATGTGTATGGCGATATGTCAACGGTGCCGGCGATTGGTGGCGGTGGTACATACATACATACCTGGTACCAGAGGGGGAAGTATTTAGGTAACTTTGTAGAGTACACTACAATGTGCGGATCGCGCTCGGCATCTCTCCCCCCCCCCTCCCCTCCCAATTGCAACACCTTGTAGCACCAACACGTACTATGGCTCTCGATATTGCGGTGGTCGCCCCTCCCACAGTGTGTGGATTCATTCACTCCGATAGATAGAGTACCATACATACTTCATACATACCAATGGGACAAGGGATTCTCGAGTAGGTACCCAGCACGTCTGCAGGCCCAGGAAGCAAGTGCGTTTGGGTATGTGTGTATGTACCGTTCACTACCCATAGTAGGCAGAGTAAGTACATAACACAGGTAAGTATGTGGTGTATAGTAGGTACTGACTTCCTCATCCCGGTTGGCGCACTCGTAGAATACTCGTAGAATACTCCAGAAGACGGAACTCGGGAATCCTTGACGACACACCCATCCACCGCTGGCTGTGCGTGGTGGATGAGCTTAGAGTAAATACTCTACTCATGTAGGTACTTGGTTGGCAAACAACTTCCCAACCGACCACATTTCTGCCGCCGCCCCGTCGCGTCCAATGCCAATCGTCCCCGTCGGCCCGTGCCACAGCGCGATCCCCCCAGGGCGAAGTTCGCTCGCTCTTCCGGACCGTGTTCGAATCCTCGATCGACCGCTTCGAGGGGAGGAGTGGCTCCACTGCAGATATATACCCGTATGGATCTACCTAGGGTAGGTAGGTAGGTAAGGTGCCTAAAAGCCAATCAGTAGGATATCGGTACGGACTAGAGTAGCTAGCGATGAGCATGAGCCGGTAGTTACTAGTAACTGGATGAAGGCAAAGAAAACCGGAGGCCGCATTTGGCCGGAATACTGTATGTATGTATATGTACGGTGTACGATGTACTGTGTCAGTACTCGCAGACGGAACGTAGAGGTACGTATGTAAAAGGTTGGTGAGGTCGAGCGCTCGGTAGTTCTCCATGGCTGTGATAGTAGGTTAGGTATGTAGCAATGTAGCATCGATGAATAACGACTGGATTGGCTCGAGGTGAATCGTGACTAATGGCGTTTCGTTTCTTGGCTTCGGGTGCGCAGCGCCGCAGCGACGACCGGGTCGCAGTTTCAATTCGGATACAGACAGACCATCACATGCCTGATGGTGGTAACATACTGTAACACTGATTAGAAGAGGTTGCAGTATGATACATCCATACGTTACCCACGCCTTGTAGCTCCCTGTTATCATCGGGGCTGGAGTTGGAGCCTGGAGTCACGATCGTGGCAACACCGCAGGCGCTGATCTTGTAGGTACTGTAGATCGGATCGATTAGATAAAGCTGCGAAACCGGCAACGTGTGGTTGGGGACATCTAGTGCCGGAGTAAGTGGACATTCGGATCAGAGGGAATTAAAATCCAAATGCGGTAACATATGAGCATTTATTAAATACATTTGATATGTTTTTTCACGCTCCATGGCCCCGCAGGGACCGAAAATCACAATATCTCGGCCAGTTTTTACCCGTTTTCTTCGATCAAACACTCACCTAGACCACACTGGTGCCCTCATTCCATCAGTACCATTTTTCCACCGGCCCTATGCTGTTGACCAGATGTCCGCTGCCAACTCCAGAGCTCCATGGTCCCGCCGGGACCGAAAATCACAATATCTCAGCCAGTTCTTGCCCGTTTTCTTCGATAAAACACTCCTCTGGATCGCATGAGCATGCTAATTCCATCGGTTCCATTCTTCCACAGGTCTGTTACCATTGACCGCGCTTCCGCAGCCCGCTCCAGAGCTCCAGAGCTTCAGCGCTCCACAGCCCCACTGGGAACGAAAATCGCAATTTCTCGGCCAGTTCTTGTCAATTTTCCAGGGCGCAGATATACAAAGCTCATCAATAGGTTAGCGATAAGCTGGAATTGTAGCAAATTTGTAGGTAATTTTTTCCCATTTATGTACATAATATTCTTTGTCACAACAATTAGCCACCATATTATGCTGCCAAGACATCACTATCGGGTAATCAGGCGTGCCAAGACTTTCTAATGAGGAACTCAGCCGTGCTAAGATTGGGCTGTGGCAGCCTTGCCCCTAGGCATTCCCGGGACCTCCCATACTAAATCATTTTTCGTTCATTTATCTTGGATCTTGGTTGCCACTCAACCACAACGTTTAAAAAAAATTGGGCTCTTTGAAAGAGCTCTTTTTTTAATTAGGTTGTTGTTGTGCACTAACCGAACGTCAAAAGTGGGAGTGAAAAAACTCCGGGTCTAGATGTCCCCAACCATATTCTCTCGTTGGACTTTGGACTGCGGGCTGACCAGGACTCTCCGACTCATGCTGTCAACATAGGTAGCACAGGCGCTAGTTACCTTCATCAGATTGATTAGATAAACCACGAAAAGCTGTGAGTCTGCGACGTACCTATTCTCTCTTTGGACTGCTGCCTGACAAGGACGCTCCGACTCATGCTATCCACCGGTAACTAGGGAGGGGGCACGGGGATCGAGTGACATAACCCTGAAAGGAAGGGGGCGAGAATTTAAGATGATGGAGAAGTTGAGGTTGTATTCATCTTCGAAGAGCCATCTAATATGGTTCCTCTCTGCTGCCTACAACGTTGGTGCCACTCAATGCGGCTAGTCCGGCTGACACATCACTCGGATCCACCGGATCCGACTAGGAAGTACATAATCTCTCCTCTCCCATGGTGGCAGACAACATCGAGGCGCCTCTGTGTCGCGGCGAGCATCGGTATGGAGCGACCTGGTGTTAGTTATGGGGGGCGTGACTAGTGCAGACCTGATGCGGTTGTTGAACGTTGAATTGTTTTCTGTTGTGGAGCAACAGCAACAGCAGTGAGAACCTACCTACTGCGAAACTCGCCTTCACAACATGGGGCTTGAAGATGATGGGTTCCGTTAGCCTTCGCTCTCCGTGATGCGACACAGAAGGTACCGGCACGAATACGGTGAATCATCAAGCGGGGGGGAAGATATAACGGAGGATCATTATTGATTCAATATTCAGTACTAATTCGATTGATACTCCACATTTTACCGATGGGTGCTTTGCTTCCGAGCCTTATTGATGTAATCCAAGCATTTCCCAAGTTTGGTTTCTTCCGGCTTGTTGATCCTCGCCACGTTTTGGCAGTTAGGCTCTTCACATATAGGATCTCCAAAGTCGTGGTCGGAATCAGAAGGGTAGTCCTCAGGTAGCACCTCCACCCCAAGGGTTCCCCAGAGGCTTGCACACTTGACCATCCAGCTCCTCCAATTTAGTTCGTGACCATCTGATTCGGCGGGGACCACATCCGCTTTGGGGGGTAAGAACCGTAGACATAATCTGCCAGATGGCAGTATTCGTGTGCGACTAATCCGAAGAATTTGGCTATATTACGATCCCGACTCAGCATCCATCCAACCCCGACAATCGGTGCACACGCTTACCGGACGACCTCACAGCACATCTCTTAACAAGAATAATCAGACCATAGTCACAGTACGCCAAACCACGATAACCCTTGGTCTGGGCCCTACAATCGACTATGACGGCGATGCCACGGCTCCCCTTCTCGCGGGAGTAATTTGCGACTCCGCGGTCACACAGCTTCCAATCCGTGAAGTCGATAAACATCTTTGCGAGCTCTTCGAGATTATTTTTGTACGGGGCATACAGCGCCTTCCTCCAGGATTTGATCAGACGGAGATCCGCGGCGGTCGATTGTTCTGCGTAGATGGGCAGTTTCATGGCAGATAGCGGATTGCGGTTGAGATGGGCGGTGGTTCGTAGGCGGTGGAGCGAAGTACAGCGTTCGTTAACCGCTGTGGTTGAAAATGTTGGAGCTGGAACTGTGGGCCACCGTGGGCTTTATACTGAATGATGAGAGGGAAGCAATGAGCCCCCGGGAAGCGACTGAAGCTGCGAAAATTTTGAGCAACCGGAAATTTGCTTCCCAGCAAACGGTTACCATCAACTTGAACCGTGGAGTCCCACTCGCTGCCGCTGCGGCCACAAAGTCATGGACGCGGTGTAGAGTACTTGACAGCCTTTCAACAGACACCCAACCCCTCCGCCCGCCCAAACAGCGCAGCTTCCAGTGTCTTCTGCCTCCCGGGATCCCGCATACTCGCCCACCAGTAGTACTGTTATTACATACCTCATACTTCCCGCCGAGCTTCCTCCCCGCCTGGTAAACATACTGGTTTCGAGTTCAGCTCAGTTCAACATGATCGGGCTGGTGCACTACAGGTCTGCAAGCTCTTCCGAGGCCAACCGCAGACAATACAACTCCGCTCTAGCGGCCGGTTACAGCTCAAAAGTTCGAACTACTTGAATGAAATCGCCTTGTGGTGACTATCTAGGTAGTCTTGGAATCTTCCGAATGTACTTCGTGTGTTTTGGAAGTACTCATTGGAACACCGCATCGAGGTCGATAAGCACTGACCATTATTTGCAGAGTACAGATAAAGGCTGCCGAATTCTGATTCCTTAGAGTACCTAGAATTCCGATAACCCTGACCGTTGGGCCACAGTTCGGCGATGGGACACCACGACTACCTGGTACATACCACGGAGCACTGGTGATCACTCCAAAACTCCACAGCCCCACAGTCTCGCACCCTAACTCCGGATACCGGTCAGAACCATGATCCATCTTGATCGGCGCCCGGGACGGGAGATGTACATACGGTGCACGCCTTCCAAGGCACTACCACGGTTAACATGCCTGTGATACCGTACTCCACGCCACGCCGTGAACGCTTCACCTTCGTTGGCCGAGGAATCCTCCGCCGACTAGAGAAAGCGAGTGACGCCCCATGTATCCCCTACAGTACATGGCGAACACTAATAACTATCGCCGTTCCTGAATCCTCTGTCAGCACTTCCCATACTCAGTATGTACCAGTACTCGCACAGGCTGCGATCTTCTCCTGAGTCTTCTCGGACATCCCAGGGTACACGAGGCAGGGAGCGTATGTAATCATTGGCTCTCACGGAGTCACGGAGGCTCGCCGTCGAACACCGCCCTCCCTCCCATACGAGAAACGCCCCTGGAGGCTGGTGATGATGATGAAAGAGTTGATCGATCCGATCCTCCACGTCGCACCAGGCCGTGCCGTGCCGTTAGTGGCTAGAAGAACGGAAAGAAGCTTCCGTTCCCCGGAATCTTTGGGTTCGGATGTTGCGCTCCCCCTCCCCACACGCTCCCCGTCCAATGGCTCGGCCCGGACCGGACCCACAGCGAGCCGAGTCGAACGCTACAGCGATGGAGAAGGGAGCGCGCTGCGCGCCGACGTAGTTTCTGCGGCTCTGAGCTCTGCCGGAATATGGAGGAGGATCTCCGTCTGCAAGCACAGCGGCACTGGCTATCAAACTGCAATGTCTATGCCTTGCCTTATCTACCTACCGTATGAGGTTTAGATTGGCATTCGCTTGGTGAATTCTGCATCGGTGCTCCATCTTGAAGATTAAGGTACCGAACGTTGAATCGCTGCTGATCATGCTAGATGAATCGTGACTCCCAAGTGACGACGAGTGATACCACCTCTCCCTTCGATAATTGCACTTCCGGCTCGCGATCTGTATGATACTATGATATCTTCTCTTATTGACCGTACTGGTATCGCTACACGTCGTCGTCATGGCCCACCCACCGCCCGCCGCTCACTGCCCACCGCTCGCCAATCGCAAATCGCAAAAAAAGAAAACCCAACTCCCAAACTCCAGCCGCCGCACCCAAATGAACACAAAAAAAAATAAAAAATACCAAAATACCAAACCTAGATCACACTAAAGTCCTACACGATCTAGCACGCCCCTCCATCCACTGACGACCTTGTATCCGCGGCCAACCACGGGCTTCGGCTTCCGCGGGCCGTCGCGGTAGATGACGTCGACCACGATCGTTGCCAGGATCATCGCTTGCAGCAGCAGTGTGCCGATCAGTGCCCATCTCGCCGCGAGCTATCGTCGTCATTAGTATCATTGCAGCGAGTGAGCGAGCGAGCGGAGAAGAGGGGACCCACCATCTCACCGCACAGGAACGGAAAGTCGATCTCGACGTCGTTCCAAGTCTGTTGTTTCGCCACACACACCCAGAACAGCGTCGGCGTATCGCCCCTGTTCGTCTTCCTATCCAGCGCCACCGCGGCGATGACCATGCTCAAGCAGACGCCCGTGATTGTCAACGCCGAGAACTTATGCGCCGCGGTGCCCAGCTTCCTAACATTGACCTTGATGGAGGCGATAAAGAACGCGAGGTCTGCAGCGAACGTGACAACCGCAGCCGCAAGCATGACATACGTCGCATCGAAGAAGATATCTCTCGGCCAAACATTAGCTGCGTCGCCCTGCTGCTCATGCGTCGCCGCCTGCGTCGACGTGTACGTGTACAGCACGCTGCCGATGCTGCCCAGCGTGGTGCCGGACGCGATCATGCTCGTGATCCGCAGCGTCAGCCGCGTGCGGTAGTTCAGCTTGTGGTAGTCCAGCTTCGAGATGAATTTGCGCACGCCCTGTTTCGTCGGCATTCCTGTGCGCCGCCGCCGTGGCTTCTTCGGCTTCGATTGAGAGACGAGCGGCTCCGCGGCTGGGCGCCCCGAGGATTCGTCTTCGCTGAAGTCCTCGTGGAATAGGCTGGCGCTGGAGCGCCCGAGCGTGCTGATGTCGCGGAGACCGCCGGTGGGGTCCATTACTGCCATTGTTGCGGAGTGGGTTGCGGAGTGTGTTTCGGTCGTGTGTTTCAGTTCGGCTCGGGGGAAGATTCGTTTCTGGAGCTCTGAGGTCGTGGGATCGTGAATAAGTGGGGAGCCAGCCCCCGCAGTTTATGTACTCTCGCAACTTCTGTTACAACACATTCACCGGGGGCAGGAGGGGAGGGGGGGTGGTGGAAAAAACAAAGTCCACGCCGTCCAATTGGACTACCGTTCTTACTCTACCACGTCAGCCATTGCTTGATTCGATTGGCATGCACGAGGGGAATCAGCCCTACCTCTATCGTTCTGCTTATGGATGCGTGGCTGGGATCCTCGGTCAGCGCTGTGCTTGCAAGTTGCAAGTTGCAACTCGCAAGTTGCCGTGCGACTGCGGGGAGGAGCCGGGGATGCTGATCGCACCCGAAATAGCAGCAGCAAGTAGCTTCAGCCACAATGGGTCGTGACAGGAACACCACAATGCACACACCTCTCATGATTGGGCCTTGTCCGGCGGCCAATCCGCCAATGTGGCTGGGGCGTTTCAACTTTCGAGCGTCGGACAGTGGACACGGCGGACTCTCTCAGTAACTATCGCCGCCTAGGTCAGCACAGCTAATTGTGTGTATATAGATTAACCCCATAACGTGAGACTACTCTACTCTACATAATGCCAGCAGCCGGTTACTCGCCCGCCCGCGCGTCCGGTGGTCTTGTAACAGTTGCACGCCAGTCCTGCTCCGCCACCGGGAATTCGAATTCGAATCCCATCCCGTCGTGCCTGCTCAATGCTCACTTCACTGTTCAAAGTTCAGGCGCCCCGTGGGCCCGTCCCAAAAAGTTACCTACATAGCGGAATCTGAGACACTACCTATTTGGGAGATGTTGGAAGGTGATAGGTACCGGACGGCTGGATCGCATCACGCCACTTTCCTCGCGCCGTCTGCGGTCTGCCTGGAGGCTGAGGGCTGAAGGCTGAAGGCTGGATGACCGGAACGCCCGACACACAGAGGGAGAGAGACAGAGAGAGAGAAAATATCGATTTGTTTCGCATACGGTTCAGCCTTTCCACTACTACCGTAGTACTAGGTAGAAGCCTTTCCCGACCGCCCGCCCGCCGCCCCCCAGAACTCCAGAGGGGCGGATCTCGATTCTCGCTACCGGTAACTACGAAAGTTGCCGTACAGTCCAAACACACGAACGCCCGAGAGAGACAGAGAGGGAGAGAGAGGGAGAACATCGATTATTGTCGCACACGGCCTTTCCTCGCTCGGGCGACCCTGGTACCACACGAACCGCGAGCGCCTTTTTTTCCGCCAACGAAACTGCACTTCCCAGCACCAGGAGCCAATTCCGAATGACATTCCATGAACAACGCCTCGACTGGACATGAGCACACACGGAGTCACGGACGCGTACAATTATCAACGAGCAGCAACAGAGATTCATTACGCCATCCAACCCCCCAATCCCAACCATTCATCCATCACCAATCATTCCCATACGATGCAGCCGTTACAAGTAAAAAAGAAAACACAAGATCCATCGGTCCGTCATATGTAAGTAAGTAGGTCGGCCCCCCAAGCTTCCACCTACACAAAAGTCGTATGTACAATGCACAATGCACAATCCCCAGCCGTTAAAGTATACAGAGATGCTAGAAAAAATACAATTGAAAGAAAAAGGAAGAAAAAAACCAGATCGCGAAGACAAAATAGCCGTCTATGTGCTCGTACTTGTACATCTATTTCTGCCCATCAATCGGGAAGCGGTCGAGGAACTTGAACGTCTTAAGACCTGTCTCAAAGTCCGCCACGAAGCTGGAGTCCTTGCTGAACCGATCGGTGATGTAGACTCCGGTGCCGTTGGTTGTGACGGCAGCAGCGACCAGACCGGCCCGTCCAATGCCGACACCGCCGACGGGCTTGCCGTAGTTGTAGGCATCGCGAACGATCTGCGTGGGGCGCCCGGCGGGGAAGAGAGTCGACTTGGCCAGGAAGAGGTCCTTGGTTCCGTCCGTGACGATGATGCCGTCGAACAGGACCGCATCGGCTCCCGTGTAGGTGCTTCCGACACCATTAGTCAAAGTCTCGGCGATGACGGTGGGGTTCGCGCCCTTCGCCTTGAAAGCGGCCGCGATCTCGGCCGCCTGTGCGAGCGAGGCCTTGGAGCCGGTGGTCGCCAGGATACCGATGTTGAGGGTGGCGATGCTGGCCAGAGGTGTACCGAATACTGCGACACCTGCGGTCGTGTTGTCGTGGTAATACTTGGAGTCGGGCCTGGGAGCGGGCTGTCCGAGGGCCTGTGCAACGCGGGTGGCGAGGTCGTTGGAGATCCTGTTGAACTGGGCGATGGCGCGTGCCTGGACGGTCTTCGACTTGACGTTTCCGAGCTCGAAACGGGCACTGTTGACAACCATCTGCTGCTCGGGCTTCGAAAGGGAGTTCCAGAACAGACGGGGCTGGGTCCAGTAGTCGAGGAAGGTGGGCGAGATCTCACGGACGTAGTGAGCGTCGACGACCTTGCGGGCAGGGGCAGTGAAGAATCCCTCTCCTTGGGTCTGGTTCGCGGCGAAAGGAGAGCCGGCGTTCAGCGAGTTCTCGCTGTAGGGGTAGATGTTCTCGTGGATCATCTGCTGGCCAGCACCGTCGCGGTGGTTGTTGTGGACTGCAACTCTGGGCCTGTTGATGGGAATCTGCTCAAAGTTGGGAGATCCCATGTTGCGGTTGATCTGAGTGTCGACGTAGGAGAAAAGTCGGCCCTGCAGCAGAGGATCGTCGGAGAAGTCGATACCACGGACGACGTGGCCGGGGCAAAACTATCGTGACGGTCAGCATTTCGAACCTGACCGACGGGGAGAGAGAGTGATCTGCTTACCATCGACTGTTCGGTCTCGGCAAAGTAGTTGCGGACATTCTTGTTGAGGACAAACTTTCCGATCGGAGTGATGGGAACGTATTCAACGGGAACAATCTTGGTAGGATCCAACAAGTCGAACCCATACCGAAGGACGTCCTCCTCGTCCATGATCTGAACACCGACCTCCCACTCAGGGTAGTTTCCGCCCTCGATAGCGTCCCACAGGTCCTGACGGTGGAAGTCAGGGTTCTTACCGGCCAAAACCTGTGCCTCGGGCCAGATCAAAGAGGCTAGGCCCTGTTGTGTCTTGAAGTGGAACTTGACCAACTTGGACTCTCCGTCATCGTTCACGAAACGGAAGGTGTGCACACCAAAGCCATCGATATGCCTGTAGCTTCGGGGAATACCATGGCCGGAGAGTGCCCACAGCAGAGTGTGCATGGTTGAAGGGTTCATTCCAAAGAAGTCCCAGGCACTGTCGTGAGCCGTGGCAGCCTGGGGAATCTCCTTGTCAGGACGCGGCTTCACCGCATGGATCAAGTCGGGAAACTGTATTGCATCCTGGATGAAGAAGACGGGTACGTTATTGCCAACGATATCTAACCCCGGCAGTCAGTATACAACCCCTCAACGAGACGTCTTGAAGTTGGCATACCATAGTTTCCCTCATCAGTATAGAAACGTAGAGAAAATCCATGGACGTCTCTCGCAGTGTCGGCACTTCCACGGGATCCAGCAACGGTGGAGAATCTTAAGAAAATGGGCGTCTGCTTTCCGGCCTTGCCCAAGAAAGAGGCAGCGGTGACATTGGACCAATCGCCGTACGACTCAAAGTAACCATGAGCTCCTGCACCACGTGCATGAACTAAGCGACCGACCGTCAGCATCAAACACAAACTATCACTAGCACCACCACCAGCACCACAATTATCACCACCACCACCCCGCCCTTCCCGGCGCAAACTCACCAGCTCTCTCAGGTATACGCTCATGGTCGAACCGCGTAATCTTAGTCCGCAACACGAAATCCTCCAACAGAGCACCGCCTCTTGCGCCGACCTTGAGGGTATGGCGGTCATCGACGGGGGTGCCGAAGTCGGTGGTCATGTAGGTATTTGAATCGTCGACGGTGAACTGGTCAAGGAATCCATCGTCGCCGGTGACCTTTTCTTCACGGTTCCGGAGCTGGCCTTCGTCGTCACTGCCGCCGGCCTCCATGAACGGGCATGCTGCCGAGGCGAGCAATGCGTTGACGACAATGCCACTGAGTAATGAGATCCTCATCTTCGATGTATTGGTAGAGGGGAGGTCGTGGACGGTTGAGCTGGGCTGTAGGTCGGGTCAAGCAAGCAAGCAGTTCCGATCAGTGCTCGTTAAGCAGACGCTCGGAGGGGACGGGCGGGTGGGGTTTATATGTAGTGACAGGCAGGCAGGCCACTACACTGAGACCTGTGCTGGGGGAGCAGTGGACAGAAGGATCGGAAAGCGGAAGAAGATGTCTGAGGAATCGCCCGGGGGTGGTGGGGATGGGGGCACCCAGCGGAGAGGTCTAGGAGCCGGCTTGGTCGATGGACGGATGGCTGCTCAGTTGGGGCTAGGATGCCAGCCGAAGTCGGACGTTTACATATGCGACGAACAGATCCACCCGCCATGTCGACCACCGCTGCAAGTCCACTGCCGCCTTCTCCCCCGCCACACCACCACCTCCACCCACGGCCATGGATTATTTAGCACCAATTCTGCGTCTATTTGGCCAATCCGAGTCCCGAGGACACAATTGCCCATGTATGCCGACCGGATATGATTGGAACACGTGCATGCAACTGTCTCAATCTTTTTTCTCTCTGGGTCGGGGGGTGGGGGGCCTGGATCGGAGCAGATCTATAATGGAACTTCGGACACTGGTCACTGGTTGCTGTTGCTTTGCTTGCCTCTTCTCGGGATTGGCTGGCTGGTATGTATCATACGTGCTCTACATGCATACCTAAAAGTAAGTACTGAGCTATGTATTGTACCTGTGTAGGTATGTCCCGGAGCAGGTATATTTCCGCAGGGGACTGAGCACGCACGACGCAGAGGTTCGAGTGGAATGAAGGAAGGGCTCACAGCGGTAGTTAGTTGGTTTGGAGGTAGCATATGTATCAATGCGTCTCCGATCCAGGGTTCAGCACCAGGTCCACTAACCACTGGCGTGTATTGCTTGAAGCTGCGGGACGGTGCATGCATGACGCAACACATAACCAAGCGTCATACAAACTTTTTTGGCGCGTGTCCGCTCCACTCGCCTGGGGGGGGGGGGGGGGGGGGGGGCATGTGTACTCTACTGTAGTTACCGGAGTATTGAGAGCGCGTAAGCACACTGTGATTGCATGGGAAATAGATACAATAAAATGACCCGTGCTATATCACACAATCAAGATCGATGTTCGGCGAGAGCAGGATTATTGCTCGCACAGCAGCAATCGGCACTGCTTCACTGCTTCACTACTTCGCCGCGGTTTGGCCTTTCGTGGAGTGCTCAGTGCACTCCGCAGATATAGCTCGGCGGCGAATGCCGTGGAGAACTCACTAGACGGCATGCGGGCTTGCGGTACTGGCTGTGGAGAGTTGAACGCAGCAGCAAGGCAAAGGAAAACAGACCAGAGGAAAACAGGCAACTGCCTGTCGACCAAGGCATGTAGATGCAATGCATCACGGTGGAGCCTGGCAAGTACCTCTGTATCAACCTATGTATGTAGGTATCATACTATGGCCAGGTCCGTGGAGTATCGAGAGCCTTGGCGAGCAAGGCTCTGCCTGCGGGATTTCGGTAGCTCGGACACCCAGTCAGTCAATCAACCAGTCAGTCGCCGAGGAAAACGTACATCCTCAACTTCCGACTTCCGTCTTGTGGGTCCCGCCGGTGACTGATTACATAGCAGCACCAAGCTTCCGGCGATGGGGATTGTCAGCCCACCGGTTGGTTGTTTGGTTGGTTGGTTTGCTCGACAAACCGGAAAGGCCAACCGCCTCTCAGCCGATCCGGAAACTTGGAGGCCGCCGCCTCTCAGCTACATATACCTACCCACATACATACGTCCATCTCAATCGAATGTTTTGACGGCGAACGGATGTTCCGTTCTCGTTGTCGTCGACCTGGGACCTGGGGCCTGGATCTGGAGACTCGATGCAGAGACGTTGAAACTTGAAAGTAAATACTTACGTATGAAAGATCGTCCGCGCTAGGGTCCTAACAAATCAATCGCAGCCCAGTCCAGCCCCAGCCCAGCAGATGAGAAAGCACGGTATTCTAGATCGATAGATAGATAGAGCACCCGACCCATAAGCGACGGTCACGGCGGTGGATATATCGAAGGCACATCGTATCTGTGTGGAAGACTCTACTACCTTTTCCCATACCGACTGCCGAATCCCGACAATGTGCTGGCAGATCCCAATATCCATATCTCGTCTATGTCAAACAGGAAAGTCCCGTGAGCGTGAGGGGACGAATCGGCCTCAGCGAAGGGCTGTACCCCGGATGGGCCATGCGGCAAGGTGTGTAGAGTACTCTACACACCTACCCACCTACCTATCGCCGCAGATTGGAGTGCCATGCGTTGGTTAGCTTTCCAGTTGCGACTTCAAACGGAGGAATGCGTGCGCTCGAAATGATGTCTAACTAACCTGCGTTGCGTCGTCTGGGGAGAGGCTCGGGGGCTCCGGTTCCGCGCGTCCAAAGGATCAAAGATCCCATCCGTCCGTGCGCCCAAGCCTCTCCCGGCCGTATGATACCGTGTGATGTATGTACAGGTATGCTGCCAGCCAGCCCGCCGACTACTCTACCGCAGGCACACACTCCAGCGGCACAGACAGCGACGCTCTCCGTTCGACTCTCCGTACGTTCGCCAAAGTTATGGTTTTGGAAATGACCCCACGCCGGCAATTTATAGCGACCCCTATCCATCTGTTGATCCAAATTCCAAGACAACTCCGATCGGAGGGCGTCGCTCCCGAGAATAGGTAGGTAGCTACTAGCAGCCGCGCGGAGGTTGCTCGGTTGGTTGCGGACTTCCATGCAGCAGCGGCAGAATTCCAACGGCCCTTAAGTCAAGCCTGCCTACGGTTCGGAGGTCCCGGATTGGCCAATCATATGTGTGATAACTATGATGCATAACTGTGATGGTTATGCCGCTTTTTGATATCTGGCTGGCTAATCTCTTTGCCTGCCTCTCCCCCCTCCCCCATTCCCCGGTACTATGAATACTTCAACTAGCTGCTGTTGAGGTGGTAATGTGACAACCACCGCTCCCGATGGAGAAACTTCAAACCTCCAAGGCGGCTACCACCACCACCACCACCACCGCTCGACTCGGTTGCTCCGGAGGACGGGGACGGAAGTCGTAGCTTCATGAAGACTAACCGCCCTGGTTGGCCTGGGGGGGTCTATCGGTACTAACCAGAGTAGTAGAGCACCTACATACGCTATAGTAGCCTTGGCATGCATCATCCAAGATCGCACTGTTTCTGATGAAATGGCTATCGCGATTTTTAAGCTTTCCGGATCCAGCCCTTCTGCTTCTTTGGCTGGCTCGCTCGTTCGTCTATGTAGAGTACTCTAGGTAGATACCGCTGTGTAATCGCTAGGTCTTCTAGAAAGTCTAGAAGACGAAAAACTCGTCAACATCGATATCGATAGAGTATCGCCACGTTGATTGGAGATCCGGCGATGGTCCCGGTGTGCCTACGCAATGTTAAACAACTCTAGATATAGGTAACTACCTCATATTCACTTATCTACATACACAGATAGTCTGGCCTTTCGGTGTTTCTACGGCCGAACAAAGGATCGGATGCAAAGGACGCAAAGGACTCGACCACTCAGCTCGAGAACCCCTCCGATTCGTCTGCTCTCTCTTGTCTCTCTCTTCTCCGCTGGCCATTCGAAATTCGGAACTCGAACTCTGTCTCTCCTTCTTCATCTTCGTATTCCCCTTCGGGACGAATTATACTCTGCTAACCACGCTGCGGTATAACCAGGCAGTTGGAGTATCTAGTGAGGGAAGGCTGCAAATGGCTGATCCGCGGCGCTACGGAGAAAATTGAAACCCCACCAAACACAACACAACACAGCCAACCCACAGCGCGCGGGCGCCGGTATGTATGGACGAGTGCATGTGTACTCTATGCATAATAACTATGGGGGTGTGAGGACTCAGGAGAGGCATTCAGGAGAGACATCATAGCCAATACTCAAGACTCAATACTATAACACGGCACGATATGAACACAAGCGGTACCACATTTTGGAAACCGGTTCAGCCCCCCACCCCCCATCCTTCGGCGGCGTGGAGCTTCTCGAGCAGGCCATGCCGCCGTGATGGGATTTTGGGGATACCCATGTGGTTACTGTGCGAAAATCTGCAGGAAAGACACCACACCGGCGTGCAGTGGTCGGCGAAGAGGCGAAGAGACACCAACATGTACCAGTACATCGGCGCTCGCTCGGCGCCAGATGGTGGGCAAGCCGAGCGTATGGTAACTACCGTATCTAGCCTTGCACGGTTAGGGTAGTCCGATCCCGTCGTCGGATGTGAACACTGAGAACCTTGAACTCTGGACTCTTGAGCTCGATGGGTTGGTTGGAGAGTGGTCCGATGCTGTCAAACCATCATCACCACCTCCACCACCTCCTCCACCACCACCTCCGAAGCCCCATCGGACTATCGAGGTGGACAATGGACAGTGGACACGATACTATACGGTATTTATGGGCTGATCTTATAGTTTCCCACATCCATTGGACCAGGAAGTCCGGAGAACCTTAAAATACCTACAGCCGTGATGTCGCGTCACGATGATCCAGCTGCAGTTGTTTTTTCCGCACCCTCCCACCCACTCACTCACCCACCCCATTTCGTTCACCGTGCAGTGTATGTACATGCAATACATAGGGCCTTAGGCATTAGGCATGCGTCCTCTATTTATGTCCTAAATCCGTCCCAGAATAATTACATAACGTTGATCGCCGTGAAGCCCGTGTTGGTCTGCTTTTCCTCCATACATATCATGTATAATGTATAATGTACCACAATTACATATGTACGTCGGGGGCCGAGACACAACACCACCCATCCCATAGATAGAGTACGGCAGTTGCTTTTGCTCGGGGCATCGTGGACGGTGGGAGCAGGCTGGTGAGAATTTTCTGAGTGATCGATTGGAAACACCACGCCTTTCCGTTTCCGCAAACCATTTCTCTTCAGCTGGGCTGCTGGTCGGTTGGGCCCCATGCATAAAAAAAAAGAAAGAGAACCGTTGTTGTCTCTTCTTTCCTTCTTCTCCTTCTTTATTCTTCTTGTTGTTCCTCCAGTTATTCCTCCAGCCTTCCAAGATCCCCCAACTATCTCAAACACATCACTACAAAATACAAACGCCGCCGCCGCCGTCGGAACGCCCACGAAGCAGTGTGTCGCACGGATGTCACACGAACGAGCTGATCTGAGCTGATCTGAGCTGCTGAACTCAGCGGGGCACACGACACGCCTGTACCTCGCCGTGCACCGCGAGCTGTCGGGGATAAAAGAAGAAAAACTGCACCTGTCACAGTTCCCGTAGACATGCGACCTCCCCCCAGCACGCTCCAGGCTCCAGACCCCAGGCTCCAGGCTCAACCCCAACACTGTACGCTCCCGTTCCCGTCCCCGGGTGGTTAGTTGGCACCATGCCACCGTGCCACCATGTGCCCTCCGGCTGCCATCGTGGTTGAAACTTTGTGGTTGTGGTTGTGGTTGTGGTCGTGGGCTGAGACCGAGATCGTGCCTATAGTCCTATGGACCGCGCGATACATAGTTTCCGTGCGGGAAGGAAGCCTGGCACTGGCGCTCCAGAATCCCGGAAACATGCGTTGCCTTGCCTTGCGGTGGAATTAGGTAATTGTAGTTATAGGTATAGTAGCATATAGTAGCATATAGTACAGCAGCGAAGCATCATCGTTGCAACTTGCAACCCCGAGACATCGACAAGTTCCGCTCGAGCTCGGCCGTTTACGCACGTACGTGAACTACGTAGCTGGTCGTGACTCGTGAGATCAAGCGGACACGAGGTACAATGCGCGGGGAAGAGCGTCGGCCGTGAATGCGTCAGATCAACCGTGTTTCATGTTGCTAGATTTCATTCGTTGATGTGATGAGTGCTCTTGTATCGATGTTCTGGGTACTCTTGTGTCGATCCGACGGGCGGGCTCAGCTTGTAATGGTGTCAGAACTCGGAAGAGATCTCCTGCTCCGGGTGTTCGGCGTATCAGTGCTTTTGGTCATGGATGTTCGACTACCTATCATAGTACCGGTAGGTGGAAGAGTTGGCATGAAGTTACTGGGACGCATTTCATTCAGCCCTCGAAATCCTGGTCCGGTTGTGAGTTGCGAGGAGGCCTCACTGTTGTACAATGATTGTGTGGAACGCGAGACGTGGAATGATACTTTGGGTAGGTATTTCGTGACGCAACGTCGGGTCCACAAGGTTTATCACATACAGTCACTCGATGACAGCCTGGACAGCACCAAAAAGAAAACCGAAACATCGACCGGACAGGAGATCCACTGCACAGCATGCAAGACAATTGCTCGGCCCAGATCCTCCTGACTTCCTTCCACCACTCACGTGCGCCCTTAAACCTGCGCGGGAGTTTGCGGCAGATGCTTCATCATATCCTTCCTTGGCAGCTCCACCGAGCTGTAAAAAAAGGCCGAGGTCCCAATGGGATACTCATCATAGTCGTTCCCCTTGTTCAGCGCGCCCCACGTCTCTTCCACGAATTCCGCCAGCGGCATTCCGAAGTTTCGGCCGTCTTTGATGTCTGCGTCATGATTAGCACCAGCACACGCTGAACAGGATCGGGTGCATTGTCACGCACCTGGCTGCACCGCCTCATCATGCAATTCCGTCTGCACTGCAGGCGGCAAGATCTCGATGACCCTCACACCAGTATCCTTCAAGTGCGATCTCAGCGTGATGCAGAAGCTGTGCAGAGCCGCCTTCGACGCACAGTATCCCGGGCAGCGGCCGAGCGGGGCAAGCGCGAGGCCGGAGGTGGTGTACATTAGCGCCGTCGGCTTATCCTGCGCCTTCAGGAACGGCGTGAACGCCTTCGTCAGGTAGATCGGCGCCGTGTAGTTCGTCACCAGCTCTGTGTCGAACATGGCGAGGTCCACGGTATCGGGCTTCGAGAAGTCGAAGCCCCGCTGGATGCCGGAGTTGATCAGGACCGCGTCGAGGTCGGGGTGTTCCCGGGTTACTCTGCGGGGCACCATTATTTAATGCCCAAACATCATCACGCATCCGAGACTCACTTCGCAACCCAGTCGTTGATCTTGTGGAGTTTCGTGACGTCAAAGACGTACGACGCGATGCGGTCTTTTTCGGCGGCGTGCTTGGACTCGAACTCCTCGAGATTCTTGCCGCGCCTGCCGACAATGATCAAGCTCTTGCCCTCCGCGAGGAACTTCTCGCACAGGCCGAGGCCGATGCCGCTAGTCGCGCCGAGGACGAGGATCTTGGTGAATGGGAAGGACATGTCGATATTGGTATTTGATTCGTGTTTGATTGGTGTTTAGATTGGTTGAAAAGCCACGATGCTACTGGCGCTGCTGCTCCCTTTTCATCGCCGCCCCGCAGCTGGAGTTTACGTCACTAACACCGCTACTCCGCGAATCATGGACTTAACGTACACGGGGTTGGAGCCAGTGTAGGTGAGACCCGACGGTAAATATGACGTTAGCGCATAGCGAAAGGCGTATGTAGGCGTAGGCGTACATAGGTAGACGGTGCCGTTGGAGCCGGTGTGGATAGAATCGGGCAGTAATACTCCCCGGAGTCCGACGGCAACGCTTCCGGAGTCCGACGGTATCATAACCGACCCGGAGTCCGGTGGTCAACGCTCCCCGGAGTCCGGACTCTCGGAGGTTCATTACGTAAGTACTTACTCAAGTAATATACTATGTATACAAATAACGGGAAGATTGTTATCCCGTCAAGAGTCAAGACTTAACTCCAGTCCAGCGATCATCCAAATCTCCGAACCACATGCGTTGGCGCATAACTACTTCCCGGACTCTGGAAGGTTGCGAATGTACGTAGAGGGTCGTACAATGCCGGAAGATCGTTTTCCCATCATGACTTGACTCCGGTCCAATGATAGCCACAACCTCCGAATCATCTCGACCGGACGGGTTCGTGGTTATTCGGACAGGCTGCCAGCAGCACCAGTCTGTTCTGTCCGCATACCAGTGAACCCCTCAAGTAGGTACATATCTCCATCTGATTGTACATATCGCTGTTCTCGCCGACAAATACGTTTTCCCATAGCCAATTCCCTCAAATTCATCAAGTCAACATAGGTATCCATGCGACCTGCAGTTACTTCTCCTCATCCGCAGGCCCACTCGTCGTTTTCCTGACTAACTACTCCACAAAACCGAGACCAGCGTGCAGGGATCCTATGACCGATTGCGGAGCTATCACAATACATCACCCATGTTCCCCGGAATGGGAAGACTTGTCGGCTGTGGTGCATGAATGCGCCGACTGAACCGCTAGATGAGATGATTCCCCGCTAAGCCCCGCTTATTGGCATGTATCCCGCCGGCTCGAGCTGACAACCGCTTTCCATCACAAGATAATTCGACCATATCGAAAACCGTTCGATACGGTTACGAGTGTCCGAACCGCAAGCTGTCGGAGCTAAAGAAAGCATAGGTATATGTATGTGCCGTTAAAAGATCACAACGTCAACAGCTCCATAGACCTACCACTTCACCTATATCGAGAAATCACAATCGCAAGCAGTAAAAGACGATGCCTCCACCACCAGCCGCACCTCCCGCGCCCCCATTGAATGTCGTCATCGTGGGCGCCGGTATCGGCGGACTATCCGCAGCCACTGCCTTCCGCCGGGCAGGGCACAATGTTTCCGTGCGTGCCCTCTCCCGATCAAGCATCTCGCAATTCTAACCTCTCCAGATCTATGAACAAAGCGCCTTTTCCAACGAACTCGGTGCCGCAATCCACCTTGGACCCAATGCCTCGCGCATCCTTGGCAGATACGGCTACGACGAGAAACGCCTGCGCGGCGTGCGCTGCGACAGCTTGGAGATGATGGCTCCGGATGGCACCACAATGTTCAAGGCATTGACCGACCATGTTACCAAGGAGTATGGCAGTCCGTGGTATCTGTGTCACCGTGTGGACCTGCACAACGAACTGAAGCATTTGGCCTTCGATGAGGAGGGGGAGGGGAAGCCGGCAACACTGCATTTGAGCTCCAAGGTTGTGGGGGTGGATCTTGAGAAAGGGCAGATCACCCTCGCGGGGGGTGAGGTAGCTCAGGGCGACTTGATCGTGGGTGCGGACGGAATCCATGTGCGTATACATATCCCTTCTCCTGCCCCACGAGGAATATAGTAACCAACGTGGAATAGTCCAGGATCCGCGACCATATCATCGGCGAGGGCTACTCTCCACCCCCCTCGGGCAGCAACACCTACCGCTTCATGATCCCCGTGTCGAGCCTCACCTCCGACCCTCTCCTATCCGCATACGTCCCGTCGCCCACCAAGCCGGGGATGAAAATTGTCGTCGCCCGCGACAAGCGGCTGGTCTTCTACCCGTGCCGCGATTCCACACTGCTCAACGGCGTCGGCATCCACCCGGACACGCTGTCCAAGCACTCCACGGAGGAGTGGAATGCAAACACCTGCACGGTCGAGGACCTGAAGCAAACGTATGCCGACTTCGCGCCGGTTTACCACCGCCTCTTTGAAGTCGCCGAGGATATCAAGCTCTGGCAGCTCAAGGATCGCGGCGGCATCGATACGTGGATCAAGGGCCGCGGCTGCCTGCTCGGCGATGCATGCCACCCCATGTTGCCGCGTACTCCCCCCCTCCCCTCCCCTCCGCCCTCAGTCACTAACACCCTATAGACCAAGGCCAAGGCGGCGGGCAAGCGATCGAGGACGGCGCCGCGCTCGGTGTGATCTTCCCGTTGGGCACGCCAGCGGCGGACGTGCCGACGCGGCTCGCGTACTACGAGCACGTGCGCAAGAGCCGCGCCGAGACGATCCAGGAGTTTAGCCGTGCCCAGATCGCCGGCAGCGAGAAGCAAGTGATCGATCCACGGGTCACGGAGGAGTTTACGTTCAGACACGACGTCGTCGCGTATGCGAAGGAGGCGCTGACCGCCGTGTGGATCCCGAGTACGGTGGCCCCGCGCGGGCCGCCGGCTGGTGCGCCCGGAGGGCTGAAGGTTAGGCCGTTGGCGGGCGTGGAGTTGCCGGTGGATGAGAAGTTGTGATATCGCATGCTCAATAAATGCTTATGGCCACATGTGTGTGTGGTCCCATTCGAATCGGTTCCCCCAGTGAGACCATAGTTACGTCAAGCAGTGCAACCCAGGAAACTCAATCCAGGAAACTCAATCCCCTGTGCGAGAACAAATATACAATTCCAGCACCATATACACAGTTTCTTCTGATGATATGTACGTGAAATAACGATTTGTAAGGCTTATTAGCACCCTCGCCCAATGCCCATGGTCTGGCGGAGCCAGTAGTTATGCTTTCGGTCGGTCGAGTGAGAACCAGACGTGAGCAAATCCACCCACAGTATTACAGTATCCATGCCGATAAACGATTCCATCCTACCGTATGTATCATATAGGCGACCACAGCTACAGGATATAATGTGTAAAAGAAAGAAAAAAACCATCATAAACGCCCCACGGGAGTGGCTCAAACAGGCCCATATCTCCCTGACTTCCCCCCAACTTCCCCTCCTCCTGAAACAAAAAAGCCCTTATCCTGCATAGCCTACTCTACTTACCTACTACCTCAACTCGGGCGCATCATCCTTCGGCTTCCACCCGACCAACTTCAACACGCGCCCCCAGACACCGGCCAGATTGAGCAGCCGGGAAACGAACCAGACCTTCCACCACTGCATCTTGAACGAACTGATATCACCATTCCCACTCGCCCTGACCCAAGCAAATGCTCTCGGGATCATCTCCTTCTCGTACGCATTGCACGCACGCGCGACCTCATCGTTCGTCGGACTAGCGCTGAGTAAGAGCAGCGCCGACAGCGCGGATGCGGTGTCTTGCATCGCCTGGTTTGCGCCCATACCGCGCGATGGCAGCATCGCGTGCATGGCGTCGCCGATCAGCCATACCCGCGTGTTGCCTTTGGTCTTGTCGTCTGGATGTGCGCGTGCTGCACGCATGCGCCAGTCCGCCGGTGGCTGCCGCGAGATCCGCGGGACCGAGTTGAAGAGCTCTTTTGGCGGGACGGTCTTGATGATTGCTTGGCTGTGTGCGAGGTCAGTGGCTGCGAGAGAGGGGGGTGGAGGGAGACGAACAGCCGTGGATCCCAGTGGCTGATCATGGCTTCGCACTGGGCCTTGACTGCCGGTATATCATCGAGTGACCCCATCAGTTTCCGGGGACACATGAACCCGACCATCAACGAGGCGGAGTCGAAGTCGATCTCGCTGTCTTCCATGGCTGTTTTCGATTTCCGCTCGGAAGCGGAGGAGTCCTCCTTGTCGGGGAGGTATGCCGACGAGAAGAAGATTATGTCGTCTCGGATCACCGAGATAGGGCCTTTCTTGAGCTGGTGCGGAAGGCCCGCTAGGATCTCTGGTGTCAGTGGGCTCTTCGACAGCCAGCCGAACGTCTCGGTCAGCTGCTTGATGTTGTTGAGGCCGATTTGTTTGTTAGCCTGTGCACGGGGGCCTCAGTGATGTACGTATACATAAAGCTCTGGGATTAGTATATGGAATAAAACTTACACCACTGCCACTCCCGTTTGCGATGATGAGAACATCGCACTCCACCACGGTTCCGCCCTCAAACTTAGCATGGACAACCTCCTTCGCATCCCCACTCGGATCGCCGAGGACCTCGTAGCCGGTATATTTACAATCATACTTGATAACGCCCTTCTCCCTGAGTGGCTCGGCCAGGGCCTCTCGCAGCACCACCCGATTGATGGGCGCACTCTTCGTATACGCCGGGAACTTTGTAAGATCGAGCAGGACATTGAGTTTATCGTCGTAGAGGATAGGCGCGGAAGAGACGACGCCGCCGGAGCGCCCGAACTTGGCGCATATGTGGTCCTTCATCTGCGGCGAAAGACACGCGCGCATCCCGACCAACGCCGGGGCGCCTAGGCGGATCTGGTAGCCCTCGCGGTTGGAGCTGGGGGCGTCTCGCTCGTACACGGTTACCGAGCACGCCGGGTAGTGCGAGAGCAAGCCGTTCGCTAGCAGCGTTCCGGACATGCCGCCGCCGATTATGCCGATGCGGAGGGGCATTGTTGCGGCTTGAGCGTGGCTGGAGTGATGTTGATGTTGTGGGTTTTTCTGTTTCTTTTTCTTCTGCTTTTTTTTTTCTTGATTCGATCAGCTCTTCACTTCCGCAGTGACGGATTTCGAGACTTTGATGTGGAACAGCTGTCAAAGATACGTCGGACGGTGAAGTAACTACATGGCATCTCGGGTGACACATCGGCTCCACACTTTTTTTTCACGACGTCAGGAACGGGATGTCGGGGGTCGGCTTCTATTATCACCGACTCTAGGTATGCACGGTGACCGGCAGACTTGACTGGGGCATGTATAGCACTATCCTATCAGATTGGCCAGTTGATCTTTTATGTACTAAAGAGATATGTATGACTCTGTATATCGGTGTCTATACCTGCTCCGTCCCGTCGATGTCCCGCGTACCTAGTGGCCTCGGTTGAGGTTGAGCAGCAGTACTGGGTATTCCGGTGTATTTATCCTCTGTTCATTGCTCCGGATATGGAGCATCGGACAGGTAATTCGCGGCGTCAGGTGTGTGTCGGAAAGAGTGAGATAGGTTCATATCTCGTAGAATGGCTACCCTCTGCACACCTACCTCAATGAATTCTCATGCGTGGAGTGCCTATGGCAGTAGTTAGTGCTAGGTTCGGTATATAGCAGTAGGGCCCCGGCGAGATATCCGCGCCGACTCCCCGGTTGTTGTTCGGCGGTATGTACGGTAGTAAATCGATCCCGGAACCGGAATACGAATTAACCACCGGTAGGTACGCATAGCTGCATGTGAAAAATCCGATGACTGTAGATGGGTACACGAATCGATCTCGACATGGTTCTCTTGGGTGTTTGGCTGTCCTCAGGCCTCATGCCGACACTGCTCGAGTTTGAGAACGCTCAAAGTGTTCCTCATGATCTTTGAGCTCTCACCATTGCAACTCACTTCGGAAACAAAGGGGTGTTAGGTAATGCCTCATACTTAGGTACTTGACGAGCGAAACATCTGCATGGTTGTTCGTTGTATCCATGGTGCTAGTGGTACTCGTGGCTCACAGAAGCAATATTCCACGTGAATGGGGAGAGGAGAAGTAGCCATGAATTGGTGAGCTCGAGGAGGAGGAATAGTCAGCAGCACTCGCCAAACATGAACTTCGAATGAGTGCTTCTTACTTTGTGGTGGAGTGAGAGTTTGTGCTCTGACCATTGAATTGACAGCTGGGGAGCCATTCACTGTGAGCTGCAGGTCTCGCTCGTTTTGGTTGGCTGTTGGCTATCCTCATCCCTCCTGCTACTCTATTCTCCTCCAACGTCACGGACAACACAGCACTCCTCCCCCTCCGGCTTTCTTATCTACTATCTTCATCTCTCCCACGATCGTCGCCATCACTATCTCGCACTCACATACCTCACCGCCCCCATCCGCTAGCTACATCCACTCCCTACCCCCACCACGATGTCTCCCGCGCCCCGTCCAACCAAGAACGTAACCGGCGCCCACCGCTGGTACCACCGCGACGACGACATCTTCTCGTACGACGCGCCTAGTGACGAAGAGGACAACTACTACGGCGCTTCTGCACCGCGGGAATCCTCCATGATGCGGAATGGGTGCAAGATCTCCTCGCGGGGACGCAATAGTACCCGTTCTCCAACAAGGACGAGTACCACCTCGCGCGGCTAATGCTCGTGGACATGGAGGTGCACGGGGAACACGGAGAGTTGGAGAGTTGGAGAGGGGCCCGCTGAGGAAACGCGGGATCGATAGTCTCCTTGCGATGTATATCGCGGCTAGGGGCAGTAGGACCTTAAATGCGTTTAGAAGCACTAGACAGTTGTTTGCTCTGTTGAAGAAGACGGGGTTTAGGTTTCCCGAGCACGAAAGGGTGGAGAATTAATTCTCGGAATCGGATGAGGATGAGGAGGGGACGGGCACGGAGGAGGACGGCTGTGAGAGTTATTCCGGTACAGTACCAGACCCGTTGCAGGATACGGACTCGGATGAGATGGTAGGGGAGCCGGAAGTGGATGCAGATGTTGAGGCGGACACGGAGGGGTGGAGGGAGCTGGAGCTGGAGAGAGAGTTATCTGAGGATAGAGTGATGGCTGCTGGTGCTCTGCTCTTGCATATGCATTCGGGCGAGGATCCGGGGTTACCGCAAAGTGAAGATGGCGAGGAATACGAGGATCGCACTCACGAATACGGAGGATGCGAAGGGGAAGAGGAAGAGACGAGTCTGGGGGTCTTCAAGGATACAGAGAAGGCTACGGTTGCGAAGCAGAAAAAAGGATACAGAGGGTACGAGGCGCACGAGGAGTTTGCTGAAAGGGAGGCGAACAGGGAGGAGAACGAGACTCCGGAGCCGTCAGCGGCGGCCAGGGAGATTGTCCGCAATTACTGGGGACTACATTAAGGGAGGATTGCAGAGGCCTTGTATTTTCAGTATCAATAGACCTCGATATGTGTTATGATTATGCCACTGGAGTGATGCATTTTGCAATGCTCCCGTGCTGTTTTTTCGTTGTAACGTATAATTCCAAAATGGAGGGATTGTTGTGCCGTCTGTCTCGGACAATAAACACTCAATCTGGCATCAGAGCGAGGCACGAATTGGACTAGATACTATAGATTAAGATTGAGTACTCCGAGTCTCCGAAGACATCACCTCCCATTCATCTCCGCAAACCGGTACCGCCTGCAGAATCCAGATATCTCGGCACTTTTATATACCAGGCTTCTTATTAGGTACGCGCTATACGGCACCGGTCTGACGGCTCCCATCTCCTATGTTTCAACTCGGGACCTACATAACGCGGGGGGGCGGTATTCTCGCTGCTCCACACTTCCGAAGTATTGACGTTCAGATCTGGCCCATCTGCGGGCCTGCTGTGTAAAGACTAGATAAATATCCCGATCTCGATATCTCCATTGCCATTGTCATTGCCATTGTCCATCCAACACAAACACAGACACAACCACAACCACAGGGACAATGGAAGGAGGAACTACCACTCCACCAACATCCACCATGGATGAGGAGCCCACCATAGAATGGTTCGGTCCGTCTCCCCTCGCCCCCTCCCCTCATTTACCCTCCCCCTCAGTCCTAACAAACCCCCCATAGGCGCAACAACCTTCCGCCTCAACACCCCCTCTTTAACAATCTTCCTGGACACCTGGCTCGACCGGCCCTCCTCTTTGCCCCAGTACCTCCCTATCTCATCTATAACCAAATGCGACTACATCCTAATCTCGCACGCGCACTTCGACCACCTTCCGGGCGCCGACCGGATCGCCCTGTCCACCGGCGCGACCATCATCGGCAACGGCGAGGCTATATCGGTAATGCGCGCCGCCGGCGTGCCGGAGTCGCAGCTGCTGGCCGTTTCCGGCGGCGAGACTATTCCCCTGGGTGCGGGCGATGTCGTCGTCAAGTCATGGCCGAGCACGCACTGCATCATGCCGCCGGGCGACCACCGCGAGCTGCCCGAGGAGCTAGATACGGGGACGGTGTACCTGGGAAGGGAGGGGGGGACGCTGGACGTGACGCGGGGCATGGCCGCGGGGTTCGGCGGCATGATCGCTGCGCCCGATGAGCGGTTTAAGGGCGCGCCGGAGGGGGTGAGGAGTTTTAGGGAGTGGATTAAGGATCGGGAGAGGAATAGGTACTCGTTCTTTGACGGTGGGCAGATTATGTACTCGCTCGAGTTTATGGGCAGGAGGGGTGGGAGTGGGGGTGGGGGAGGGCGGGGCAACAGAAGTCTGCTGTGGAGCGCGCACATGGGCGGCTATGAAGGTGTGCTCCGGGGGCTTCCCAGGAGGCCGGACGTGGCGATCCTTGCGGCCGCGGGCAGGGCGGTGCTGGATGGTGAGCCGTGGCAGGGAAGTGCCGCGGAGTTTCTCGCCGCGCAGTGTAGGTGGCTTAAGGAGCCCGAGCGCGTCTTCTGGTGTTTACATGATGAGCAGCCGTTGAAGCCGTATAGGATCAGGACGGAGGCGGCGACGAAGATGGTGGAGGAGAGGACTAGGAGTAAAGTCTGGACGCTGACGCCGGCGGTTAGGTATCGGCTTTTTGTGGATGAGGTGGTAGTGGGCTTGGAGTAGAGAGGGCACGATGTATGAACTTTTGGCTGGAGTGCGATGTACGAACTTTTGAGTGTGAATGGGACTACAGTGCAATGTGACGGGGTGAGATGTCGTGACTCATGATACACTGAATCTGTAGTTAGCGCAGGTGGTTTGGGTACTTGAAAACACCATTCACTTTCACTTGCTCTGTGCCTAGTACTTTGCATAACCTCATTAAGCGCATCTGCTTCCACGATGAATCTTAGAATGCAGCAGTGCTTAATGCTCATGAGCCTTCGGACACTCAACTTCCTCCATTTCCTCCAAGGCAGCGAGATTTCTACGGTCTCTACGGGGGATATGGTGGAGGAGTTGTCCGTAGTTCTCCCCGGTTGTGTGCTTATATACCTATCTACATACTTACCCAGTAATCTATAGTAATCAATGCAGGCACCGGTACCGGTATCGAAGGTGGCTTTGAATCTTCGTCGGAGAGTCGGAGGCGAGGAGCTCGATGGATGGTAGTACCTATGTGTGACCGCAGCGGGGGCGGAGTTACGGGGAGGAGTTACGGATGTTGCGGTTCATAGCATAGCATACCGGTACAATACAATACAATGGCGCCCCTTCTTCTGGAGTCTGGACAGTGGAGATATCCGTGATTGGTGATTTGGCCTCCGAGCCGAATGTTGCTCATCGTCCGTCGCCATCCAGCCGGACCGCGATATACTGCCTCATTCCGCTGTGCTGAGTTAGTGAACGTCCCATTCACTCTCACATTCACTCACTCACCAATGGTCTGCAACGTCCCATTCACACTCTCACCGCCTCACGTTCACTCACTCAGCACGACTGTCTGCAATGTCCCATTCACTCTTACGTCCACATTCACTCTCACGTCCACATTCACTCTCATGTTCGCTCACTCAGCACGAGTAGCTGCAACGTCCCATTCACTGCCTTTACGAAACACCCATGGTATTCCACCATACCCACCATACCGGAGTACCAGGATTTCAAGTACCTAGAGTAGTGTCTATCCCCAAAGCCCATCCGCCGCGAGTCCGCGACCCCGCCTCAGCCCTGCGCAGCCCTGTGCGGTGCGGCAAACCGCGCCTGCCTCAGCCCGCCTGCCTACCTACCTGCGCCTAACCTCCCCCGTCCGCCGCCCTGTCGCAACCAGGGATCGGATCACATGCGATCCATTCCCCATCCCCTTATTCCCCAGTTCCCCTTCCCTTCCCCCATTCCTCGCTCCCCCATTCTCCTCGTTCCCCCATTCCCCGTCATTCCCCCACCCCACCCCGTACCCTCACACCCTTAAAAAGGGGAGCACCCGGCCAGTTCGGCAGACGTTCGCGGCCCGGATGTATACCGTATACCAGTCACTCTACGTACCTCCTTGCTCGGCATGGGTGGATCCCCCTCTCGCCCTCTCCGCTGACGGCGAGATCAAGGGGCGGTCTCGTCTCGGATGCCCCTCTACTCTACTCTGCTCTACTCTACTCTACCTCTGGACAGTGGACAGTGGAGCTCGCTCGCTCGCTTCACGCCACATGCACTGCACTGCACTGCGCCGGCAAAATATCGTAGTATGTATGATACCTAGAGTGGCCGGCACCTTTGCGGCACCCCTACGGCACCGGTGTCGAAGGTATGGGGGCGGGCGTACCACTCGACGTTTTTAGTGTCTACAAAAGCTGGTGATAACGGGGGTGGGTGGAGTTAACCACCTACATACACATCTCTGTCTTATAAATCGCGCAGTTGCGACGCGTATGATGGATGGTCCCTTTTCTTTCTTTTAGGCCCCCACTCTTCACTCCTCACCGTCATGAGGTAGGTACCTCATAGTTACATACCTACTTCATAGCAAGACGAAGCGTGAGAATATTCATTAACTTTATTATGATATTGTCGGCCCATTCCATCGTATCGTCCTTTTGGGTATACATAGGGGGGGGGGGGGGGGGGGGGGGGGGAATACAGATATAGCCGTGACGGGGAGAGGGAGGGAGGGAAGAGGTGGATTTGAGGTATCATCGCTGGACGGAACGGGACCGGACCGGACGAGACCGGACGAGATGGGGGACGGGGATATCTTGCGGCGAGCGCACGCGCAAAGAGAACAAGGAAAAAAAAGAAAGAAAAAAAGGAAAGACCCAACCCTTGAACCAAACCGACCCAGATAGATGAAAACAACCCAACCAAAAAAAAAAAAAAAAAAGCTTTCGTAAAATCTTAATATGTACCGAAAGGGATATCGAAGATTCTCGGAGATAAAACGTAAACGGTAGGAAATTTTGACTACACCCGACTCGCGCCACCAAGCGACGTGTCAGGCCCCGACGAGAACCCGCGCCGCTTCGCCATCTCGATGCTATGTATCGAGTCTGCTGTCGCCGGCTTCTCTGGCTCCTCCCACAGCTGGTCCATTGCTTCGAGCGACATGCCTTTGGGCTCTTTGACGGCGTACCAGACGGTTGGGAGGGTTACGATCAGCACTACAAGCGGTTAGCAGTGCGAGTGACGGCAGGAGACGGGATGCTCACTGAAGACTGCGTAGACGATGTAGTATTTCCACGTGATCGCCTCCATTGCTTGCGGAGAGATCTGCGAGACGAGGACGTTCATGGTCCAGTTTCCGACGGCGACGGCGAGGGCGCCTCCTTTGCCCCTGATGCGCAGCGGCTTCGCGGGGTTAGCTTCGAAGGCCGGAGATAGAGGGAGAAAAAACGTACAATGACTTCACTCATATATGTCCAGCCAACCGGACCCCACGACATACAAAAGACAATGTTGAATACAAACATGATGCCGATTCCAGCCGAGGACGCCGACTTGTTGGTCCCATCGGGGTTGTGCGAGCTCAGCACCGCAAAGATGATGAACAGCATCGCCAAGAACGGCGTTGCGTAGAGCATCGGTTTCTTTCGTCCGACACTGTCGACGACGAAGAGCATAAAGACGATGATCGCAATCGGAGCTACCGTATGGTACAGCGCCGTAAACCTGAGCGCGCCCCGATCCGACAGCCCCAGTCCCGTGAACATCTGGTTCTGGTAATACGTGATGATGTCTATTCCACACCGTCAGCACCCCGCCCATCCCGCAACCCGCAACCGCCACCGGGTGACCCACTGATTCCAGTCAACTGCGTAAACACTGATGGCAGGATAGCATTGAGCACCCTGGCCCTCCACTTGGGCACCTTCCACATGACGACCCAGTCGCTCATCGCCGGCATGATCTGGCACTCCCGTTTCCACTGCAGCGACATCTCCTGGATACTCCGCTGGATAACCTCGCGATTCGTGCCGTCGTGGTACAGCTTCATCATGGATTTGTAAGCCTGTTCCGTCATTCCCTGGCGAACCAGAAATCGCGGCGACTCGGGGAGCCATTGGAGGGCGAATGCGATGAAGACGGCGGGAATCGCGGCGATCGCGATCGGGAACCGCCACGTGAAGGCGTTGTTTTCGGCGTTGGGGACGTTGTGCGCGGCATATCCGACCCTGATATCGGAGGTCAGCATTCCGGTAGCGGTGGCGGGGGGAGGAGCGCAGAGCGAGGGCAATCGGACCATGACGATGCGACGAAGCCCATCAAGATCATGAGCTGACAGAAACCCGTCAAGAAGCCTCGCGAAGTATCTGTCACCCCCGAGTGTCAGCCATACAATCTCTGGGGCAGTGAGAGAAAGAGTCCGTACGATAAGCGCACTCGGACAGATATATGGGCACTCCCACCGACATCATTCCGATAGCAAATCCGGACACGATGCGTCCGATCAGCATCATGGTGAGGTTCGTGGCCGACGCCTGCAACATGACTCCCAGGATCGATATCACAGCGCCAGTCTGTATTGTACTGTTGGGGGATCACACCGAAGTCAGCCGTGGTGGACCATAGACTGTCCCAGGCTGAGAGCCTGGCCGATCAGAGTTGAAGGACAACGCGCGCATACAATCTCCGTCCATAGGTATCCAGCAGAAACCCGCTCCCCGCAGACCCAACCACAGCGCCACCCGAGAATACCGACACCACGGCGCCCAAGATGGGCGAAGCTGATTCGGTCCCGAAGAAGTTGTTGAAATGTGGATTCGCGATGATGTGGGATATCACGCCGGAATTGTAACCGTGAAGACATGTCCTGCAGAGCTAGCTGTTAGCAAGATGTCGTCTTTTTTTTTTTTTTTTTGTTTTCATTTTTCCTCCATTTTTCTTTTCTTTTCGTCTTTCTTCCTTTCGTCCCTTCCCTCATCGCCTTCGTGATGGAGCCCAGCACAAAGGAAACCAAAAAACATACCCGAGGCCTGCAGATACCGCAAGGGAAAGCACCAGTAATTGACCCATCTCGAATGTACTTGTGTGATTGTACGTAGGTAGTACGTATGCGTTCGATCCGGAGAGTATTCCTGTCGGAGGTGTGGTTGACCTTAGAGGAGGAAGAGATCCGTCGGGGGGAGTCGCAGTGTATGGTATGGTATGGAATCGGATCCTCCGGGGGTGGTGGGGGAGGGGGGGAGGTTGCAGGTGGAAGAGGTGGGAGAGCTTAGGTGTGTATGTAGAGTACTGTACGGAAGCCTACACTTGTTCTATGTACGGTATGTATGGAAAGACGCACACGCTTTCGTCCGCTTTTTTCTGGCGGATGGCGCACGAACGATAGATACCTGGTATGTATGGAGCGAGGGGATTGTGGGGGTTTTAGACTCTGGAGCAGCAGCAGAGCACGAGCACACCACCCCTGAGACTTGGTGTCAAATAATGCGGGCTGAAGGGAGTGTGAAGGGCTGGCTGGGTATGCATGTGTATGTGAGTATTCGTGCGCGAGAGGTGTGTGTAGAGAAAGCACTCTACTGAAGAGTGGAGGGAGTGGAGTGGAGAGCAGTGGAGAGTGGTGGAGAGTGAAGAGCAACTTGTATGAAGTACGAGTACTTTCCTGGTGCTCGGCGGTCGGTCTGCGGACTGTCTCCAGGTGGTGCAGAGCGAGTACTGTACGAATAGTGCAGTGCTAGTTACTCTAGATACTCTATGTACTCTAGTACAGACCCTACTCACCTCTACCTTGTGAGGGTCTCCAGGGCAAAAGAAAGAAAGAAAGAAACGAGAAAAATGCCTGCATGCCGCCTAACTGGAGTAGAGTGGCAGCCTAGCTCGAAGCAGCTGGGCCATTGTCGTGATCATCTGAGACGATTCACGCCCAGTTGCCCAGCACCAGCACCACCACCGCCTCCAGGAAACTCCGTATCCGATCCGCTTGTGTGGGTGGGTGGGTGGGTGGGTGGGCTGGGCTGGATTGGGCTCGAGGCAATTGGTTCGCGCCGCAAAGGAATGTGGGGTCGGAGTATTGGCTTTTGGCTTTTGGCTTTTGGCTGGGCTGGGCTTGGGAACGAACGAACAGGCACTGGGCAGGATTATTTCCGATACCGGTATTCCAATGGCATCCATCTCATGATTCTCATCCATCCCATCCCATTCATCCCATCCCTTGATTCCGAGAGGTGTGAGGGCACACATATCACAAAGACCACCACCACCACCACCACCACCACCGTCACCGTCACGGCCACCGCCGCCGCCATCACGCCACATGCCACAAGCTCACCCGCCGCCGCCGCTGCGTAGACTGGATTTCGTGGAATCGGGGAATCGGGGAATCGGGGAATCGTGGAATCGTGGAACCGGACAAAGAAAGAACCACAACCATGGAACATCACATCACATTCCTGCGCGATGGGATGGGCGATGGCAGCTGCAATACCAGTCCACCTCTATGCTCCCTTCGGCCTTCGAGGTGTGTCTCGTCTTGTCCTACGTCTCGCCTACGTGGAAGCGTAGTGGTGGTGGTGGTACTCCATGGTGCCCGAGTACATTCAGATCCTGCAACTGCAAAAGTCCGGTACCCCCAGCGAGGTCGATCTGGACTGCACGGCGAAAGTCTGACCGCCCGTCCCAGCGGCCGAATGGGGCTCACGGAGTGGAGGGGATACCGGTACGAAGAGTTCAAGGGACTCTCTTGGAGTTGGTCGGCTGCCTCTGACTATTAGATTAGTTAAGGGGACCGTATATAGAGTGAATGCTATATTAGTAGGATCGATCTCGAGAGTCGAGGCGCGGGTCACGACTCCGAATAGATAGTAGAGGTGAGCCCTGAATGCCCAGGCCGCCGCTCGAAGGCCTCCAATTCAATTCATCTCACCGCCTGTTTCCGCTGCCGCCAACTAGCGGTTGACTATGAAGTGGTTATGTAAAACGATCTGAAGTCGAAGCTACCGTACGACTCTCAACGGGAGTTGTTTACCTGCCTCCCTACACGAGAAGGGGCTTCTCTTTTCTTCCTGGAAAGAATCGATAGGTAGCGTCCTAGTAGGCGATTGACCCGCCATCGAGTTACATACATATGGGCAGTGGGCGTTCCCTACCAGCCAAGCCAGGCCGAGAATGGAGATTCATCTACAGATGGAAGGGAAATCATACCAGGTAGGTACCGGTAACTATGAAGATTAGAGTAGAGTAAACTTATGGTACGAATGATCGGAGATTTCTAGGGCCCAAGCACCGCGCACTCTGGAGAGTTTTTTTTTCGTTTCGGATCCGCGCAGTCGGCCAAGGGGAAGCGAAGAAGAAGGAAACGGTCCTGATCCGGGGCTTTCCTTTCCGTCGATCTCGACTTTCGAGTGGATTGGTCGAATGGATTGAGCTCGGGAACTTCAGCTTCAACGTCTCGCATGCTGACAGTGACCTGACCGGCCAGTGGGTCTTGATGTTCATGTCCGTGCCCGGTGAGCATCCACATCGATATCCACATCGACATGCCTTCACCACTGGGGGCTTTGGTTCAGTTTCGACTCGACTCTGCTCTGCTTGGATCAGTGGCATCAGGTACTATGGAGTAGAATGGAACCCCCTAGTTGTGTAGAGTACGGTACTCGAGTGTAACATGCTCAAGTAGGTATCGGGTGGAGGGGATGCAAACAATGGCTCGGCGTCTTGTCCGATGTCGACTCTCGACTCTCAACTCTCACCTCTCAACTCTCGAAACGGATTGAGCCAAGCCGCGTTGAGCCAAGCAAAAGCAAAAGCAAAAGCAAAGCAACAGTGCGTGCCAAGCAAGTATCCCAGTTACCCACGCAGTTATCACATCACAGCACGGCGTTCGCATCTCGCCTTATGCACCGGTTCCGCGTCAGGCAATATCAACATATCATATGCAGAAGCAGAAGCAACGACTCCCCGTTCTGGAAGCTGGGAACACGGCTCACGATGTCGTCGTCGTCGGTGGCACCTGACAGGTGGATATGTGTGTGCTCTATGCATGTAGCTCACGAATCACGATTCCGCAGCCCCTCTTTCTCGCTGAAGGATCTGGAAGTGGGCTGGGAGGATCCATTGCCACCACCACCACCACCACCACCACCACCACCACCACCTCCTCCTCCTCAGAGTCTCGGACCCAACAAGCAAGCAAGGGAGGGAGGGACGGAGGGGGGAACTGCCCGCCCCCCCTCCCGCGCAGCCTACATACAGACATGCAAGACACATCGCAACGTGGACCCCTTGAATCCTCTCTCGCTCGCTTCTCCTTCCACGAGGAACGAGGAATAATGGCTGCGGTAGCACGTTACGGTAGCAGCCGACAACGTGGGTGAAGTGTCGTAAAGTGTTGTAGAGTGTCGTAAAGTGCACCTCGATGCGGGCACTGATGCGTGCTGATGCGAACGACAATGCATGTCCATATTATCATCCATACCTATGACATACATCTTCACACATACACACATGCAAACCGAATCCTGTCCGTCCAACCCGTTGACCGCTTCCCTCCCAGCCTTCCCTTCTTCCTTCCCCGGTCCCGGCACATCACTCACCCACTCATCTACTGCTTCCCCGCTTTCCCACATTCCTCCGCAATCCCCACAGGACTTGGCCGGGACTGGGCCGGGACTGGGCTGGAATCGATTGACTCTCCTGGTTAGGCCCGTACACGCTCGCTTGCGTGGTCTCGCTCGCTCGCTCGCTGGGGGAGGGGAAGAAGGAGTTACCGCCAGCATATGATATGATACCACGTCGGATATGGCCGGGGTTCGTTGGTTATTAGAGTAGGAAGAGTACTCTTTTGGGGTTGGCTGCGCCAGCATACCACGCGTACGCTACCGTATGAGGGCAAAGCAGCACTTGCTTGACTATTTAGCGTATCGTGGCGTTATCTCTCCAATTTAACCTCGAAAACTAGAGTAGAAGCCTTCGTCTACTGGAATTTCACATGGAGATGGAGAAGCGAAGGACGTTCGTACATACCGAACGCCCGGAGACGGCTGTGGGCTGCTACATACGGACCACTGCGGGAATAGGTACTCGACACCGGGTGTGTACTGGATAGTAGGCAGGTATAGAGTAATACTGGAAGCGAGCGGTGGAGTCGAGCCTTCCATGTTCGAACGTCTTGATGACCCACGATCCACGGAATCGAGACCATACGTACCTAGAGTAATGCCCCCGTATGATCTGTATGTACCTGATGTATGTAGTTACATCTCACGCGGCCACGGAATATGTAGTTACATCTCACGCGGCCACGGAATATGAATCTCATCTTTAGAGTTCCTGCGAAATATCTCACTCGGCCGGCCGACTAAGCTCGTACATATGATGTGCCAACGGTACGGGCGACGGATTGACCTTCCACCCCCCACAGCCAACGGTCCAACGCAGGAATCTTCGTGTAGCCTGGTGGGCTGGGTAGTCTGGGGCTGGGTGCCTGTGGCCTGGAGCCTAGGAGGCAGTAAGGCCTGTAGACTCCTATAATCCGCTTCAACATATATCCGTCCGTATGTAGGCATCTAGATAACTGGTACCTGTTGGAAATTTGCAACGCCGTCGCCCCAAGGAATACTCGGAGTCAAGGAGAACAAAGCCGCTACGGATCAGCAGCAAGCAGGAGGAAGGGGAGGGGGGGAGGCGGTGCATGTGAGCCGAGCTTGTACTCTCCCCCCTCTTCCTCCTCGTCTTCGCCGGGATGGTTGGTCCCCAGGATGGTTGTCCCCCTGGATGGTTGTCGCGGTTATTTGCTACTGCTACTGCTATGTACTGCTAGTATGTTGATAGGTAGCAGTGTGCACTGGATGCACAAGGTAGAGTACTCAGGGTAGGGTAGAGTATAGGGCAAGACCCGTCTAAGTATCTCCATTATTGAAGCCGTACTGATCCCCACTGATCCCCACGATTTACGAATTGGCCGGACGGAAACGCAGACACGCATGACCCAAACCCGGACCACCATTCAACACCGTAAAGCTCGAAGCTCGAAGCCCAAAGCTCGCAGCTCGAACTTCCACCTCCACGCATCGGGCATCGGGATTCGAGGTGCGCCGGTGCGGTGGTGAGCAAGCACGTTTAATGAAGTGGCTTGAAGAAGGTGTCTGGAGAAGCATTCTGGAGATCTAGAAGTCGGCATTTATCGTTTCCGCGTACTACCTACCGACAGTAGATAGAGTATGTATTGTACATACATACAGTCGACAGAATGATCCGCATATGGGTTCGCACCCACGTTTCTCTCCACGTTGTCCACGTTCTCAACGTTCTCGAAGTTGGGTTGGATGGGTTGGAAGCGTTGGATGCCACCACCACCGTATGCTCGGTAGCGACGCGTGGGCAGTAGAGTAAGTTGAGTGCTTTTCTTTCGCCCCCATCATTCATGCTTCGAGTCCGTTCGCTGGTTCATTCGCTCTCGTGGGTCCTGCAGTCTGCAGAATCAGTGCAGATGTCCAGTGCCCGCTATGTACCGTACCGTTTACCGCGGCCTTCGAGAAAAAACAGAAAAAAAGCAAAGTGAGCAGGCACTGGCAGGCTTTAGCTTTTGCGCAAAGAAAAGCAAGAAAGAAAGACAAGAAAGCGCAAAAGCAATTCTCCAACGAACCGGTGGTGGCTATTGGCTCTCTTGCTCCAACTGAAGACACACACACATACGCAATCCGAATCCCGCCCGCCCTCGAACCCCCAAATTCACCCCTTCTTGAACGCTGCAGAACAGAACAACTTTGTTCCTACCATATGCATACTCTAAAATCTGACATCATACGGCACCTCCCGTGTCCCATGTGGTTCATGGTTCAGGTTCTTCGTATTCGTTCGAGGGGGGGAGGGGGATGCACGACGTTGAACTTGAAGTGAGATGTGATCTGATGGCCGTGTGTCGAGACATCTTTCGCCAGCCAGCCAGCCAGCCAGACCAGACAGACAGAGAGACAGACAGGGTCCAGGACAGCCACACAGCCACAGAGATAGCCAGGACAGGTTCCCGAGACAACGACAGCCAGGGCAGGCAGGAACCAGGGCAGGAACCAGCCGTCTCGCGCTTCTCGGAGTCTCGGAGTCTCAGGGCCTCGGACTGGCAGAGGATGGGCAGGGACGTCGTCTAACTAGGGTGCACGCGAGCTTCAGCTTCAGCTCCAGCTTCCAGCTTCCAGAAGCCAAAAGCCCAAAGCCTCCGGCTCTCCACGTAACTGGCCTACGTACTCTAAATGCCCCCCACTCACCGTACGCGAGCCCCCGGCTCACGATGTACGGTACAGTAGGTATGATAGGTAGATGTAGCTGTAATGTAGATAGATATAGAAGTACCTCCTGCGTCGCGCATCCGCACGGTTCTCTCCACTCTCTCCCACTCGCTCCTCCACCACCAGCTCCTCGTCCATCGTTACTACTCGCTCAGCCTCCACCACCTCCTGTGTAACTACCTCCTCCCAAATCGCTCCCACTCGCTCCCACCCGGCCTCCAACCGCCTAAGATCGGGGGACCAAGCGAGTGCAGACGCTGAAACGTCCTTGGAGTACTCCTATGTATGATACGTCCTACGTACCTCCTTACGTACCGAATGTAGAGTATGTAGAGTGAATACGGGGGGGTTTTTCCGCGAGCGACACGCGAGCGACACAGCGCTATCAAAGACAGCAGCAGCAGCGTGTCTCAATGGTTCAATGTCTCGACTCTCAATGTCTCATCCTCAACCGATGCGGTGATCCAATGATCCAACCATCCAACTATCCAACGATTGGCCCTGGTTGCTTCGCCAGGTACTCTGCCTACAACCTCAGCTTGAGCCACAGCCTTGACCTAGTGAGAGCCAAAGCCCGGTTCCTCGAAGTTCGAACACCGGCAACGCCGAGGTGACACGGGCTCCACTGTTCTACCGTTCTACAGCCCGAGAGAATCGGCAACGCAGGGGAGAAAAGGGCTGAGGCTGAGAACGTGGGCATGCGGAAGATGGTGAGGTCCCGCCTGGGGGGCGGGTATGGGCATAGCACGAGGTTCTGCGTAGAGCACATACGGTACGGTAGAGGATGTTAGGTATGTATGTTCATTTTATACGGGTAGGTATATACCGGACATACCGTATATACCGAAGCTCGGTGATGATTACATACTATTACTATTACTATACCGGTAATACTACGGCATACACAGGTCACAACAGCTGCACTTGCCGATCACCATGCAAACGATTCTTGTTCTCTGCCAGCTTCTCTGTATTCCAGCCATGAGGCCAGCTCTGCAGCCTGCAGAAGCGCTGTCCGGCTACCGGTTCGGACCCACGCGGACTCGCGGAGGGCGGGAAAGTGGCTACCGATTCTGCGGATGTTTGGGTGAGGGGTAACCAAGTATGCATAAGTACATACCATCCCTTCCACCGGATCTTTGCAGGGAGGGAGAGAGAGACAGAGGCGACGGGATGCTTTTTTGTAGCAGGTAATTGGTACATAAGCAAGCAGGTGGTACATACATACCTGAGGGGGAGTTTGTCACGAGTATCACATGTTCGAGCTCAATCTGGCGGGAGGAGGCGGTAAAAACCATCGTGAAAACTCTTCTCGTCGCAAACAGAAACGAGGGTGAAGAAGAAGGAAGGAGGGAAGGAACTCGGAGTCTTGGGATGAATGGAGGAGCAGCCAGCGGCCAGCCGCAGCCGCAGCCGCGTGCGAGCGCGCACGTCATCCAGGACTATGTTCTTCGAGGGCCACGACACGGAGCCGATAATAGATAATGGATTATGGATTATGGCTACCTATCGATATCGACTGCCAGAACTCCATGAGTCTAGGTATGATTCCATGAGCTCGAGGATCAATGTTTCAATGATTGATCGGCGGGAGACGCGCGAATCTGCGATTCGATGGTCTAATAGGGCCCTAAGGGGTCCTGGAAACCTAAGCTACCTACCTAACTAACTCGTAAGGCATGAACATTGGGACAGGAAGCTTGAGCAATGAGGATGGTGATACTAGTATGGTATGGATACCTATGCTATGTAGAGTATGTACCCTTGGAGTCTTGGACGGTCCAAGAGAGATGATTCTTGCACATTGGGAGTCCCGGCCCTCGAGTAGATAAATACGGTAGGTGGGTACGAGTGGAGAGCAAAAGACGTATATACCAGGTATGTAGAGCAGTGGCTGAGTGGTCTACCGTACACACCGGTACCCATACCAAACAGCGCGGAAAAGGGGGATATTGATGGTTGGTCTTCGGAAACTCTCCAGCTCATGGTGAGAACGGGCATTGAATGTTCACCGGCCGGAAATGCCCTTCCAAAAAGCAAAAGCAAAAACCCCGATCTTCACTTGCGCACTGCCGTCAACCCATAGGTGCGTAAACATTCTGCCGACCGCACGGACGCATTCCATGCGAAAATAGGTGCATATCGCACTCTTTTTCCGGCGTCCTCTCGGGAACGGGGGAAGGTACCGGTATGATATGTAGAACCGCGCAGCCTTTGTTCAACGAGGAGCGCTTGTTTCGAGTTCGTCGGCGTGGGCGCCCATCGGGGGGGGGGGGGGGGGGGTCGCCGGGTTGGAGACTGGGCGGAACATAAGCGCGCCATCACCGCAGTTTGTGCTGCGGTCTGCAGCCAGGGAGAAGGGGGTCGGTTTTTCATAAGTAGAACTCGGAAGCCTTTCCAGCCATGATCCGATAATATCTACCAAGTGCCTATCTGCAAGGTCAGGCCAGCACTCAGATGAGGCGATGGATGGATGATCTCGTGTTACTCGCCCATCGTGCGATAGTAACAAAATAAAAAAGCGGGGTTCCGCATAGACGACGGACGAGTCGAGTCCCCCCTCTGCGGGGTGTGTGGGGAGAGGGGGGGCGGGGGAGGGGGCAAGGGGTGGCCGGGGACCTGCGATCACTCTCGGCGCGGCGAGCTGTTTTCCCGGGCGGGCGGTACTCTAACCACTAGAGTGCTCTCGCGAGTCGCCACTGTGGGCGAGAAATCCTGGGTCGGGACAAGCTGGCTTCGTTCGGCCGGCCGCCTGTGAGGTGGTGCCAGATGGGATGGGAACGGCGGGGCGGCGGTCCCAGCAACTCTACTCCGCCGTCCCGTCAGACGCGAACGAGACACAGCGATACTCAACTCTATTCACCGCGTTCGTCTTTCTGCTTACAACCGGGAAGAGGGTGAGTTCCTCTTTCTTTTGTTCGTTTTTATTTTATTTTTACGGCTGGCGCAGGAGATCAGTTTTGCGCTTGCTTGGTCAAATCTAGAAGCGGTCTAGAGGCAGTAAACATCTCCAGACTCTATTCTGGTTAGTCTCCAGAGTAGGTAAGCCGCTAACGAGTTGACCCGGATGCGAGTGCGCTGCGAGTCTGCGACATCCATCGTCCATCGCTTCTGAGTTCTAAACCAAAAGAAAAGTTGCTCACCTAGTTTAGTCCTGTTTGTCCTGTGTGGCGAGCACTGGCGATGCGTTGACGGACAGCCCCCCAGACCTGTTGGGCTTTTTTTCTTCTCTGTTTTGCATGCCACCACCACCCAGCACCACCACCCAGCACCACCACCAGCCTGAAGATCGATCCCACCACCAGCTTCACACGCTGCAGACCCCTCCCCAGGCCCCACACCGAACGAGGGGGAAAAACATGGGGGCAAGGATCATCCTTTGATATCCTGGAGGGCCGGCGAAGAAGTGCAACCAGCTTGCAGCTGCTCCCGAAGGACCCGACGGAGGTGGAGGTGGAGGTGGAGGTGGAGGTGGAGGGTGGTGGAAGTGGGAGTGGAAGTGCTGCTGGTGCTGATGGTGTGTCAGTCAGTTCTTGCTTGCTTGCCTGCCCTTTGTTCGTCGGTAGTGCTCTCTTCTTGCTTGCCTGCCTATTGCTTGCTTGCTAGATGCTCCCACTATTCGTATTACTACACCCCACTTACTTTGACTTACCGCTGTCTGGTTCTTAATCGTCTCTGACCCCGGATTTTCCATCCTCCCTCTCCTGGAAAGCCCGCTTTTTTCTGTCTTGCTTGTTCGTCCCCCCGCCCGCCGCCCGCCCGACTTCAGTTTGGACATCGCCAGACAGTCGACAACCCCAAGCAAGAAAGAATAAAAAAACAAAAAAAAAAAAAACAAAAAAAAAACTGGAGGGCGACGAAGGACGACGACAGAAATGGCGCCCACGCCCATTCCTGCGGAGAACGACAGACTACCCGATAACTACGGTCAACCGGGCTACGTCGCCGAATACCGTGGATATGCCCTGCTGCTCACAGAGCTCATCATGATGGCCGTCACCCTCATCATCGTCGGCCTGCGATTGTTCACGCGTGTACACATCCTCGGCGCAATGCATTCGGACGATTGGTGGATCCTGCTGGCAACCGCGATCCTGATCGGACTTACAGCGGTGCATGGTGTTGGTGCGTTATGTCGCTCCAGCGGTGGTCGTGGTTGTGGTGGTGGTGTAGGTCGCGGGCCGGGTTGCTGATGGGAATTGGGGTTATAGGAGTCAAGTACGGCATCGGAAAACACACATACGATATATCGCCGGAGGATAGCAATGTCGCACTTACCGTGAGTCTTTTCTCCGTTCTCGCTCCCCGTCGTCGTCGTCGCGCGAGTGATTGCAGCTCCGGTCCAGTCAGCTCACGCAGATTTGTTTTACGCAGATGAGTTACATCGGCCAGATCCTCTACGTCACGTCACTCGGCTGCGTCAAGATCTCGCTCCTCCTCTTCCTACAGCGAATCTTCCCCTCGGTGGTCATGCGCCGCATCGTCCGCGGCATGCTCATCTTCGTCCTCTGCTTCGCGGTCACCAACGTGTTCCTCTTCGCATTCCAGTGCGACACGCCCGAGTACTACTTCACCAAGATCAAGGGAGACGCAAAGACCAACGGCGGTGTCTGTCTCCCGCCGCAGGTGGTCTACTACCCGATGGCTGCCGTCAACATCCTTACCGATCTGATCATCTGGCTCTTGCCCGTGCCCATGATCCTGAAGGCGCGCCTGTCGAAGAAGGAGAAGCTGGGGCTGCTCTGGGTGTTTTTGATTGGAGGAGTGTGAGTCGCCACGAGCAATCCGCAATCCGCACCCTTACTGACATCCACAAGTGCCGTCGGTGCTAGCATCGTTCGCCCTGTCAACCTCCGCGACATCATGGAGGATGGCGACCCGACGTGGAACATGGTCAACGTTTCGGTATGGGCCATGGTTGAGACCTCTGTCGGAATCCTATGCACGTCCATTCCGGTGATCAAACCCCTCGTTCTCCGCGTCGCGCCGCGCCTCCTCCTTTCGACCGGCGAACGCAGCCGCGGCGACACGTACGCACGCGACGGCTCTCACATCGCGCGCCGCAACTCGTTCGCACTCCGCTCCATCAAAGTCACGCACGACATCCACCAGGTCGAGGATGACGCGGTCAGCATGCAGAACTACGGGTTGCAGCAGCCGGACGTATCCCGGGGCTTCGACGACTACAAGGAGCCGCCGCTAGAGCCGCAGAGCCCCGCACTGACAAAGACCTCGGCCGAGGGCGGCAGTCGGGGGCCTAATGGCAGCGATGAACGGCTCGTCACCCGACTGAGCGAGGAGAGCGGGAGCGTGCGGAAGGAGGACGGGTTGAGTCCCATGCCCAAGGCTGTTGTTAGATAACGATACCCCCCCATATTCCCAATACCCCAAATGTCTATTTCCTTTAATGTATTATATTGCCCCCCATTTCTTCTTTTCCATTTCATTTCCATATTAACGCTTCTTTTGGTTGCTACATTCTGTACATATTAACCGACATTCCGAGCATTTTTTTCAGCATTTTTTTTCATGTTCTTTTCTTCCTACCTAGCAAGCGGGGAATGTAAATACTTTTCACTTGCACTCACGACTGGTATGTAGAAGTATGTACCGATAACGAACGAACATATGGAGCCGGGACTTCCGGGGCTGAAAGTCTGAAAGTCTGAAACAGAAGGAATGTAGTTCCTCCGATGCCACCGGTGATGTTGGTCGCTATATTAGACCTGTAAGACTGTAAGACTACCTAGGGGGCCGATTATCCGGGCCACTGGACTGGAATCTGGAGACGCTGGAACGGATGCGTCAGTGGCGGCGATGATCGGTGTGTACATACGTCGCGTTGTAACCATGGACGGGTATGCGGATGACGTCGGCGTGGTGGGGCGGGCAGAGGGATGCGGACGTCGATTTTTGGTTGTTTAATTCGACCTTATCAGATCATTACTGTACACACGTCCAGTTCCATCCCACATGCGGACGCCGATGGGATGTGGATGGGATGGGGATGTGATGTGGATGTGAATAGGAGGGTGATAGATCATGTTGCTGACGGGAGCTAGGTAGGGGGGGTTGCTCGAGTGGGTTCTACTCTACTCTACTCTACTCTACTCTATGTAGATCTGAGGAAGTGGAGCGTCCGAAGGCTCATGAGCGTTGAGAGCTGTTGCATTCCAAGCACGCTGGTTGGTGGCTGCTATTCATCGTGGAGGCGGATGCGCTTAATGGGTCTATTCAGAGTACTACTGAGTACTACAGAGTGCTACAGAGAGTGAATGATGTTTCTAAGTACCCAAACTACCTGAGTATATAACACATACCATCCACCGAGCTCCTCGCCTCCAACTCTCTGACGAAGATTCAAAGTCACCTTTGATACCGGTAGTGGTACCGGTGCCTGCATTGATTACTATACCTATTACCAGGTAGGTATATAAGCACCCAGCCGGCCGGGGAGAACTACGGACAGCTCCTCCTCCTCCACATCCCCCGTAGAACCCGTAGAAACCTCGCTGCCTCGCTGCCTCCCGTCACACATACCAATATAGGGTACATACCATCCACCATCCACAGAGCTCCTCGCCTCCGACGATGATTCAATGCTACCGGTGCGACGGTGCGGCGGTGCCTGCATATATTACTATACCTGTAGGTATATAAGTACCCAGCCGGCCGGGGAGAACTACGGACTCCCTCTCCCACTCCATCGGCCCCCAACATGAACATCAGGAACACCGACATTGGGAATACAGCCACCACCCGTCGCTTGTCCTGCCACACTAACACAGCACTACGCAGCCGACACAGCCAACACAGCCGATACAGCCGAGCCGGCATTGTGTCCGGCATCCACAGCGTTCACGGCGTTCACGGCGATCAATGCTCGGGACTTCGTAATTCCGATGGCCCAGCGACCCGGAAGCCCGGTAACTTATCCCAATTGCCCGGGAGGGAAGGTGCAATAGAGGTGCAACAGGCCGGGTCGAACATCATCGGACATCATCCCGGGCTTCAGTCGAGTGATCTACCGTGCATGAATGTGTGTGTTGTACTTGCACCAAGCGCCGAGAGGTGGGTTGGGAAATCTACTGGCGCTGCGGCAAAGCGGACTAACTAACGGAGTGATGGGCCCAGCGCTGCGGCGAGGAAGCTGCGCTCAACGCTCGTGCCAGGTGCTAGTTAGGTGCCAGGTGCTAGGTGGCATACCGAGCGGGCGGGAGGCCTGAGTCGGCCTGGACTGGCCGTCGGCTGCGGGTTGGATGCGGGTTGGTAGCAGGCCAGACCAGACCAGGCATGACGCTGCGTGTAGATCAGCTGCAATGGTACTATATACTACGGTATAGTCGCTGCAAGCTTGCAATACACTCTGCCTTAACTTTTAAGCTGGACTGCACCTGCACCTACACCTATACCTGCACCTACAATCTCCCCTCGCTTCCCCTCCCCTCACCTCGCGTCCTCTCGCATCTCGTCTCCCGCACGCGCACCTGGGCCGTGGATGGGAGGGAAGGTGGAAGGTCGCCTCCGGTGTTCACCAGGACTCTGTGCCTCCGGTAACTCCGGTGGCTCAGCTTGTCTCCAGCTATGCGAGGGAGCCTGTGATACCCACTCTATACGCATTGGCGGAGGTTGTGTAGTCGATTGATACGTAGGTTCACTGGCCGTTGTCCGTTGGTGCAGGCTGAATGGCATCTGCAGGTTACATACGCTGGTGATCACTCGCTCTTCCGGGGTGCTGTGCTGGGCTGGAATTCTGAGCGAGTTTTTATGGATATTACTTGGGGAAAATATTGGCATGATTGGGTCGTTGGTGATTGATGACCTCAACGAAAGTTGACTTGGACAGACAGTGGATAGTAGACATTGAGATGGTATGTGTACTTGTATATTCTACAGTAGTTAGTTGCTATGATCTAGATGTGCATATGGTGTGCAATTCAATGATTGAACAAAAACAAGCAAGTGTGATTACCTGGTGATTGAACAAAAATAAATCAAAAACACTGCAAAAATCGACGATAACTTGATTTTCCCGCACTCAACAGAGAGCTTAGGCAGCCTCAGTGGACACTGGACACTGGAGATAGCTCACGCACCCGGACTCCCTCAAGCCTCCAGGTATGTCGTGTAAATTCCTAGAGATGCGAGCCTAGGCATGTAGAAGTGAACATCCCTCCGTGATGCCACTGCATCTGGAGCGGGCAAGAATTGGAGAGGTATGAAATGTGCATACATTCTATGTAGTGATTTTGAGGCCCATCTAGATCACGACAGTAGCATACCGTGCTCCACCTACATTCCAGTCCTTTTTGTTTTTTTAACATTGATTGCATTCGGCCATGGCGATATCCACACACGCTCCGTTTTCACGCCACTGTCCAACCCGACTTCCATCAGACAGCCCCGGCCTGTCTCATCGGCAGTCTACGTTCCAGTGCTCTCAAATACGTACCGGCCATAGCCTTGACTGAATCACAACCATCAAATACGCGACTTGCTTCAGAGATGAGTGAGAAGGTATGATCACATTGCTTTTAACCATCACACCAGAAACCAGCCAAAACCAACCCTGAGCAAAAAGAAAAAGTAGAGAAACAAAAAACAAGCGCAGAACAACAACTACTATAGGGAGGGGGAGGGGGATGTAAACTATCTACAAAAACGACAACCTACTCCTCCTTTTTCCGCTTCTTGTCCTTCTTGCCGTCTTTCTTCTGCTTCTTCACCTTCTTCTCCTTCTTCTCGTCGTCGCCGTCAGCAGCCTCGGCCTTTCTCCTCTTCTTCTCCTTCTTGCGCTCCTTCCTCGCCTTCTCCTCCTCGTCGTCGCTCTCCTCCTCGGGCGCGTCAACATCCATCTTGAGTGCGTCCTCGACGGCGGCCGCAGCCACCGGGGCGTCGTCCATAGCCGCGTCCGCATCGGCGTTGTACGTCCTTCCGCCACGGATCTCGAGCTTCTTGTTGCCAGCGGTAGAGACGAAGGCCTCCTCGCGGGGCAGCGGGGGCTTACCCTCGAGGTGGCGCATGCGGCCCTCGACCTTGCGGCGCATCTCGTGGCCGAGACGGCCCTCGGACGCCTCTTCGGGCTTCTCCTCGTTGAGAGCGTCGTAGCGGACTCCGAGCGCCGTCTTGGCGGCGAGCATGCGCGCGACCTTGCCCTTGTTCTTGCCGGTCGACTGGCCGACCAGCGAGGCGTGGTAGATCAGTCCGTACTTGGGCGTGTCGTGCTTGGTCTTGAGCGCGCGGAAGAGCGCCTTCTCGGCACCGAGGATCTGGAGGGTTGAGGCGGGCGCCTTGGACAGGTTGATGAGCGAGCCGGCGTGGGCGATCAGGCGGGCGCCGACGAGCTCGCCGACGAGGACGGTCAGGTTGGGCGCGATGGCGTTCATCCGTGCGGTCAGGTACGACGATAGCTGCTGGCGGTACTCGGCGAACGAAATGACCTGCTCGGCGAGAGCGCGGATGTTGGTGAGATCCTGGGGGGTGATCTCGGTTCCCATCGAGACCTCAGCCGCGGCCTTGAGTTGCGTCTCGATTTCCTCAGGGAGAATCTCGGACAGGTCGGTGGTCGCGCAGTCTGTACGCATGCCCATGGTTATGATCACACGGGCGTACGCCATGTTGTCGTTGATGATCTTCTGCATCTCAGGAAAGTGCCATCCGTACCATTCCTTGACGCGCATGGCGTAGGTGTTGAGTTCCTTGTCCAAGTCGTCGAGAAGGGCGATCGCCTGCACGATCATGGTGTCGACCTTGTCGGCAGAGAACTTGAGCTTGTGGCGCGAGAGCGAGTGAGACAGACCCAGCGACATGGTGGACAGGTCAGTCGGTGTCAGACCAGGGATCAACGAGGTGAGGTGCTCGCGGATTCCACGGTACAGATCTTGGGTGCTGGAGTCGGAGATGACGTTGAGCTGGAGCCCGGGGATCTTGTTGATTGCGATTCCTGAGCGGGGCAACTGTTAGCCAACACGCTCACCGCAGTACAGCTACTTCTCCGAATCCACATACCCAACTTGGGATCGCTGACCACCAACGACGCCTTCTTCTCATCCTTGAGGCCATCGAGGATCGACGACAGCATGGGCGAGACCTTGGACTCCACCAGCGCCGAAACCTCATCCAGAGCAGTGGCAGCGCTGTCGAACTTCGAGAACTGCTTCAATTTGAGCCTGTGCACGTAATTGTAAGCACAAACCGCGCGCGCATTGTCCGAGTGAGAGAGGAGAAACAAACAATCCCGAAGCACCTTCGGCGGTGCTCATCTCCTTGGCCAAATCATCCTTCTTGAGAAGCTTCTTGTCCTTTGCCTTGAACAGAGCGTATCCCGCGCTGGTTTCCGCGAGGATGAGGAAGGTCATTGTGTAGGTTTCTGTATTGCTCGTCTCGCTCTAGATCCCTGAATTGAGTCTCAAGTCAAAGAGTGGAGATGGGTGGGCGTTGTGGTTGGTGGTGGTGGGTGGTGAAGGTTGAGGAAAAAAGAAGCCAAAAAGAGAACTTTTTTCCTCTGCAACGCAGTGCGCCCGCCAATCCCAATCAGCGGGTGCCTTAGTCATCCACGTGACCAAGATGCGGCTCAAACAAACATCTGCAAAAGTTCTTATTCAGGATACAACCTGACTAGATAACCGGACCCCGACGAGGAGAAAGACTGCCGCCGCTGTTCCACTCCTCGATTCACCACACCAACAATGGCAGCCCGCCTGATCCCCCCATCCCTGGTGGCCTCGCTGTCCTCCCTGCGGATAGCACCCTCCTCCGCCATCGCCGGTACATACCCCACCAACCTCCCCGCCTGTACCACACCCCACTAACCCCCCACAGCCCGCAGCTTCAGCACATCCAGCACCCTCACCTCCGCCGAAAAACGCAAAGCCTTCAACCCCTACGCCGCCGCCATCTCCAAAAAGCGCAAAGAAGCCAACCTGCACCGACAAGCGGAGCTGAGCGTGCAGCGCGCCTCCACCGCCGTGGACCCCGTCGTGGGTCGCCCCACCGCCTTCATCGAGTCTCTCGAGACGCCGCTACCGCCACCCCCCTCCCTCGACGCCGTCCTCTCCAGCTCCACCGCCACCCCACTCACGCAGCTAAACCACTTCATCACGCCCACGGAGCTGCCCCACTTCCTGTCCACCAGCAAGCACCTCACCGCGCCCGTCCGCTCCAGCGTAGACACATACATCGACCCGGAGCTCGCGTCGGCGCACTCCGCGCGCCACGACCGGGCGGTCGAGGCGATCAAGCGCATCCTCTCGCTCGCCAACGGCAGCTCGAAGGACCGCACACGCAGCAACACGCAGCTGTGCATCGACACGTTCGGACGGCACGTGACTGACGGCGCGCTGCCGCGGGACCCCGGGGTGCCCTCCGCCGCAGAAACGGCAAAGACACCGCGCGCGGGGCCAGATACCGGTAGCAGCGAGGTCCAGGCCGCGATCCTTACCGTCAAGATTAGGACTCTGGAGCAGCAGCTGCATAGAGACGATGGACATCAGTCGAAGGATAAACATAATAAGCGTAACCTGAGGCTCATGGTGCATCGCAGGCAGAAGCTCCTCAAGTACCTCAAGCGGAAGGAGAAGGGCGGCGTGAGGTATAGGAATGTACTCGATGCACTGGGATTGGATGATGCGGCGGTGATGAATGAGCTTTTCTTATAGATGCATGCTGGTGGTTCATAGCGGAGGGTGTACTTGTACAAAATAGATTTCGGATGGGAGAGCAAACATATGCCATCGCCAGACGGAGATCCCACTACTAGAGATGTACCCGCGCATCATCCCCTCTCCGCCATTACCTCTTTCCAGACAGACTCCACCAATCGTTTCTCCAGAACCATCAAGCAAGCGAGCATCAGTCGCATCATCATCTTGAATCCGCAATATTATTCTTACCCACCACCCTCCTCCCTCCTTCCCTCACCACCATCATTGCTCCCTTCCCCCAAAGCCATCAAGCCAGTAAACTGTTCAATAACCACCACACCATAGATACTGTACACTGAATGCTCAAAACGCATCACTCAAAACACACCAATCAAACAAGAAGAAAGAAGAAAACGAAACGAAAGTATTATACCACAGTACCACAGTTCCAGTACAGTACTAAACAGTACACTCTATCAGCCAGCCAACAAACGTGACGAAACATGACGAAAACGAAAGTGAAACCCCGAAACTCCACCCCACGCCGCGCGACCCCACCCCGCCCCACCCCGCCCCCGTCCCCGCCCCCAACAAAGTGAAAAACAAATACATGAAGATGAAGATGGTATGTAATACATGGTAGACCCAAACGAATGAAGAGGAACGACGACATAGCAGAGAATCAGAATCAGAATCAGAAAAGCAGAAGTATCAACGAAAAGCCAGTTATTTTGCGTAAGATCTACCCGAACACCTTCAGCAGCCCCCAGATACCGACCGCGCTGACAACGGGAATAACCACGTTATCATCGAGGCCCCACGCATCCAGGACCTCGCTCGCGCTGGCCACGATCCCAGTGAGCACACTAATCGCCGCGAGCGCCACGCCGCCGGAGACCTCTATGCCTCCCAGCGCCAGCCTGCCACCCCACATGACGCCTCCCACAGGATCATCCGGATACGCCTGGGTAGTCGGGACGATGATGCCCCACCAAGCGGCAGCGCTGACCGCGCCGACGACGGCGGCGGCCAGGCTGCCGGCAAGACTCTTCCCCGCGCGGATCCGGGGGGTGTGGCGACCCCACGCGCGGCCGAACGTGCTTGCGGCGGTGTCGCACCACGATAGCAGCAGGATGCTGAGCGTAGCGACGTCCTTCGGGAACACGGCGAGGACCGTGATCGTCCCCACGAGGTACCATACCACCCCGTTCCAGCCGCGCACCTCGCTCTCCCGCATCAGCGCCCCGAGGAATCGGATGTACAGCTTGTTGAACGAGTCGCTGTAGAAGCGGAGGAGGTCGGCGGTCGCCACTGGGATCAGAGTCGCCGTCAACGGCGGGACGAGCGTGCTCGGCTGGTACCCGCTGCGGTAGAGGTAGATCGCGAGGAACCCGATCGAGACGTGGAGGACTTTGCGCGGCACTTCGTGTTTATGGATCTGGCCGTGCATGTTAGCAAGCCAACCCCACAGCCCACAACCACCACCAGGATACAGGGAGGGTGTCACATACAAACTTCGAGAACGTCCGATGAATCGGGATGAGCCCCAGCGGACTCGGGGACCTCGACAGGGTGCGCCATGTGTTCTTTGGGGGTGCCAGGAAGTCCCGGCGGCTCTTTGGTATGGGCGAGCGGCTTCGCGGCGACGACGATGTCGATGTCGACGGGGTGTTGTGGTCCTCCTCGTCTTCCGATGCTGACGACTGGTTGTGGTGGTGCGCGGCGACGACGAATGACGACGACGAGGTCGAGCGCGAAATTGTCGAGGGTGTTCGCACTGGTGAGGACATCTTTTTTTTTGGCTTGAAAGGAGCGAGCTGTGGGCTGGAGCGTAAGACAAGGAGCGTGCACGAGAAGCAGATGCTCTATCCAGTTGTTGCGGTTGCCTTTGGTGGTTGGTGCAGAGTTTCAGGTGGTTTGTGGTTTGTGGTTGGTGGAGTAACGCAGGGCGTAGGTAGTATGTAGAGTGAAGGTTCGGATGTGCCAAAGCCGGGGAAGCGGAGAGGAGGCGATGTGTCGTGTCCGTGTGTCGGGGTCGGGGTCGGCGGCTGCGCGATCTTCTGCTGTGTATGCGAACCCCTTCTTCAAAGCTCACGGCGGTCGTAACTAGCAGAGTGTAGTAGAGAGAGTGGAGGAGTAGGAGCAGCAAGCAAAGTGAAGTTTGTACAAACTCAACCAAACAGAGCAGGCAGGTAGGTAGGAGTCGCAGTTATGTAACGTCAGTGGGCATTTCCTGTTCTGTTGCACCTTGTTCCTGGAGAAATCGCCCATCCGTGATCCGCTTACCTTCCCACCCTCCACCCTCCAAAGGCCAAACCCTTTTCCCGCCAACACCGCCCCCAGTCGCAGCAAAAGAGGCTTAGCAGACGAAATGACTTCAACGAGGCGGAGATTTGCATGTGATACCAGCAAATGCCCTCGAAACTTGGCCAATCTTCTTCGAATTCTTCTTTTCTTTCTTTTTTTAAGCGGGGGGTCACGGGACCCGGGGCCCGGGCACTGGGCGGGCCGGGGGGAAAGGATATTGCTGCTGCCCCCACGGATTTTTAATCGGATCAGCAATGAGCGAACGGAACGCTCCCAGTGACGGATCACTCGGTTATCGGTCTGGAAAAGAGAAGGAATAAATTGTGCGGCATCCATATAATGTGGCCAGCAGAACCGCCACAGGTCGTTGACGCCCAGTTATGTTCGTGTTCTTTCCTCTCTGCGTGGTGTAAGCCAGGGAAGAGACGCAGCCACTCCGGCCATGGTGGATACGAATACGTACGACGGATCATATCCGAGCACTCACTCAACCGGTTGCCACTGACGATAATTACAACGGACGTCCGAAATACCCAGTAGTCAAGCCAAGGCACGAGTAGACAGTATTCGGCAGAATGTGTATATCACCACAGTCCAGATGGGTTGCACGCGATCACTGAAGAAACAAACAGAAACCCCAGCACAATATCAGTCATCGCCAATATTCTACCCACATGGAGTAAACCAATCGCTTGGAACAGCCATCCGTGTTCAACAAGTAAAAACCCACATGTCCGGCCCATGACATGTAATGGAGATGGATTACCTGAAGTTAGGTATTCGACAGTGCGCGCCAGTGAATGTGCGGATTGAATATCTACCTACCAAGCGAGGGTTCATTCGCATGGAGCTCTACCATGTAGACCACAGCGAACCAACCGAAGGAAGTCTTTCCCACCCCGAAAGATCACCATGCCAATCGTCAGCGACGTCGGTTTCCGACTCCCGAGTGATGTCCGACGCTGGCTGCACCCACAGAATCAATACGTCTCCAGTAATTCGTCGATTGCCGCTTCCAATCTGCCTACTTTACATTCTTCGTGAAGCCAGGAAGTCCATCACTACCACCAGAGCAGCAGAGAAACAGTATGTAAAGAGCATCAGGAATGCCTTGAAACTGTAAAAACCCTTATCCCCATCGTTCATTAATCGGAAATCCTTCTGTCCAGTCCCGGTCGATGGATGCAATCCTCCCGCCATATAAAATTATAAACCCAGAAAGCTCCATAATATGCGCCGGCGTCCTTACCTGTACAGTGTACATAGGACGACCATGGTATATATCCTACCCTTCCCACCCTTCCCTTCCCTTCCCTGACGCTCCATCCATCCACACGACGACAACAGCGATCACCCATCTCTCCCATAGCTATCATACGATGCACACCGACACCAGGTATAGTATACCTAGCATCTCATCCCCCCCGGCAAGCTGCACTCCACGAGCGCGGCCTTGCCATGGTGAATGTACGGACATCGACGCCAGACACCACCTGCAGAGGTTTATCCGAACTACTCTAGGTAGGCTCTGCCACATGACTTCCTACCAGGCGGGTCAAGAGATATTCTGCAGCGGCCGGGGATGATGCGTGATGGATGGATTGTATGGATTGTAGCACAAATCGAGGGGGATAGGCTGGATTGTAGCACAAATCGAGGGGGATAGGCTGGATTGTAGCACAAATCGAGGGGGATAGGCTGGATGGCAAGACTCCACTCCCCCCGGCAGTTCAAACAGCTTCGCAGCTGGAGATAGAGTAGATGATGAACTTTGAAGCGTAGAAGGTAGATTAAAAACTGCTGCTGCTGCTGCTGCTGCGAGGATAGCACCATCTCTATCTGTTGAAGTATAGTCGTGGTATGATACAGTATACAGTGATGCTACCGTGATGACAATGCCCTCTTACCCAGTGCTCGGAGAAACTTCGCTCGCCGCCCTCCTCCTCCTCCTCCGACAATCACTCGGCCCAGCCGATCCGATCCGCTATCCGATCAGGAACAAAGGCAATACCAATACGCGGGTGTCGTGAATCGTGCCCACGTCTCATCGCTCGCCTGGAGTTCGCGTTGTCAGACCTGGTTGCGTGATCACCGCTTCCAGGGAACCGACGAACTTCAGTTCTCTCACTCAATCGCGGTTCCGATTCCGATTCCGGCTGCGGTTGCGGTTATATTCCAGAGCATCACATCATGGAGTAGAGTACAACATATGCCGCCACCCACCCACCACCACCGGCTTCTAGAAAAGCCCGCACAGCTGCAGAGCTGCAGAATAAGCACTAGAACACTTCCAGAAGCCGCCGCTCTTTTTCCGTTTGCCCTTTAGGCTTCCGTGATACATGTCGATGTCGATGCAGATCCTGTCGCGATCGGCGCTGGACGTCGGTCGATATCGGCACTACTAGATGGATGGAATCCCACGATCATTCGGTCCTGTACTGGGGACTTGTCTGTCTGAGAGGAAAGGACAGACAGACAGACAGACAGCGACGGACGGAGTAAGCGCTGCTCGATCATGTGCAGTAGGTACTGGTGCCCCCGTGGCAGGTAAGCATTGGTACGTGCTCACACCCGCAGCCACCATACTGGCCTTGGGTACTGATATATTGCACTTTGTACTGGTACGCCTCCCGTATGTACATAGAGTACTCGAAGGCTTGAGTCAGTGTCAGTAGGTTGAGTACGAGTGGCAGGCAAGGAAGGAAGGGTGGGTACATGCCCACCTCCTACTCCACTGTTCCCGTGCCTATGTAGCGGCCACACGATCAAGAGCCGGTCAGAATTCGAAGCTTCGAAGGCCATGAAGCGTCGCTCGTACAGTGCGGACAGCATGGAGGTCTCTGGTAGGCATCGTAGAGTGAGTAGCATCTATCCGCCTTTTGTATGATCCCCCAGCGCGGTCCCCAGCACGGTCCCCAGCACGGTCCCCAGCACGGTCCCCAGCACGGTCCCCAGCACGGTCCGCCCCCCCTCCCTCCCCACTCCCTCCCTCCCCACTCCCTCCCTCCCTGCTCTCGTGGTCACGTGATTGTCACACCACCCTCGCACCGCCGAATCTGAGGCACCTGCCATGCAGCTGCACGTCTGTCTTTGCGTCCGTCTTTCTGTCTATCTTTCCGTCTGTCTGACTGCCCGTCTGACTGTCTGCCCGTCTCCTCTCAGCCCAGCAAGCAAGCAAGCAAGCAACCCCACCCCACCCCGACCACGACCATCCATCCAGCCCATCCAGCCCATCCAGCCCATCCAGCCCATCCAACCCAAATCCAATCCAATCCATGTCCGCCCGGCGTCAGTTCTAGGCAGGGCCGAGCGCGCGAGAGAGAGAGAGATCGGTCGGAGCTCTGTCCATAACTTGCCTGCCTATCTACGCACTTACTCACCTATCTATCTACCGGTATCTATCTATCCATCCACCTGCTCGCTCGCATCCGTGATCCCCATCACCCCTCGCCTTCGCCTTCGCGACATATCCATCCATCCATCCTTCCATCCTTCCAGCCGTCCAGCCATTGTCCAGCTCAGCTCCCATCTTCGCCAGAATCTCGCCGGAATCTCGCCGGAATCTCGCCGGAAAATTGCCCGCTTGCCATATACACATATACACATCCCATATAACCATATATCATACTTGGATGGCACTATTCTCATTCTACCGCGAGGCTACTCCCGAAGTCGATCCTCCAGACCCAGACCCAGGCGCACATCCACATCCACACCCCCAACCACATCCACACCCCCATCCCAGTCCCGGTCCCAGTCCCAGTCCCAGTCCCTCAAGCCACCAGCGCGACGTAAACGTAGTCGATCGCCATCCGCCTCCTCCGCAACCGCCTCCACCACATGCGCACCCGCACCCGCACCCGCACCCGGCACGGGACCACCGCCGCCGCAGCAGCGCCAGCCACGACTACTTCAACATCAAACACGTCAGTTCGACATTCACCTCCGCGCATACCCCCGACAGCGACCCCAGCAGCGAGGCGCACATAAATTTCTTCGGCGCGCCGAGTCCCGGGCCGCGGTTCCTGCTCGCGGGCGCGCATTCGGGGGAGGACGGGGACGACGAGGACGGGGATGAGCTCGCGGCAACGCCGTTCGAGTACGAGTTTGAGCGCGTGCAGGAGCAGGAGCGCTCCCGAAGGAACTCGGGGATCGATGTGAGAGCCGTCGGGGGTGCCGAGCCGACGTTCGCGTCTACGCTGCGGATTACAAGGCGGCGTAGGAGCTCTAGAGGTGCGGGGGAGAAGGAGGGGGAGAAAGAGGCGGAGGGGGAGTGCGCGAATGATGGTGAGGAGGGCGGAAAGGCGCCGCCTGCGGGCCCGAAGGATCTGCCTGTGGAGCTGTGGGAGCTCATTCTGGGCTTTTTGGCGATGGATATAGATGATGACTCGTATCAGCCCGTGGGCGATCTGTTTAGCTGTGCGCTGACGTGCCAGGTATGTTGCCCGTCCCCGGCTTTGGGGGAAAGGCTATGGGCTCTGTTGGCTCACGGAGTGGGAGTGGTTACTGGTAGCTGTGCTAACAGTTTTTCTACGAGTGGATATATAGGCATGGGCTTATCTCACGCTGCCGCTGCTGTATAGAACTCACGGCTATGGGATTTTCCTGCCGAAACCGACAGGTAGGCGCGCGGTCTTTCTTGCGCGGTGCGATTCTTGTATGTATGTAAATTGACGGAACCCATTAACTACATAGCACGAGATGCGGCGCCGCTCGGTGTGCCGGTTTCTCGCTCCATCAACTTTCACACCGGCATTGCTGGAAAGCGGATGATGCAGCTGTGGCGCACGCTGCTGCTCTCTTGCTTCACCGCGTCCCAGCCAAACTCGGCCTCGCGCTTCACTACGTTTTCGGGCGCAACGCTGTTTCCGTACATCAACTACGTGCAAAACCTCGATACTCGCACGCTGGTCATGGTGCTGTCCGAGATCATGAAGACTGGCAGGAATAGAGATAAGTGTGAGGATATCGACGGGAAGATCATGCGCAGCTCCGAGGCTGCAAAGTACTTTTTTGGTGGTGCGCTGGGCGCCTTTGAGATATCGGGCGCTGCGAGAGGAGAGAGAATGGTCGTCGGTGGGCCGGAGTATGAGATTCAAACGCCGGTCTGGGGGAAGGAGGTTAAGCTGTTTGTTGGCGATACTGCGTTGATGATGATGGACTGTAGGTGCTCCAGCTCCCATCGCGTGGGAGCGATTCACTCTCTGACTTGGTGAATAGTCCTGTATCCGCACCTTACGCATCTGAAGGGCTGTACGATCGCCGAGCTCGGACAGTTGCGTGTCAGCCCGCCGATCACTATGCATCACCCAGTGTCGCTCCTGACATCCTTGTCCAATCTCAACTCGCTGGTGATCTCGTCCGGCTGGATGCTCTCTGGTGGCCTCGGCCGTGCTATTGCTTCCATCCGCCCCACCATCCGGGACGGCGCATCCAAATTTAACCTCACCATCTTGGACTGGCGCTTCAAAACGCACTACGACCCTAACTACCATCACGATGACGACTGGGAGGACGATCATGAGGACTATCGCTACACCGTTCGGTCCACCGTCGACTTCTTCAACGCTCTCAATGTCAACAGCGTCAGCAGTATAGATATCGACTTCGAGGTCCGCTACAGCCGGCAGCAGCAAGGGGATTTGGGGGACTCGGTTGTGATCCGGCAGTCACGAAGCCTCGAAGCCCTGCGCGTGGCACACATGCGTTGCGACTGTCAGAAGCTGCACGACTTCTTTCTGCAGATGGGAGAAACCGGCTTCGCGCCGAAATCACTCGCGCTGATCGAGCTGTACAAAGAGAAGCGGGTGCTCGAGAACGGCTGGGGCTTCTGCGACGCAATGTTCGCCCGGCTGGAAGCTCTCGAACTCGCCCGATTCTCTAGTATGTTCCTCTTCGCCACGGATGTGGTCAAACAGGGCGGTGCCAAACCCCCGCCGCTGCGATCCCTCAAATTGTCGTATGCCAGAAAACACGTCGAAGAAGCCCCCGAGCAGGCCACCGCCGAGCTCTTCTTCCTCAACATCCTTCCGTCCCTCGCCGCCACACTCACCACCCTCCGCCTGGTCGATACCGACCACGAGTTCACAACCCAAACCGAGCCCCGCCGCCGCGCCAAATACATGCGTCCGAGCTACACCGGCCCCGCCTCTCCCCTCGAATCCCTCCAGCACCTCCGCACCCTTGTCCTCGCCGGAGACATCTCCCTCTTTCTGATCCGCGCACGTCTGCCCCAGATCCTCCATGCCCTTCGAAACACCCTCGCCTTCTGCGACCTCTGCTTGTCTCTCCCGCACCTGCGCGGCTCCGGCCTCCGCTCCTTCACCCCCTGCACGAAACTGGAGCGACTCTACCTCCGCGAGTGGAATTGGGACATCGACGAGGTGCTGCATGTCACCCGCATGCTCAAGACCGAGGACGTCAAGTCCTTCGTCGAGAACGGCCGCATGGTGGGCGGGAGAACGGTGCTCAGGGAACTGGGTGTCGATGGAGGCCTGCTCCAGGTTGCCGCCTGGCAGAATTGGGGAGAGGTCAAAAGTTGGGTCGCCCAGAGGGGCTGTAGGTTCTATTATAGCCCCGTGCAGATGTGGAGAGTCGGCTTCGTGGCGTGGAATGGGAGGGATCCGACCTTTGCATAGTAACGTAGTACGAGAGGTTTTTACTTCGAGTGATGTGCCTACAACTTGTCCTCCTCCTTCCTTCCAGCTGCTTCTTGCTTCTGCCCTCTACTTTTGGTGCTGGTGCGAGTAGACAACACAACACAATCTTCCTTCCTTCCTTCTTCCTTCCTTCCTTCCTTCCTTCCTTTCATTCATTCCATCCTCACCTCACTCTTCTTGTTCATAACCCATTCAATACTGCAACTTTTAAACACAAACTTTCACGGCTCCCCGTTACGAGTATAATCCACACACGACAAGATGTCCTCTCCCGCCGAGCCTATTAATACCTCCTATCCCCTCTCCCTGCCTACCACTCCCATCCTCACTCCATCCTCGTCACCCGAGCTCTCGGAAGTCCCTTCAAGCTCTGAAGATGCTGTCGTTATCTCGACCGCTGCTACAACCCCCGAGTTCGAAACTGCAAACTCCTCCGCTCCTGAGATCTCAAACGCAGATCAAGAGCACATCCAAGAAAACGTCGCCGGCGAGACAGCTGCTGAGTCCGCACCCGCTCTTAGGACTGAGGACCAAGAGAACGTCACCGCTGAGCCAGCTGAGTCCTCGCTCTCACCCACGGACTTGGAAGATAGTACCATCACTGCTCCGAAGACCTCAGACCAAGAGAAAATTACCGCCGAGCCAGTTGAGTCCTCACCTGCACCCCAGGATTTGGACGACAGCACCATCGCCAGTGCCATCTCGGAGCTCGAGCAGCTCGATCTAACCGGACCCGCTCTCGCTCCCATGCTCCCGGAGAACACCACTCCCGAGCTGTCCCAGTCCTCTGCTACCGTCGACGACCTCACCGCCAAGCTGTCCTGCAAAATCAGCGTCCTCCATCTCCCCCCTCTCTCCGCACCCTGCCTCACCGCTCAAAAAACCAGCATCGTGGTCACTACCACTCCCATGGGTACTTCGTGGACACCGCACCCGTCCCCGCCATTCGCGCCGTATCCGGCTAATAGGCAGCACACGGTGTTCACCCTGCCGATGGAGGATGGCGGCGAAGTGTGGGTCTACCTTGCCGGTTCGGAGGAGGACGACGGCGACGAGGACGTGCCCCTGATGGAGAGGGCCAGTTGGAATGAGCGCAAGGAGGAGGTCCCGCTGTGGGAGCGCGAAATGGTCGTTATGAGGGTCGAGGCTCGTCTGCCGGTGGATTTGGACACCGGAGAGGAGGAGCTGGCTGCCGTTGAGAGGTGGGTTAAAGGAAAGTGGAAGGGGAAGAAGGGAAAGGGGAAGGGAAAAGGCAAGAAGAAGTGGCCAGGTGAGGGGAGGTTTGTTCTCACTGGTAGTGAGGGTAGTGGTGATAGTGGTGATAGTGGTGATAAGGCGGAATAGGTGGATAGATGGGATGGGATAGGTGGTCTGATACGTCGTTGACGATGTACTGTATGCTATGGCTATTCTATGCCACGCTGCTATGCTATGCCATTCTATGCTATTCCGTTCTATGCTATGCTATGTGACGGTGATGACTAGCAAATGTATTTCTCGATCATCGACCACCACTCGAACCCCTCAAGCTAACTAGCTTGACACGTGATTCGCACGCTAGCCGCTTAGAGCCCCACGTTGCTTTGCAGTTCCCAATCAATTCCACCTCCAACGCTGTCTTGCCCGCCCCACGCCAAAAATTATCAACTACCTCCATCACCATCCATCCACCCACATTGCATCCTCGCAAACCAACCACTTCTCTGATCGTCCCGCCAGTTTAATACCAGCTTCCCAAGATGCAGGCCCCCGTGCTTGTCGTGAACACCGGCGCCGGCGAGCGTCAGACCGGTACTGTCCAGCCCACCCTGCCCCACCACCCCCGGTGAAGCCTTCCTCTCTTTCAAGTGTAGAGCAGAGAGCTAATCAGCTATCATCAACGCATGCAGGACGCAAGGCGCAGCTCTCGAACATTGCCGCGGCAAAGACAGTCGCGGACATCATCCGCTCGTGCCTCGGCCCCAAGGCCATGCTGAAGATGCTGCTCGACCCCATGGGCGGCATCGTGCTCACCAACGATGGGCACGCCATCCTGAGAGAGATTGAAGTCGCCCATCCGGCTGCCAAGAGCATGATTGAGCTTGCGAGGACACAGGTGAGATTCTAGCTGGGATTTACGGGGGGAGGGGAGGGATGTGCGGGGGCTGACAGGTGGGGGGCGAAGGACGAGGAAGTCGGCGACGGGACCACATCGGTGATCATCCTAGCGGGGGAGACGCTGGCGCAGTCGCTGCCGCATTTGGAGCGTAACATCCACCCGGTGGTGATAATCTCGGCGTTCAAGCGTGCGCTGTCGGATGCGCTGCAGATAATCCACGACATATCTATTCCGATCGACTTGAGCGACGACGAGGCAATGCACCAGCTCGTCCAGTCGTCCATCGGTACTAAGTTTGTCTCCCGCTGGTCGAACCTCATGTGCGGCCTTGCGCTCACGGCGGTGCGTACTGTTGCGAGGGAAATTGGGAACGGCAAGATGGAGGTCGACGTCAAGCGCTATGCTAGGATCGAGAAGATCCCGGGAGGAGAGATCGAAGACTCGAAGGTGCTCGATGGAGTGCTGCTGAATAAGGATATCACCCATCCCAAGATGAGGAGGAGGATCGAGAACCCCAGGATCGTCCTGCTGGACTGCACGCTGGAGTACAAGAAGGGAGAGTCGCAGACCAACATCGAGATCAGCAAGGAGGAGGACTGGAACAAGATTCTGGAGATGGAGGAGACGCAGGTCAAGGCCATGTGCGATGCCATCCTGGCTGTGAAACCGGATCTGGTCATCACGGAGAAGGGTGTTTCCGGTGGGTTCATCTGGTCTGGTGCGTTCGCAATGCTTGTGGAGCTAATGTTTCTTCCGCAGATCTGGCACAGCACTACTTCATGAAGGCAAATGTCACCGCCCTCCGTCGTGTCAGGAAAACGGACAACAACCGTATCTCGCGTGCTACTGGCGCTACCATTGTCAACCGGCTCGAGGACCTGACCGAGGCCGATGTCGGTACCCAGTGTGGTCTGTTTGAGATCGAGAAGATTGGTGACGAGTAAACCATCCCCACCCCTCGTCCCTTGGTGATGATATTGATGTATGCAGATACTTCACCTTCCTCACTAAATGCACTTCGCCCAAGGCATGCACCATCCTTCTCCGCGGCCCGTCGAAAGACATCCTCAACGAGATCGAGCGCAACCTGCAAGACGCCATGTCAGTCGCCAAGAACGTCTTCTTCGAGCCGCGTCTCTCTCCCGGAGGTGGAGCTACCGAAATGGCCATCTCCGTCAAGCTCGCCGAGATGGCCAAAGCGATAGAAGGTGTCCAGCAGTGGCCGTACAAGTCCGTCTCCGAGGCCATGGAGGTCATCCCGCGGACGCTCGTGCAGAACTGCGGTGCCAGCCCCATTAGGGTTCTCACCGAGCTGCGGGCGAAGCATGCGGAGGGTCTGCACACGTGGGGTATCAACGGCGACACCGGAAAGATCGTCGACATGAAGGAGTACGGCGTGTGGGAGCCCACGGCCGTCAAGCTGCAGAGCATCAAGACCGCCGTCGAGAGTGCGTGTCTGCTGCTCAGGGTAGACGAGATCTGTGGTGCCAAGGGTGCAAGACAGGGCGGTGGCCAGCCGTCGGAGGATTAGACGGGGGGGTTTACGATTCTTGGCTTTCGAGGATGTAAAAGATTGATATAGAGGAGTGGTTGCGAGCCTTTTAATGCACTCTGTCTCTGTGATGATCGTACTTTCCACTGCACTGTAGCTGTAGAAGCAGTAGAGATTAGCCGTGATGTTGCCAAGGTTCGCTAAATCTGACATGGTGGGTAATCCCGCGTCCACCTATCTGGAGTTCACCTCACCTCCGAGTCTCTGACTTCAATCAATCCCACATCGATACCCCACCACCGCCGCCGCCAAAATGACTGCCACAACCGACGACCCGCTCCTCGAGCTCCTCCTTCCACATATCCCCGCATCCGCCGTACCATCACCAGAAACAACCAACAGCTACCTCAGCCGCCTGACCTCCCTCCCACTATCCACCATTCTGACCACGGAACCGAGCTCCCTAGCCACAACGCACCACACGCTCTCCCTCTCGCTCCAATCCCTCGCCAGCCGCAACCACAAAGCCATCATCACCTCCTCTAGCCACCTCAGCACACTCCCCGCCACACTGTCCACACTCTCCACCTCCCTCCAGCATCTCGAATCCGCGCTCCCCTCACTCACCACCTCCCTGCACACCTTCACCAGCACCTACACGCGCGACAGCCCCCCCCTGCACACACGGCACCAAAACGCGCTGCTGCACAGCAACCTCGACCGTCTCCTCGACATCCTGCAGCTGCCGAGCCTCTTACAATCCCTAATCGCCGCGCAAAACTACCCCAGCGCGCTAGACACACTCTCGCACGTGCGCCGGCTGCAAACACTCTACCCGACCTCCCCCGTCGTGACCTCCGTGCACACCTCCTGCGAGGCCCTGCAGCGCTCCCTGACCTCATCGCTGATCGGCACGCTGCGCGCGCCGCTAAAGCTCCCCGTCGCGATGAAAACCGTCGGCTTCCTGCGGCGCACGGTGGGCGCCGCAGACGAGCGCGACGTCCGCGGCGTGTTTTTGGCGTGCAGGCACGCGCATCTCCTGGGCCTCCTCGCGGCGCTCGAGCCGCTGAGGGAGCTGGCGGATGAGGAGGTGGCCGGGGGAGGGGTCCAGGCCGAGAGGTATCTTAAACGCTGGCTCGAGGTGTTCAGGGAACAGAGTTTTGGCGTGCAGGGGATGTATAGGAGCATCTTCCCGGGATCGATGAGTCCGGCGACGAGTGCCGGGGGGACCGCGACGCCGACACCGACTACGACGACGAGGCCGGGGCACTCAAGGACTAGTAGTTCCCTCAGTACTGCGCTGGCGGATGACGATGTTGATGGTGGGGGCATGCCGGATCCCGTCGCGGCGTATGAGGCGAGGCTGGTCGAGATGTTGGTAGACGTGCTCAGGAGGTACCTGGGCAAGGTCCTGGATAAGGGCGTCAGGGAGAGCTTGCTGACGCAGGTGATGTATGCGAGTGGGAGTTTGGGACGGTTGGGGGGCGAGTTTGCCGGCGTGCTGGTGGGCATCGAGGGCGTGTTTGAGGGCGAGGGAGAGGATGGCGCGGAGGTCGAGTATGTCGCTGTTGTCGAGAGGCAGAAGGTCCTCGCTGGGAGGTTGGAGGCGACGATGGCTACGGGGAGGTGATCATGACAAGATGTGCGGAAATGGAGATGATCGGATGCATAGAACGGTAGATGTGCTACTAGGTGATATTACAATGTCGCAAACAGCAAACAAACAGTCTTCCTTCCATATGCCACCCACCCACGAAATACAAACGAACGGGACAAATAATGGCAATGACAATAGCCCCCGCAAGAAAAACGCCTAGAGAATCAGAACCGGTTGATGTTCCCTCCATATTGGTACAATGGACCCATAGTAGTCCTTTCTCACTCACAGCTCTGGATATTAATCTCAATCGTCATCATGGATGATAATCCCCGCCTCCTCCACCGCCGGCACCGCCGCATGACCATCCTCACCCGCAGCATTCCCATTCGCCGCCTCCCTATCCGCGCTCATGACTTTATCATTGGCGTCCTGAATCCTGTCGATATCCATGCCATCCTTCGCCTTATCCGCGGTCTTCTTCTTGGCCCTCCTCTTGCGATTCTTGTTCGTCTTCTCCTCATCCCTCCTGCGCATCTCCTCGCGCTTCCTCTCAAACTCCTTCTCGTCCTCCTCCTTCTTCACCTCCTCATCCATGAGCCTTAGACGCTCATACTCCCGCCGCCTACTCGCCTTGTATACGTGAAACTCGCCGGACCCGGCACCGGCGGAGGAGCCCTGCACGTTCGCGACGATTTCTGGCGGCGCCGCGAGAGTGCGCGCCCCGCCCCCGTTGCCGCTCGGCAGTCGGATCTCCCGGTCAGGGTTCTTGAATAGGTGCGTCACCGCCGAGGCTTGCTGCGATGTCGGCGAGAGCGCGCGCCGCTTCAGAGGCCGCTTGGAGCGCGGGTCCGCGGATGTTGGGATCGAGGTTGGGCCAGGCTCGGACATGACGCGTGGGTTGGGGTGAGGCGCGGTGCTGGTGCTGAAGAGCGAGGGGCCGGCGAGGGGGAGAAGGAGTGTGTGTGTTGTGTGATGCACGTGCAGGTGGCAGTGAGGAGAACGAACGTGCGGCTGCTGCGTAGGTAGTGAGGGCGGAAACGGGAATTGAGGAATTGTGGTGACAGACAGAGGTGTCGCGGTTGAGGTTGGAATAAGCCGGACTCACAGGTTCTGGAAATTACCGAGACGCTGGGTAGAGTGGATACTCTGGGAGTGCAGCCCCAGACGTGCTAGAGTAGCGCGGGTTACTAAGTACCATAGAACTAGCGACTCTATGTACGTCGAGAGCCTCGTCCTCGCTCCCTCCCCGCTATCAACATACCCACACTCAGCTTCCTGATCTACTCTATTTCCCCACCACCTCGCAGTTCATACACCCACCCCCGTAACCCAGGGTCGGTTCACCTCTGCTTGTCGGCCGGATAGCATTAGTCCTCGATACCTTCGGGCTCAGCTGAAACACCGGCGCCGTGCGAGCGATATCACTGCCGGGCAGCGACCAGGCAGGCACCTCATTCCTACTCGCCACAAGCTCGTCAATTCCTCGAAGCACACACAAAATATGGAGGCGGGAGGTACGGTCGACGACAAAACCCCTTCTTCCATGGTATGTTGACGTCCACCTGCACTCGACAGGGTGGTCACTGGGGTGAGTGACCTCGAAACTGACGCATGGCCACTAGCTTTTCCTGGAGGATACGGTCCAGATCCAGTCGTCGGTGACCAATGGCCAGCCTTTAACCGGACTGATCATGGTACGTGGAGCTCTGTCGGAGCATGAGGGCTGTGGTGCTGACACCGACAGAAAACGTGGCACGACCTCGACGACCCCGGCGTGTGGGAGGAGATCCGCGACACTGAGCCTTCGCCGAAAGCTACGACGGCGCACATGAGGAGCTTCTACCGGACAGGACGGGTGAGCAGGGTCGACCCCCACCAGATGGGGTTTGTCTGATTGTCTAACTGTGTGTAGCCGCCGAGACAGTTCCACTACTTCGTACCGTCGATCTCCGGCTTCCCCCCGTTTCTCGTGCACGAATCGGAGTGCAAGCTCCTCGATCGCGCCTTCTCGTTCGGCGATGTGGCGAAGCGGAACCTCAACAAGCCCGAGTCGGGGATCGTCGTGTCGGTGCATACAACAGTCTCGCTGAAACCGTCGTTATCGCCCTATGCGATACCTTCCCCCGACAGCTGGCCGGAGCTCGTCGAGGGGATTTCCGAGGCGGAGCTGAAATTTGTGTGTGACTGGAACCTGGGAGAGTTCGTCATCTACAACAACTGCTGGCTGGGCGTGGTAGACAATGTCTTCAGGGAGGTCACGATGAAGCTGCAGAATGGATCCGTGGTGGTGCTATACGATCCTCATAAGGTGAGGAATCCGTTCGGAATTGGCACATTCTACAGGTCCGGCAGCCCGGAACACGCATTCGCGATGCCCGATGGTGCTGTTCCAATAGCACCCGGCGTCCAGGCCCCAACGCTTTATACCAATGAGGCGCTCAACGAGGCGCTACCACCAGGAATCCACGTCAAGAAAACTGGCTTGATGTCGGAGCAGGTGGCGCCGGGACAGACACTCGTCACGACGTCGGGAAACCTGATGCACGGCCGGTGGGTCTTTGGCGCATACGACCCGTCCGTGCCGGCTATGGGCGTCGTCGTCGACGTCAAAACCATCGGCATACAGGTCAACTGGTTGTGTCAGAACATGATGGTCCCGGGACGGTTCGTTGCTGTCGATAGACCACCTTCGCGAATCGTCATCGACGACGAGATTAGCCGCATCCGCAAGTTCAAGAAGTCGCTGGCCGGATCTGTTGACATCGACGGAAATCCGTTCAAAGATATTAAGGACCTCAGTAGCGGTGCCGAGCTGCAGGTGGGTGACAGCGTGTGCTTCATTGACCAGGTGGAGGCGGCCAAGAAATACGGTTTCAGGATGTACAAGCGCACCGAGACTATGGGCTATGATATCAACACGTTCGCCGTCGTCGGAACGCGGACGAAAGTTCGCGTGCTGTGGCAAGACACGACAGAGACGGTGGAGGAGAGCACGGCCTTGGTGCCGTATCACAACGTAGACGAGCACGAAGTGTGGCCGGGCGAGATCGTCATCGTCAAGCCGGACAAGACAGGCGTAAAGCCGGAAAATATCCAGATGCTGGAGGCATTCAGCACCGTTGCCGGCACTGCACCCACCCCGGGGGATAAGGGGGAGTTCATGAGACCCGAGAAGGTCGGCGTGGTGCAGTCTGTTAACCCCGCTGATCGCATCGCAAGCGTCAAGTGGTTCGTGGCTCCGAAGGTCGATGTCGCCGGAGGCTTCATGATTCCTGGATCGACCACGGGAGAACTGCAGGCTACCGCTGAGGATGTTAGCTTCTACGATGCGGTCGCGCACCAGGCTTTGGGTGTGAGGAGAGGCGACTTCGTTCTCATCGCGCCCGCGCATCTGCAGGATGAACAGCCGCAGCAGATGAAACTGGATGAGGCTTCCGTGCAAATCCTTACTGAGGAAGCCTCGGCTCAGCAGCACAGTGCATCTGGCAGTGCGTCCGCCGCCCCGAGGGTGGAACTTGATGAGAGCCAGCTCGGTCACGTCGCCCGATTTGTGGACAGCGTTCGTGGTATCGTCGATGTTGGAGTGCTGTCGAACTTGAGTTCTGCTCTGGGAAATCACGTGAGCCCGCAGCTCCAGGCCATCAGCAGAGTGCTGAATCAGTACCCTGGACTCATAGTCAATCAGGCAAGCACGAGCGGTGGAGGGAACAATAGGATGACCCCGCAACAGCTGCGTGAGGCTACGCAGGCGATTATAGCGCGGATGCCCGATTGGCTGGGCGAGGTTGTCGACTTGGGTCTGGATGGCTTGATCACGGTTCGTCTGGGTGCTATGGATGAGCCGCGAGACATCAGGGTTCCCATCGAGAGGTTGCATATCATCTTCAGCGAGGATATAGAGCTCGATGAGGGATTTGACGATGACGACGACTATGACGACGACGACGGCGATACGAGCACATCATCCGACGACGGACGCGAGTACCGCGGCATGAACGAGCCCGAGGTGATCGAGGAGAAGATCATATACGAAGGCGGGGAGCGGCTCGACAACGGAGGAGAGGAGGACTGGTTGACCGATGACGCGGGTGATGCCGAGGGCTCGGATGACGACATGCCGGACTACAAGGACGACAAAGAAGCTGCTGCGCCCAACAGCTCCGAGCCGGTGCCGCGCACTCCCCCGCCGGTCCCGGATAATGTTCCTGCGCCGGAAGCGCTCCAGCTAACCTCTGACGCTCCGTCGCGGTTCCTGGTCCTTGACACCCCCATCCCGTCCGATCACGCATACAGGGACCAGCCGGCAAACGCACGCACCCCAGCAGTCGCCCGACGGGTGGCTAAAGAGCATAAGATCCTTTCCACCTCGCTCCCGGAAGGAATATTTGTGCGCACCTGGGAGTCGCGGCTGGACCTCATGCGAGTGCTCATCGTCGGCCCCCTCAACACGCCATACGAGCTCGCGCCGTTCATCTTCGACTTCCACTTCCCCGCGACGTTCCCTGTAAATCCGCCGGTTGGATACTTCCACTCGTGGACTCATGGAATCGGCAGGGTCAACCCCAATCTCTACGAAGACGGGAAGATCTGCTTGTCGTTGCTGGGCACTTGGCATGCCGAGAAGCGCGGTGAGGGATGGAGTGCCGCCGGAAGCTCAGTTCTGCAGTTGCTGGTTAGTCTCATGGGACTTGTGCTCGTTCGTGAGCCGTGGTATAGTATGTGTCCATTCTCCCGTGTGAGGCTGATCTCAAGCTGACATGTCACAGATGAGGCTGGCTTCGGCATCTACGAAGGCGCTAACGAGGCCGCGCTCAGCTCACAGCTATACTCTGAGAAAGCGTACATCCTCGCCCGCGGCTTCGTCAAGCACGTGCTGCAGCAACCAGTCGAGGGCTTCGAGAACGTCCTCAACTGGCTGTACCTGCCGTACAAGCCCAGCGCCAGCGGCGGAGACTCGGAGGAGGACCTCGGCCACGGCCTGTTCCTGCTGAAAGACGTGGTCGAGAGGGCGAGACATGTCGTTGCCAGGAGCGAGAGCGGTGAGGCGATCGCCGTCGAGGATACTAGCGACGGCGTGGGACGCGTCTCCAAGGGCGCTCTGTCGCTGCTCAAGAGGCATCTCAAGGTTCTGGAGGACATGTTGGCGGGCATTACGGTTGCGGAAACAAAATAGAGGGGGGGCTTGGTTGGCTTGGATGGGCTTTGCGTGCGGCACACAACACTGGGTGACGGGAGAGGGGAATGGCGTTTCTGGTTAGCTAGGCTGCTTTGTGTGGATTCCTTTTTTTCCTTTTTTTTCCTTTCTTTCCTTTCCTTGTGAGGCGAAGGGGTGGTGGTGATTGAGAACGGAAGTGGACGTGAGAGTGAGAGGGGATGATGGCTTCTAGATTAGCTCTCCGAAACATTTTCTGCGTCTTCCTTTACTATGTACAAACAAGATGTCAGTGGGCGTTTCCTGAAAAATTTGAGACTCAATTCGCAGTCGATTACCTTTTCTTCTCACGCTGAAGCATACAGTCGACACATGTCACCCATACTTGAATGCCAAGTCCCGCACCCACAAGAATAGAAGTGTGCCCCTAAAGGCTAACTACCCCAGGCCCCAGGGCCCAGGCTCCAAGGATGTGCGAACTTTGATGCAGCTGCAGCTGAGCTTCCGCTTTAGCCTCCACCGTCCATTGACAAACACTCCTCCACCTCCATTTACCTCACCACCACCTCCACCACCACCTCCACCACCACCTCCACCACCACCTCCACCACCAACTCCACCACCACCACAGTCGCGATCCCACCACAATGCCTCCACCAGCCCCCGCAGTCCGCGTAGACCGTCCCGCGTCGTATCAAATCGTGCTAGGAGAGTCGATATCACGAGGGTCGGCGTCAGAATCCGAGCCGTCAGGCTACAGCTCTCTCAAATGTTCGCGACCCGAGCAGTACATCTCCAGCCGACGACGGCGGTAGTAAACTAACAGCACAAAAAAACAGACAACCACAAGCCATCATCCTTCGTCCTCAACCCCTCCTCGCCGACCCTCGTCCCTTCCTCCTCCGACGCCGGCGCAAACGCCTACGCCCTAACCTTCACGCCGCCCACGACCAGCACCCAGATCACATACACAGGCGCCGCACTCCCCGCCGCAAAGCCGGGCTACTTCCTTCTCTTCCACCCCACACGCAAGCTCTTCACGCTCGAGCGCCTCGACGCCTCGCTCGTCTTCAACGCGGGCGTGTACAGCAAGCTGCACCCTGCTATCCCGATCACGGACGCCTCGCGGCCAGGCGGCGCCGGGTCCGCCTCCGACTCGGGCGGGGAGGACGAGGAGGCAGGGGAGGTATATGACTACCGCGCGTTCCTGGGGCGCACGACGGCGGCAGAGGAGAAGCGGCAGAAGCGTCTGGGCGCGCTGAAGCGCGCCGGGAAGGAGGTCGTCGACCTCCCCGAGGGCGAGGACGACGACGACCCGGATGTTTTGGTTATTCCCGACCCGGTGGTGCACCACCACCACCACGAGGACGGCAGCGATGTTGACGCGCCCGGAGAGAGTGACGACGATGATTTTGCGGCGCCCGCTTTTGTTCCGCCGCCGCCTCCGCCGCCACAGCAGCAGAAAAAGAAGCCCGCGCCAAAACCGAAGAAGAAGAAGCCCGTCGCCGCCATGCAGCCAGAGGAAATCGTCATACCGGACCCGGAGCCGGCACCGCAGCCGCTCGACAGCGACGATGAGGAGGTCGAGTTCTCAGACGAGGACGAGGACATGCCGTCTGCACCCGCCGCACCTACCGCGGCGGTCGCTGCCACGCCCGAGGCGCCGGCCGACGATGACGAGTTCGATTTCGATATTGGCAAGGAGCTCGAGGAGGCATTGGGCAGTGGCGATGATGGGAATAAGCCCCCGCCGCATAACCTCGTCTTCGAGGACGAGGAGAGCGACGAGGATGAGGCGGCCATGCCGGTGCCTGTCGCGGCGGGTAATGGCGCGCCAAAGAGTCTGAGGGAGATGTTTGGAGGGATGGAGGAGGAGGAGGAGGAGGAGGATAGTGAGAGTGAGGAGGAGTAGTACTTGTTTGTTGTTTGTTGTTTGATGAGTTCAAGATGAGTGAAGAATGTAATGATATGATACTTTTTGTCGGATTCAGGACATCAATGCTAGGAGAATCGTTCAACTCCTATGTAGCCAGCCAACACACAGCGCATAGAAACTCTAAGCAACCCACGGTACGTATTCCCATTCCCTCGCATCAGAGAAATGAAAACAAAAGAACAAAAAAAGATGAAAAAAAAAATCAACCGGATTATCTGCAACGCTCCCACAAGAAATAGAAAGAAAAAAAACCACAAGACCCTATTGACAAGCAAACCCAGCTTTGAAGAGAAAGCAAAAGAGAAAAGAACGAACAAAAGTTCCAAATATGAAATACCGCCCTATCCCCTTACACCCTTACACTCTAGTGACCATCGCGCTCGCCTCGCCAAATACACCATTAGCCCACTCGCCCAGCCACTCCTGCTCGTCCTCTTTCCACGCAGCGCGCACCGCCTCCTGGATTTTGGTATCCGCCGTGGTAAACACCTCGACACCGGGCCAGGCAATGAGCGCGCTGAGCTCCTCGACCGGTAACTGTTTCACCATCGTCAGCGATGCATGCCACGAGTCGGAAGTGGGATGGGGACATACAGCTGCGATTTTGCCGCCGATGTCGACTTTTACGCCGGTGCCCGCGGAGGCATTGCGGCCGACTTCCCGAAGCGCGCTGCTAGAGCTGATTTGCGTGGAAGGCTTCGAGACGACTTGGGTGCCGAAGGCGGCTTTCGAGGGTTTGCCGCCGGATGAGGAGGGGCCCTCGCCGTGAGGGTTGAGGAAGTTCTCGGATGGGTTCTCCTTGTCCTGTTCGTTCTCCTTCTCGATCGTAGCGCTCTCGCGGAGTCCCGAGGAGACGCGGGGCTTGAACTTGTCGAAGCGCTGGCGGGTCATCGAGGGAGAGACGGGGGTTGGTTGGAGGACGGGGCCCTCCGAGATACCGAAGCCGCCGACCGGCTGCTTCTCGGGGAAGAGGCTGGTGCCGGACGCCGGGGGTGCGGGTGCCGGGATAGGTGCCGCGGGCAGTTCCCGGTGGGACATGGTGGGCGGGGGAGGGGGGTTGTGGACGTTCTCCTTGTCGCTGTCGGTCTCGGAAGGGAACAAGGAAGCAAATCCTGCATATCTCTCTCCAGAGTTCAGCTCGACGGGTGCTCTCTTTTCGCTGGTGGATGCCGTCGTCGATCCGGTGACGAACTGGAACAGAGGTGGGGAGCCCTTGGGTGCCAGGTTTTGAAACAGGGGACTGCCGTTCAGCTTGTGTGGTGGCGAGTCGGGAGGGGTGTTGGATCTGTGCGCGCGGTCGTCCTCGTCGTCGTCCATGTCGTCAACAGTAGCAACCTTGCCTTTGCCCTTGCCCTTGCCCTTCTTCGATTCCGTCGGAGTATCCGACATCTCCTCATCCTCCACAATCTTTCCCATTCTGCGTAGGGCCTCACGACGGAGGTAACGATCTTCCGCTTCCTGGACCTTGCGATCCTTCTCACGTCGTTCAAGCATATCCAATTCTTCCTCAGGAGTAAGATCCTTGGTAATCTCCTCCGGGAGAATTTCCACGGGCGCCCCCCTCTTCCTACGAGTCGAAGATGGTCTGCTGTAAGGATCAAAGCGCTTCTGCTTGGTCTCACCACGCATGCGCGCAATGAAGTTCGAAGGCTTGCGGTAGCTGGTGACGGCAGCAGGAGGAGCCATGCGCCTGCTGGCGATGGGAGCTGTAAGTGCCCTGGATCCCTTCTTGGCGGAAGCAGGAGAAGCGGATCCATTCGATGCGGTACTGGCAGGCGAGGACATGTTGAAAGGAGAGATACCATGCTGGAACAGGCCATCCGCATTTCTAACCGGGGTATTCTGGGTATCGCGATTAAAGAAGCGGTAGTTGCCGTTGTGGGTGTTACCGTTGTTGTGGTTGTGGATGGTTTCGTCGGCAGGAAGAGGAAGTGGTGGAGGAGGGAGAGTAAGCGACTTCTCAAAGCTCCCAGGCATCGCCGGAGAACGGTATTCGGTTTCGGGGGTCTTGGGATGGTTATGGCTGTCATTCTTGGTTGGTGCATGTGTGGTGAGAAGAGTCGCGACAGGGTGTGTGACGATGCTCCTCAACCATTGGCCCCAGGTCGTCTTGCTGATGACGGTCTCCTCAGACTGCTGATTCGATTTCTCTACTGGTTTCGGACGAGATGGTCTCCGGTTTCTAATCGGGGTCTTCTGCTCCTGGTCGGTATCCAACTCCGTCGACTCCTCCCTCTCATCCTCCGAGTTTGCCAGCGCAAACCGCGCCTTCTTCTTACTTATCGGCGCCGGCGAATCCCCAAACATGCTCTCGCTGATCAACTTCTCGTCATCGGTGTCGGCGCCGCTCTCCGCCGCAGACTGGAACCTCCGCGCCCTCGAAGTGGGATGGTACGGCGTTCCACGTCTACTAGCGATCTTCTTCGAGGGCGTCGTAAGCCTCGACTTCCGACTGGAGCTCTTTGTGTTGCGCGAAGACGCTCCTCCTTCACTATCGCTGCGATCACTCATGTTCGCGAACGCGCTGCGGTCACCGGTAAACCGCACTGGCGCCTTCTGCACCGGCTCGGCGGTATCGGAATCGAACTCATTGTCGCTATCGAACAGTCCGAAGCCGCGACGTGCAGGCTTGGTGGTTGTTGTCGTCGTGACGGTGGTGGTAGATTTCTTGACCAGCGCCCCGCTCATCAGCGCGGCCTTGTTTGCGGCAAGGTTCGCGCGCGAACCGAGACCCAGTGGTCGACCTGAAGCCGCCATCGCGTCGTAGTTGTAGTGGAAACGGGGGGGGACGGTTTGTCGTTGTTGCAGTCGCAGCCGTGGAAGATTCGTGTGTGCGGAGAATAGGCAGGTGTTGGGGTGTCGGGGTGCTGGGGCTGCGGGTGTTGTGGTGGTGATGACGGATGCGGAGTAGGGGGCTGGATCCTGTTGGATGAAGAAGAAGATGCGATCGTCAGCCACAAACAGAATAACGCTAGGTTAACGTGTGTCTTGGCAGAGATGTGGCTTGGCATCTAGACGAGAGAACCTTTGTGCGTGGCTAGTGACTGTTCTAGTGCCAACAAGATGAGTTATTGCCATCTGGCGAATTCAACAAGTAACAAAAAGGTCGGAACTTTAATTTTTGTTTTACTTAAATTCGGCCTTATTTATTAGTAAAGGCGTTGGAATCGGAAAAGAATAGGCCATTTAAGAGTATGTTCCAAGGTGAGTGACAATGCGTGAGTGAGTGTCACCACGGGAATTGAGCTGCGCCGAGAAACAGTGGGATGGCTGTGTGGGATAAAAATGACGGGTGATGGAGTTGTGAGTGAAGAGAGTGAATGGAAAGAATGGACAAATCTGCCACCGTGATGCTGACCCCTCGGTGTTTTATTCCAAAGCGGAATGGATCCACTGAGAGTCTGAAGTTGCGTTGAGAAATCCGCAAATCCGCAAATCCGCAAATCCGCAAATCCGCAAATCCGCAAATCATGCCAAGCAAAACACACCTCACAGAAACGAAAACGATAAATCTACAAGTCACTCCAACTATTACGAGCACATGGGAAAGCTCTCCTTCTTTCGCCCAATGAAATCGATCCCGCCCATGAACGGCCTCAAAACCTCCGGCACTACCACACCCTGCCTCTCTTCGCACCAGCCATTCTCCAGGATAGCGATCATAACCCTTGGTACGGCACAGGCCGTCCCATTGAGGGTATATGGAAACACAGTTTTCTTGCCACTGCCGCCCTCCAACTTCAACTTCGTATTCAAGCGACGACTCTGGTAGTCAGTGCAATTACTCAAACTGCTGACCTCGCCCCACGGATCCTTCTTCGCACGTGACGGCATGTACGCTTCGATATCGATCTTTCTGCTCGCGGATGCGCCAAGATCGGTCGTTGGCATCTCGAGGATCCGTGCGTAGAGTCCGAGTGATGTGAGGAATGTCTTCTGCAGTTCCAGCATCTCGATGAAGACGTCGTCGGCAGTGGGGTGTTGCTTTGCCGGCGCCGATGCGGGTTCGCCTTCTGTGGCGGCCGCGGAGGCATCGTGGCTCTCCTCCGCCGGAGGGGGCACCCATGCGAAGAGCTCCACTTTCGTAAACTCGTGGACCCTGTACAATCCCTTGCTGTCCACTCCTCTCGATCCCGCCTCGGCCCTGTACGCCCTTCCAACGCCAACCACTTTCATCGGAAGATCCTCCATCGCAAATGTCTTGTTCGCGTGCATCGCCGCCAACGGGATCTCTGCCGTGCCGGCCAGCGCATGCTTCCCGTCATTCAGCGTGTAGATCTGCTGCTCCCCGTTCTGGTCCCTCGGACGGAATCCACACGCCGAAGCCATGTGCGAGTAGATGATCGATGGCGGCGCGACCAGATGCCATCCATTCTTCATGGCGAGCGACAGCGAGTAATTGACGAGCGCCTGCTCGAGCAGCACCGCCTCGTTGAGCAGATAATACCAGCCCCAGCCACTGACGGCGCCCGCATCCGCAAAGTCCAACAACTTGAGCTCCGCACCGATCTGGATGTGTCCCTTGACGACCTTGTCCGCATCCTCCTTCGGCGCGCACGCTTCGTTGATATACCCCAGCATCCTCGGCTCGGAGCCGACGGGCGCCTCGGAATGCGTGGTATTCGGCAGCGCAATCGCGAGCTCCTTCATCTCCTTCTCCAAGCACCTCTCGCGCTCCTCGACGCCGGAGATCTTCCCGCGCAGCGCCTGCGCCTCGCAGATCAGCGCCTCCTTCTCCTCCTTGACCGCCCTGCGCAGGTCCGCCGAGATGGCATTGAGGCGTTCGCGCTCGCCGCGCAGGGCGCGCTGCAGGCCGGCCCACTCGTCGTACAGCCCGACGATCCGCGTCGGGTACGCGGACACCGCGGCGTAATTCCGGTCCACACAGTTCTGGGCGTGGTACTCGGGCGCCGCGCGGATCTGCTTGAGGTTTATGACGGGCTTAGGAGCGGTCGGCGGCGGCTGCGTCGCGGTCGTGTACAATCGCCGCAGCGACGGTATCCGGCGGGGAAGCATTGTGTCTGTGTAATTCGTGGTGCGGAGGAAGCGTAACGGATGGCGGAGTGCTCCCGGGAATACCGATGATGTCAATGGTTCCGATGGATGGTGGGATGGGGCGGCTGGGCAGTCATTGTGAGTCACTCGCCGCCGGAACATTTCGGTCGGTCGGGAAATGCATCATGCAGCTCGCGGAAAGGTGCAGTTCCCACATTCTATGCGCTCTCGTCTGGGATACATTCAACGGCTGCAGGGCTCGAGTATATCCACCATGCGATATCATCCAATAACGTTGAAGAATACGGATGGATGCGGTCATAATCGTTGCTTAAATACTCACTACTGCTTCCTGCCATTCACAACCCTCCCGCAATCCTGCAATCCCGTAGCCCACAGCCGAGCATCGTCTGTGCTGGCTCACACGTACTATGCTGAATGATATCGGACGACTCGCAACCGCCGATACCTAGATGAAAATTGTTGTCAGTCCCAGAACAGCAAGTAACCACTACATTCGGAACGCTGGGAGTCTTCACATCGGAAAGCGTCCGGAGGCACTGCACACTGTATCACTCGCTTCAGCATCAGATCCCTCATGTTTTTCCATCACTCGCACCTCACTGCTTAGTGTACCTATTCGGCCAGCCCTGGCTTCGGCATAAATTAGTACAGCAGGAAAGACAGGTGCGTTCGCGACATCAGCTTGGAACCAGTAAACTCGGAAAGAAAATCCAGTCCGAGTGCCGATTGACAGTGCGAGTACGAGTATGTACGGCCAGCAATCACCCTACTCTAATACTTAGTAGAGTAGAGTCTGCATCACTTTCTCTACCCTTCAATCTCCAGCCACCAATACCGATACACACGGGACGAGCTTGGATTCTAGCCTGCGGTATGTAGGTAGTAGGTACATGCCAAACGTTCGGGAAGCACCAATGACACCTAAGGTAACGCTTCAATCCACCGTCTATTCGCACTCGCTCACTCGTGGGCTCCACACCCTCTCAGCCAAACAACCAACCGAATACCGGTATAGGAGGGGAAAATCGACAACCCTCAATCCACACAACAGCAGAATTGCCTATCTATTCTGCCAGCCATCTGCCATCCACCCGAGGCCAGCTACCAGCCATCTACCAGCCAGTACCCGAGACACCCCCTTGACCCCTTGCGGAGCCTTGTGGGAAACCGGGGACTCAACGTGGAAACCTTGAAACCTGGAACCGAACCGAATCGAATCTGCTTTTCTTTTCCCTTCCCTTCCCTTCCCTTCCCAGACCAGATTGGATCAGATCAGATCAGGATTACGCACGTTGCAAAGCAGTCAAAACAGTCAAAACAGTCAGCACCCGCTGCGTTATGTACTTACCAGTACAGTCCCGACAGTCATGTGAAATCAGCATCCAGTTACGGTACCGGTACCGTCCCGTGCCGAGGAGCCCACTGCACCTGCCGATACCGATGCCGCATCGGATCGGATCATTATCCAAGCCCCAAGCTCCAAGCTCCAAGCTCCAAGCCCCATTTATGCATAGAAAGTTATGCATAGAAAGTTATGCATTCACCCTCCAATTGCTTGCGGCCCATCTAGCTCATGGCAATATCCACACTCCGTTTCCGTTTCCATGCCCACCGTCTCTCCAGCTAGAACCGCTATTACCGCAAGTCTAGTAATACCTACCTACGCTGTTGAAACTGAGAGAAGAACTTGACTCCTGTCTTTCTCGAGAAAGACGAGAAAGAAGCCTGCCTATAAAGGAAACGAGCTCGTGTACTGCCTACGTAGGTAAACAAAGAGATGAAGCCAGGCCTCCGACAGAGAACGTGACGATATCTAGTCGTCACTGGACTCGCGACATTATGAAGTGGCAGCTGGAGGCTGGGGGCTTAAGCCTTAAAAAGGCTTGTTCTGGTGAGAAGCCAGGGACAAGTCGCAAGGCTGAGAAGCCACAAAGGCCGCGTACGCGACGATGCGACGATGCAGGAAGACATAGGACAAAGGATAGAGAAAAGTACCAGACTATCAGTGGCACCGGAATAGGCAATGAGACGCATGATATCAACAGATTCTGCAAAGGCGAGAACGGGTGAGATTGTGTGATGGCCGTCGTCTCTACTACTTTGTACCAAGTATTCTAGGCAGTACATACACAAAAGTAGATAGACAGTGAACACTGAAAACCAGCCACGCCGCTCCTACCGTACATCTCCAGACTCTGAAGCCTGGAGTGCCCAATCGACGGTGGCTTGCACACTTTCCACAGCCGCTGTCATTCTCACACATCTACTCTACCGTATGTACCGTCACTCTTCCCCTTCCATCTTTCTCCTCCCGAGTCCCGAGTCCCGTCAACCCCCCTCAGCCCCCCAACACCCGTCGACCTCCTTACTCGAAGCCCACGGGGCTTCGGGGCCACGCGGCCACGCCACCTCCTACATAGGTGTAGTTGTTTCACAGTTTCACCTCCGAACACCACCACCACCATCGCGACCACCACAACTTCACAAGTAACAGGATTCCTCGTGTAGCCTATATGAACGCCCATATGAACGTCCAGGATGGCGTCACATGCACATTGCGCCCCCCCCCCCCCCCTCCCCCCCACGCCGTTCGGGAGTTTATCCACACTGCACAACACGCAGTGATCGGCGCTCATTGCCGGCCGATAGCCTACAGGACAGCCGACAGGGCAGCCGACAGGACAGCACAGGCGTAGGTGCACAGGTGCACAGGAAGCGTATGTAGGTACCGTACAAGGTAGTACTCGTAGTTAAACACCCATGCGTGTCTGGAACTCTGCCCTAGAACAACCGTAGAGTACCCCAGGGTAGAGTGGAGGAGAAACGATCATCCTGCCGATCGTGGCCTTAGTACCTCACCCCATGTTACCGAGTACTCGCACTCGTGGAGAACCGCACCCAAAAGGAAGCCGAACGGCGCAATCTCGACTCGCGATGTAGCATGACGGGACGGTAGACCGTGGCACATGCGAACGGGTGTTCGCAGCAGCATCGGAGGTATCCTATGTATGCATAATCTCCCACGATAGGGTAGGGGAGTACCCCCGCAATCGCAAGAAACGTTTTCCGTTTCGACTTCCTCCGCCCCCAGCCAGCACGGGGCGGCTCACCGCCAGCCAACCAACCAGCCAGTGCAACCGACCACGGCACCACAGCGTGCGTGTGGGCGGGCAACTGCCGGAATGCTTAGCCGGGTGCTACATATGAGAGCTACATATGAGCTATGTATGAGAGCAAAGGGGTGGCGTGGCGTGGCGGGTCGCGGCAGGGGAGCGGATGGGAGGGGAGGGGCGGATTGGGAAGTGGAAATAGACATTGGAAGGGAAGTGGAAGCCTCAAGGAGAAGTGGGAGGAGAAGTGGAAGGAGAAGTGAATGGAGAAGTGGAAGGAGAAGTGAATGGAGAAGTGGAAGGAGAAGTGAATGGAGAAGTGGAAGGAGAAGTGAATGGAGAAGTGGAAGGAGAAGTGAATGGAGAAGTGGAAGGAGAAGTGGAAGGAGAAGTGAATCGAGAAGTGAATCGAGAAGTGAATCGAGAAGTGAATCGAGAAGTGAATGTGTTGTGGAAGCGTGCGCGTCATGTAGGTAGCAGGAATTGCTGTGGCACGGGTGGAGAGGAGTGGAGTGAAAAGCCCGCTGACGGTGCCACAGTGGGATGTCTCAACGTTTGAATCTCACGACGTAACAACTTAGATACCCACATAGAAGCAAGCCACAATCGACACTCAAGACTCAACAGTCATCACTGATCAGCCAATAGCCAACAGCCAACAGCCAACAGCCAACAGCCAACAGCCAACAGCCAACAGCCAACAGTCAACAGCACATAGAGTACTCAATCATGGTAACTTTAGCCCACGCCCGCGTCATCTGCAAAGTTCAATGATTCTGCATCCACATCCGTACCTGACCGCTTCCGAACAAAACAATGCACCCTCCACCAAACGGAGCGCCACCCTCACCTCACCCGCAGGACCGCAGGCCCGCAGGCCCGCCACGAGATGAGACAGCCCCACGACAAGACAAGACAGAGAACGACAATTTGTCGTCGATGTCGATGTCTCATAAGGCCTTATCGGTCTATTGGACCAGGTAACGAAGCCAGTGGGGTCCGGATTCCGCATGCGACCCTTTCTCACTGCACTGCAGGAACGAGCGAGCGAGTGAGGGGACAAGTTCCAGCCCGCAGTTGCTCCATCTGTCTACTAGTAGTAGTAGATACTACATATAGACTTCGAGACTTCACTCCACTGGCCAGTCTGCAGTTTGTTTGCTTTTTCTCTTTTTCTCCTCACTTTTCTTCTCTGCATCTCCATCTCCACCTCCAATTCGCCCAATCCATCCCCCATATGCAAACTGGTATGTATGATATGTACCTACATCCGCCATCTTCCGGATGCGACCTTTCAGTGCTCACACGGCATGTCTGCCTGCAGCCACAAAGAATCTCGTCACATTCAACGCAACACAGCACAACAGATGCAGCCACCACCACCACCACCACCACCACCACCACCACCACCACCACCACCACCACCACCACCACCATCTTAGACGAGGACCACAGACAGAGGAGGAGCAAGAGGAGCGTTTTGCTTTTTGTTTCATTCTTCCCATTCGTTCACCCCCATTCCCCCCACCCGCACCACATCTTCCACTCCAACCCATGCCAGACAAAACCCCATCTCATCCGACAGGAGAGGAGAGAAAGAGCAAAGAAAAAATATTCGTATCATATGTTGGTATGCATATCATGCTACAATTTTTTTTATCTCCAAACCGTCCGTCCGTCCGTCCGTCCGTCCGTCCGTCCGTCGTAACCTCATCAAAGGAATGTGCTTTTCGCCGGACTCCTCCGTGGCTCCTCCAGTACATCCCGTACAACCCGTACATACACCCGCGCGGTACATACATGCAGTACATACATTACATCATTAACATTACATAATTAAACTAAATAAACCCGCTACCAATGACTCGTTGCTTACAACAACGCGGCGACACCAGCCATAAGGACCATTCCGAACAGCGCAGTGACACCGACCTTAGTAGCAGCGCCCTCCTCGGCAGGGGGAGCAGTGGCCGAAGGAGCGGCAGAGCTCGAGCTGCTGCTGCTGGAAGAAGAGCTCGAGCTCTTGCTGGTGCTGCTGGGGGCGCTGGTGCCGGAGCCGACGGGCTCGCTAGTCGCCGTAGTCGCGGTGTCGTTGCCGATGGGGTAAGGCGCCACGATGGTAGGCGTGTGAGGGGGCGCGGGAGGCGCGGTGTAGGTCGCGTTGGTCGGGGGGGCGTAGGTGGGCACGGCGGGCGTCTCCGCTGGGTAGGTGGGCGCAACGGGGGTCTCCGCTGGGTAGGTGGGGACGACGGGAGTGTCCACGGGGTAAGTGGGCGCAACGGGGGTCTCCACGGGTGTGTCCACGGGGTAAGTGGGCGCAACGGGGGTCTCCACGGGTGTGTCCACGGGGTAAGTGGGCGCAACGGGGGTCTCCACGGGTGTGTCCACGGGGTAAGTGGGCGCAACGGGGGTCTCCGCAGGGTAGGTGGGGACAACGGGGGGCTCGGTGGGCGCAACAGGAGTCTCCGCGGGGTAGGTGGGCACAACGGGAGCGTCCGCGGGGTAGGTGGGCGCAACGGGAGTGTCCACGGGGTAGGTTGTGGGCTCGGCGGGCTCCTCGACAGAGTATGTTGTGGGCTCGACGGGCGCCTCGGGCTCCTCGGCAGGGTAGGTGGGGACGGGGACCACGGCGGTGGTGGTGGTTCCGTAGCAGGCGCCGCAGGGGACGGTCACGATCTCGGTCGAGGTGACGGTCTCGCCATACTTCGTGGGGGAAGCGAGGACGAGGGGGATGGAGAAGAGGAGGACGGAGGTGAAACGCATTTTGATGTTTTGTTTTGGGGAGGTTTCTTTGGTGAAGAGCGAGTGATGTGCAAACAAAAGCGAGAGTGTCTGGACTTGACTTGAGCGACTGTGATGGAAAGCGGAAAGACTGATGCTGATGATGGAGGAGGGAGGGAGGGTGTACGGAGTGGGCGGAAGCGTCAATTTGTAGTCTCTCGGAAGCCAGCTGAGGTTGCGCAGAGCACCTGCTAGCAGGTAGTAGCAGGTAGTAGTAGGTACAGCAGTGGAGACAGGCGAATTGTTGGCCATCAACTCATCCATCCACGTCCATCCCTCCATTCATCCACCCATCCACCACCCATCCACCACCCATCCACCACCCATCCACCAACCCTCCACCAACCCTCCACCCATCCCGGCTGGACGCACACCGCACGCACGCAAACATGCACGGGCTGGGATCCGCCACATTCTCCCATTCTGCTCTGCCTGCAGTGCTAATCGTGCATGCCTAACCCCTCCAAGGCATCGGCTTTTCGCTCATTTTTTTCTCTTTCCCTCGTTCTCAGGTGTGCATCCCACCGCGACGAAGGGGGGCTGGGGATTTCGTCTCCGATCGGGCTGGCCATGCAGCTAATGGGAATGCTCTAGAGCAGAGTAGAGCTCAGAGCGAAGTCGCTGCTGTGCTGTGCTGTGTTGTGCTGTGCTGCGGTGCTGTGTGTGTGCGTGTGCCACGTCGAACACCGCGGCAACTGTTTTGGGGAGGTTGGGCCGGGCCCGTTCAGGACGCGAAGTGGTGATGGTGCTGGTGATAGTTGATGATAGCGGTGGTGCTGGTGCGGTGGTTGGCTGAGCTCTACATAGAGTTACCCAGATACTGCTAGTTCCTGGTGCTAAGCAGCTAGCAGTTAGCCAGTCATACTGGCTCCCGTTCGCCACCAGCCCCAACCACCGCGCCCGCAGGTCCGCAGGCCCGCACGTCTCGCGCAAACGACATCGCTGTCTCGCGGATTCCGTTCTCGCGGAACTCCCGTCGCTTACATAGAGTATCCACATATCCACAGAGAAACTTTGCGGCCGCCGGCTTCGAGGCAACGCAAATAAGAATCTGACTTCGCCAAGGTTTGGTGCGGGTGACTGGCGAAGGAAACTTGCAACTGGAAAGTCCGCAAGTGGACCACCGCGCGATTTAAAGTAAAGTGTATGTTATGTACGCAGGCTTGCGCGTCTTGCGGCACGCAGCCACGCCCACAAAGTTTGAACTCCGAGAGCAGTTCCGGGACCTGCATTCGGTCCTTCGATCGGCGGGGGCTGTGGAATGACGTACGTACTCTGCTCACACATGGCTGGGTCGCTGGGTGTTGCCGCAAAGTGAAGAAATCGGGGTACCTGGACCCCAGAGTTCCTACTATGATAGTAGTCTTGATACCGATTGGTATCTACGAATACCGTATCTGCTTTCCCATGGACCTTTCTGTCGAAGAGAGTCAATCGGTAAGTATAGAGTCGAACTCGTGGAAGAAGTTCTAACTTCTGGCATGTTACTCCATGATACCGTAGTCTAGAGTGCCGCAGGTGCTATATCTGCCTACCGACATGTCCGCGGCCGCACATATACCTAGACCAAGCACCCACTTACCGACACATCACGGCAGGAAACAATCTCCTCTGGCATCGACGCGACGGACGGCTAGCGTAGCTGCCCGCTTCAGCTGTCGGCACGTAAGTAAGTACGTGCATGCAGGTTTCGGGCGGGGAAACGGGCCGATGATCGATGATCGCTGTCGCTGTCGAGATGTCGTGACTCGTCCGACGCCTGCGAGGTTGCCTGAATGCTTGTTTGTGTTTGTGGTTGTCTTGGCCTAGGTATCCTGGTTGTGCTTGGTGGTGCTTGAATGGTGCCTGAGTCGTGTGCTTGAGTCGTGTGCTTCATCACAGATTCACCACCGAGCACGCGCTTCGGTCTGAAAACCAAAACCAAAAACCAAAACACCAAATACTAATAGTAGACATGATTTCCCACCGTGATCTCGGTCTCGGTCTCGGTATTCCGTCCCCGCTACTATCACCTCCGCTCGGCATTTTCGTTCGGCTCAGCAGTCGACCGCAATTACCTACTCTGCATACGGTACCATCCCGGGAGCTCACTCTTGCTCGCCCGCAACGATCCCATGCGGCGGCGAGAGTGTTGACAGCATTTATGGGGCGACGACGGCATGGCGACGGCACGGTATGAAGTGTGCGTGACTGTTGACATGTGCGGCATGTGTCGGATCTTGGCTCTACGTTGACTCTACGTTAAATGGCGACGCGGGCGAGGATTGGGATACCGGTAGAGTAGTTGAGCGGCTCGGAGTCGGACGGCAGTTGGGGGGGAGGGGGGCGGGGGGCGAGGGGCGGGGGTTGGTGGTGGATCCCGTGGAACACGGAACGCTGAACACGGCTGGGGCTCGGTTACATATGAGTGCTACAGGCTTTGTCGTCCTTGGGTGTAGCTTCCGCGGGATCAAAGTCCTTCGTGCGGCACTGCTATTCTTCCATACCCCCCCCATTCCTCCGCGACTCAGGACAGCGATCCACGGCATTTCCTCGGAGATGGAGGAGACAATGTTGAACGGAGCGTATATATGAGCTACAGCCCCCTCCCCTCCAGACTGAACGGAATCGACGGCATTGATACTCTAAAGCCATGTCGATACTGCTCGGACCGATATTTACAGGATAGTTATGATCAATGATCACGACTGGGTCCTCGGACTCTCAGGGGCCAGGGCCGAACATTATCACAACCCCTTGAGACCCTCCACCGGGAAAACCCCTTTCCCATCCCAAGGACGAACCGGAGGAGGACAAGGACAAGGAAAACTACAGGGAGGCGGAAGAGGAGGTTGTGAAGGGCCGTGTAGGGCTGTCGAGGCGGTGATACGTCATATCAATGATCATTCATATCAGCGTGTTTTGTTGGCTTGCTCTACTAGCAATGGATGTTTGATACCCAACTTGTTTGAGTTGAGGTCTCAATACCACGGGAACTTGGAAGATTTCTGCTGCGGAGTCATGGTTATCACGCGTTATGTTGGTGGATCGTTACAAAAAAATCCGAATCTTGTATAGCCGTCTGAAGCTATGCCTACTAACGAGTATTTACTACCACTAACTATCCACCTCTTTGTATATAGCTTGCTTTTCCTGCTACCCACGCAAGAAGTATACATTCGCATGTCTGCATCCAGGATTCCAGGGCACCGGCGCCACTATCGGAGCATTGAACAGCCGTTATCTACCATTTGGTTGCGGCGTTGACAATAGTATGGAACAAAAAAGGAAGAACTTGAAGAACTTGAGGATGCTAGAAGGCGGTTTTAACGGTACATACTTCATAGCTCCAAGCTCGAGAGCGATTAAGTATCCGCCTACAGGCACATTTGAGCAGGGCACTAACAGGTAAGTACGCTCGAGTTCCGTACGATGCGGATGAGATATCGTTCCTTCGGATTACCGGTAGGTATGTAGTTCTCCATGGAGGGTCACTCGGCATTTTCTGTCGCGTGCCGGTAGTATTAATAGTACATACTTCCAACCGGCTCGCCAAGTAGGATTGCTGGCTGGTAATGCTGCATGTGAAAGAAATCGATGTTCCATCTCTCTCTCACGGGATTGCTGGCTGGGTCACTATTTTGAGCAAAGCCTGTAGTCGCCGCCTGCACACAACCGCGCTGGCACTTCGATAAGCGCGCGTGGAGGGAGGCTCAATGAGCTCGAGCCACCTCCCTCGCCACTCGTCCCATTTCCATCGCTCGCTGCAGGGCGGGCGGGCAGACCGAAGTCCAAACTGCCAGAAGGCGCGCTCCGCCATGCATTCCCCGGCACCAGCCGCGAGCGCAGAACTTCGCGATCGCCAGCACTAGCGGGCGCCTCCGCGATATCCATCTCGACACACGTACCAAGAGATATATAGTGGCGGTGGGCCGGTGGCTACCGACCGTTACACACACGCCCCGCCCCGGGAGAGGAGATTGTCCCCCCAACAGGCAGGTTCCACCGATACCAAGAAATAAAGTTATCGACGTTTATCCTCTTGGAGGTACTTGTTGGAGATGCTCGGCGTGCGGACTGGGATGCGATATCGTGATGGTGTTCACGTCCTACCTCATACATACCGTGAGTGGCTGTCCGGTGCAGGTGGGACACTCGAGTCTCGGGGTCAGCTGTGGGCCTGTGGCGGCCACCGCCGGCGATGTGGATATGTGCATTGTGCATAGGTGCATATTTTATGTACATAAATACCACGGTATACGAACAAAGAAGATGCGAACAGCAAAGCAATCGAAACCTCTGCCTGGCAACGATGAAACTGCTGCCTCTCCTCCCGTTTCTCGCCTTCTCTGCTGTCGTCGAAGCGCGGGAGCGGCCCGTCGACCCAGTCGACCACCGTCGCTATGCCTCCGGCGAAGTGATGGACAGCATCATGAAGGTCAAGACGGCGACGTGGGACCACTACAGAGCGCTGGGATACTTCGATCCCGGACGCCACTCGTCGACAAACACGTTTAGGCGGTGTAATAACGGCCATGTCACGATGAACGATAATGGGATCATGACGAAATATGCTTGCAAGAATCTCGACCTTACCGGACATCTCACGCACGATGATCTGGGCTCTGTCGATGCTACCGAAAGGATCGGTGGGTGGGGCGTTGTCCGGTTATAAACGAGGACCCAAGAAGCTGATGGTAGCAACGTGATTATAGGAAGCTCCATCTGGGGTTATACCCTTGAAGGCCGCGAGTTTGTGGCCATCGGACAAACCGACGGCGCGGCGTTCGCGGAAGTCGTTGGCAAGGGCTGGTGGAACCGTGTTCCGTTCTATGGCAAGAAGGAGGGATCACTCGATTACATCGGACGGCTTCCACAGACTCCGGGTGCGCTGCCTTCCATTTGGAGGGAGATCAAGGGGTACAAGCACTACGCCATCATTGGCTCCGAAGCGGTGGCCCACGGAATCCAGATCTTTGACTTCCACAAGGTATGTACATCTGATACTCATGGCCGTCCAGCTTCAGCGTATCCCTGAACGTGCTCTAACCGGACTCCCGCCCAGCTCCTCGAAGTCCGCTCCAACTTGAACCGCCTCTCCACGGCTACCAGAGTCTTCAGTCCCACCAGCGACATCTCCCACTTCGCCGACCTCCCCGTCGGGCGCTCGCACAACGTCGTCAATGCCGAAGCCTCCGAGCACATCATCGCCGTTGGCGCGGCGCCTCGCACCGACACGTGCGCCTCCGGTCTGATCTTCATCGACATGTCTGACCCGGCGCGGCCCAAACGCACCGGTTGCGCCTCGGGAGATGGCTACGTACACGACGCGCAGTGTCTGATCTACAAAGGCCCTGACCACAAATACGACGGCACCGAGATCTGCTACGGCTACAACGAGGACTCCCTGACCATCTACAACATCACCGACAAAACCACCACAAAGATCATCTCCAGGACCTCGTACGAGGGCGCGAGTTACACGCACCAGGGTTGGGTCCTCGACACCGAGAACCAGGAGTTCCTCCTCCTCGACGACGAGCTGGACGAGCGTGACGGCGCAATCGAGTCCGGCCGTGCCACCACGTTCGTCTGGAACATCACCTCCCTTGAGGCTCCCATCCTCACGGGCAGCTTTACGAGCGATGTCCCCTCCATCGACCACAATCAATACATCAAGAACATGTTCTCCTACCAATCCAACTACGGTGCCGGCCTGCGTGTGCTGGATGTGTCCTCCGTCCCATCCGATCCGACCGGAAAGGGGATCAAAGAGGCTGCGTTTTTTGATGGTGAGTTCCTCCCGCTCCGCTGATATCGGAATGGAATGTATGTACTCACATACTGATAATGAAAAGTCTTCCCCGACGACGACGATGCCCCAGAACCCGTGTTTATCGGCTCGTGGGCCAATTACCCTTTCTTTAGGAGTGGACATATCGTCGTTAATACGTATGACCGTGGCGCGTTTGTGGTCAAGAGAAGTAAAACGGTTAGCAGAGGCGTACGAGCAGAGTTTTAGGAGATGGTACGTATACATGTACCTACTCAAGTATGTACTCCAAGTAGAATAGTCTTAGTATATGGACAATATGAATGATGAAGGACGGAGGTCATGGATGAACCGGGCAATGAGAAATACAATAGAGCACAATAGCTCTTGTTTGTTTGTTTCATCATCATAGCATTCGATCTTATCAGATCATGGCTGTACACACGTCCAGTTCCACCACAATAGATCTACAAGAAGTGTTCGGAAAAAATAGCACCGCTCGAAGCGTGCCCGAGTGATCCCTGGTGCTTAGGCCTCAACCCGAGCCATTCGATTATGATCTCGTCAATACTAAGAGTAATCAGGGGCAACTAGAGTATTTACACAAGATATCGCTGAATACGCCACCGTCGTAACCCAAAGAAAACGTGACCAGCGAACCCATCTGCCAGTAGACTGTAGTAAACCCGATCAAGCCACAAAGGTATCCGCAGCCACGTGCACGCCTTACACGGAGTCACGGACGTCGGACAGTTCCTCGGCCCGAGTCGGACGCAGTAATTTCCGCCCATCCATCCATCCAAGCCGATCGCCGTCCTCCAGGAAAAAGGGGAAAAAATGGCCCCTGACGTCATCGCTGGTCGCTGGGAATCACTGAGGGATCACGCCGCTTGGCTTGAAGCAGATCTTCGAAGAAAGCGACGGTGGGGAATACCCAGGACTGGACCTGGCGGGACATGACGGGAGAAAAAGGCTCCGAGTCTGCATCGAACCACTACGTGCGAAATTCCACTGCTTCCTTTGCTGCCCCGTCCCGTCGGCGAACACTCGAGTCTCGTGACCATTCTACGGTACACAACGCTGCTCCGTAGGAGGGTGGGAATACACGTAGGTATCATACGATGTGTGTCTGTGGCGCTAGGTATCGCTTCTATCCTGCAGCGAGAGAAGCTTCTCGCGATCAGATGGGAGACGGACTTCTACATATCCACCTACCTGGTATGCTTCCATTTTCACGAGCTGAGCTCGAACTCGAACATTTGTGGCAGAGTCATACACCGCTATAAGTAATACGGCACTCTAGGGGCTCTATAACGAGCGTGCGAGCCAAAGATCACTGGCCGGTAGGTAGGGTTTCTTTAATCCTCAATCATGAACAATCACTTCGTCGTGAATCTCGACACTTCCGCTTCGCTTCCCCCCAACAGCCACAGGCCTCGTGGACTGAGCGAGTCAGGGAAAGGACCGTGAGTATGTACTTAAAACTGTTGACTGGATTTAGTTGAATACTGAATGATGAAACAAAATAAATCCTCAACTTTACAGACCGCCCCTCCAAGCCCACCTACTCCAGAGTATTATGTATCCCGCACGCCGACTCGCCGAACACATGCGACATCCCGACTCGGTCGCCCACACACCACCAACCGTTGGCATGTCGTTATCCCGTAGCCCACCGTCCTAACACCCCTAACCCCTGAGCCGGTCCTCTCTTATCTTGTGCGCTCTCCTTAAGTTGCATTGGTGGCGTCAGCACCGCGCAGGGTTTCTGAACGGCGAGCAGAAACGTCCTGGGCATCAGCATCAATTCGGATAAATGGCTGAAAGTAGCATTGCGCGTGCACGGCGACGTTCGCTCCGGATATTTGATGAGCTCGAGAGGGACAAGAAAGAAAGTGAGGTCTCTTGGCAAGCTGAGCTCTCGTTTCCCCACGCTATCGTAGTAGACCCTATCCTAACTGGCCAGCGTGTAGGGGAGGTTAAGCGCTAAGCGCCGGACTGCTAAGAGGACGGCAGGTCGAACGGAACGGCATTCTTCAGCACGATTCCGCAGGATAGCTTGGGGGAAGTGGCATGTGCGGATACCCCTTTGTCAGGCGATGGGCTCCAACAGCAAGGTCGAGCCGGATTCCAAAGCAGGCCCCATCCATTGAAAATGTTTCAAGCCGATGGCTGAGATGCTGGACTTTGACCGCCATGCATCTCCCATTGGAGAGCTCGTCAGCTATCTGAGACGGTGAGAGATGACGATGATCGCTCACGGCTGGTTGGCCGGGAGATCATTATATGGCTTGCATGGCCCGCCCGGACCGGAGCTTCCCATCCCTGTTGGTACCTACGCAGAGCAACCAGCAGATCCCCCTCGTCTATCTCGTCTAAAAGTGCCCGCGCCGCGTGGGGGGTTCCGCACCAGTACATAAAACCATTTAGTCAGATCATGAACGCAGCTAGCTCTTCGGCTTGCAACCCAGCTGTCAAATCATCTGCTCCACGGATTGGCCACGATACCTGGTTCCCTGTGTTCCGCCGTCAATGCGCTCGCTCGCCATGCCGTCCATCGCTCTAGGGGTTCACATTAAAGGAAAGTACCGCGTTGATTTGCATGGTGTGGCTAGGAGATGGAGGGGGAAGGGGGGAAAAGGTAGATATATATGTAAACCAGCCAGCCCACCCGCCTAGGAAGATCCTTCCTCCCTCCCACCTCTCCGTCGGTCGATAAACATCAACACGGAATAAACGATGGCGCGAAACTTTCAGCGAGGCCCACCAACTCAGGCGGATGTCCAATCGGGACTCGACATGGAGGCGGAGATGCGACGATTGGTGGCCGAGAAGGCGGCACTTTCGGTATCCAGGGGGCCGAGTCCGCGGGGTGCTTACGGAGCCATGCCGAAGAGTTCCACCACCAAGACGAAGATGCAGCTGTGGGGGATGGGTTCGGCGACGACGGTATCCGTGCCCATAATGGTAGAGGAGACGGGAGCGGAGGACAGCGCAGGACTGCATCATCATGCGTTTCCACGGGGAGCACCCAGACCACCGCCACCGACGCCGACGACGACGCGGGACGACGCCTCATCTTCGAAATCTCGGTCGTCACACGATAAGAACGTGCTGGAGGATGTCCTCGGGATATATCCGGCAGAGAATAAGCTGCCGCCTGGGAAGAGTGCGGCCGATGAGTTCGTGGCGACTATTGCGAAGAGGTTTCAGCTGGGCAGGCGGAAGAGTAGCATTTCGTCGTCGACAGGGAGGAGTATTTCGACTGTGAGGTCATCTTCGGCCGCCGGTGGGGATGCTGCTTCGTACAGAAGTGGTGTCAGTGGTGGCGGTGGTGGTGGTGGTGGTGGTGGTAGTGCTGCCAATGAGCGTCGAGCATCCAACTCAATCCCGGAGAATAACCCCCTCGTTATCATCGAGCCACCTCGATCAACGTCGAGAGAGCGAGGTCGCGGAGGGGAGACAGGTGATCGGCTCCGCGCACGGTCTCGGTCCAAGGGAAGAAAAGGCCCAAAATATGTACCTCCAGGCCCATCGAACGAAGGAGTCTATGCCACCATGCCATTGCCCGCCGTTCCGCCATCACCATCGTTCCAAGTACCGCCATCCCAGATCCTCCTCAGTGCAGATACACTCGCCGAGAAGACTCGCCTGGCACAGTCTCGAGGAATTGATATCGCCGAATGGACCGAGTCGGTGTCGCCACGGCCACCGAGTGCTGTTACGACAGTCTCCGATTCCCAGCTCTCGCCCACAACCGATCGCCGGCGGCATAGCCATAGTTCATCATCCTCCAGAGCTTCCTTATATATCAAACGACTCTCCTTCCACCGGCCAACCCCAGAAATGCAAGCCCCTCCATTCACCGCATTCTCCCGAAGGAGGAAGCCCAGCACACGGATGTCCGTCTCTTCTGCCGGCAGTAATGTGGCATTCCCATATGCATACGACCTCAGCGAAAGCGGAAGCACGGGCTCATCATCGGCCAGGGCCGAACGGACATCTCAACCACCACCAGCATCTCCACCACGACGACAGCCAGCCTCGCCACCTCAAGCCCCTTCCATTCCTACCGACAGCGGCTTCTATGGCGAGTCCGACGATGACATGTCGTTCTATCTGCACCGAGACTCGGATGAGGAGACCCTCCACCTTCCCGACACTCTTGATGAAATATTCGACAAGATGGATCTGACAGATCTCGAGTCGAGCACCACCACCGAGGTTCCACAGGACGATAGTGAGGAAGAGGAAGAGGAAGAAGAGGAGAAGGGTTACTGCGGCGCCGATATCTACGACGAGTACACTCGCGCCTCGTTACTCTTTCCGAAGGATGAGGCGTACGACTGGAAGGATCGTAGGCGTGGGACGATATTTATGGGGAACCCGAAGCCTCCCATCGCGCGTCCACCAGTTAAGACGGGATTGGATGCGGAGATCGAGACGTATTTGGCGGAGAGAAGGAGGTTGATGCAACAGTAGCGATTCCATTCCCTTATTTCTCCCGGTTAGCTGTATGTACCGCGTACACCTGTGGATCTTACATTACTTTGCTTTTGCCTCTTTTTTGTGCTTTCTAGGTTGGTTCGGCTTGGGTTGGGAGTTGGTTTCAGTTCGAATTCTGTCTGTATTTCTACATACCATTCTCCTTGGGTCGTTTGCGGTGGCGCCGTAATGTAATATCAGTAATTCTTGTTTGATGTAGCTGCTCGAATGGTTGGCGCCTCACCTTACGAGGAAGCATCTCTCGGTCAGGAGAAGTCAGATATGGGTTGATAGTTGGAGGTGGGGATGTGAAATGGGTATTGATGTGAGTTTCGAGTCTCTATTCACCGGCAGCAAACATTAACCGGGCGAAGAGGTATTGATTCCAATTGTTTGCCTCCAGCCTGCCAAGCCTCATTCAGTCCTTGGAAACGTGACCGAGTGACCGTTCATACCGCGGCCTCCGGTGCTGCTTGTTGCTACGATATCCTATGCACTCTCACCTCAAACGGATTACCAGCTCGAACCACCCCGCCATATTTGGAACTCCAGCCTGGAACTTCCATTCTCCCTAAACACTCTACCATCACAAACTCATCCAGCTTCCACACCCCACCCTCAATCACAGCCGCAACATCTTCTATTAGTTCTAAATCTTCCACAACACCCATACACTCTTCTTACCATGTCTTCTCCCAAGCTCCGTACCGACTCTTCTCCCAATGCAGCTCCTCCAGCTCGCAGGTCAGCCTTCCAAGTCGTCATTGAGCGTTCTCCCACCCTCGCTAGTACCCCGAGCTATGCGAGGCCAACCGCTGCCAGCTTGAGCAGGACACAGGAGATAGTATGTTCCTTAGTATGTTTGCTTTCCAAGAAAGATTAACTCATAGGTGTGCAGTCGAATGCGAGGAGGAGCAGCGAGCCAGAATCGGTGCAGGCGTTGCCAGCGGCAACCGAGAAGAAGCAGAAGAAGGGCAAGATCACGAAGCCGGTCGAGACGACGAAGGACAGCGAACGCAGGCCGACGTCCCAAAGAGTTCAGGAATTGAAGGAGGCCTGGAAGTTGATGATTGCGGCGAAGAACAGGGAGAGAAAGGAAAAGAAGAAGATGGAGATAAAGGAAAAGAAGGAGAACACCGTATCGTCACGAGTGATGGTGAAGGGTATAAAGACGGCGGCAGAGAGGAAACCATCCAACAAGAAGATAGTGATGCCATCTGGGGTCATGATACGAACGACAAAGTCTATGATGATGGCGAAGACGAAGAAGAAGGAGGGCAAGCTGGAGCTTGAAGAGAAGCACAAGAAGGAGATACAGCCGGTGCCATTCGTGGTAGCAATGCCGGCAGCGAAGAGGCAGGGGCCTGAGCAGGAGCCTAAGATTGTCGAGCCAGCCTCCAAGAAGGCAGAGAAGAAGGCAGAGAAGAATGCGAAGAAGAATGCAGAGAAGAGGGCAAATAAGACAGCGATTCTGCCCCCCAAAGCGAGGGCTTCGGGGCCGTCCCCCAACTCCTCTGTGGGAAGGAAGACTGCGGTTGAACGGAAGATGTCCGTACCCAAAGAGAAGACGACCCCGCCACCGAAACCCTTCGCCGCCGCCGCACGCACAAGTGAGCCTTCGAAGGCTACGAAGACGAACGTACTCGCCAATCTTACGGTGCCAAAGAATAAACCCACTACGAAAGTGGCAAACAAGAGGAGGGTCACCGATTCCTCCCTCGAACGGCCGCAGCCGCCGTCGAAGAAGCCGAAGCCCAACGAGGAGTCATCTACGCTCCATTCTACGAGACCACCCGGGATCAGCAAGATCCCCCAACCGGTCGCAGACATTATAAAGCGTGCCCATGCACTTCAACCTCGGCTTTCCCGCTTCCATCTATCCAAGCTTGAGCCCGCCAGGCCTACCTACTACGGTGGAAGGACGCCGGCACTAGTAGCCAGGACAATGGAGTGGCTGGAAAATGTAGAGATCCCTTTTGGGGCTTCGACGCCTGTTCCCTCCGTTAAGCAGGAGGAGGAGAGCTGAGGGGTGGAGGAGAGGTATGTTTTTTTCCTCGTGCAATTAGGTTTTCGGAGGAATAGGAAGGTTATTATTCTTATTAGAATTACTACTGATGCCGTATAGTTGGTGATGTTTGCTTCCTACTTTGTTTTGCGTCCAATTGGGTTTCCGGAGGAATAGGAGGGTTCTTGCTCATACTGGTGCCGTATAATGGGATGGATTTGCTTTTACTTTGTTTTGCATGCAATTGGTTTTTCGGAGGAAAAGGAGGGTTGTTATTCTTACTGAATTACTACTGGTGCCGTATAATTGAAAATGTTTGCTTTTAAGTTTGTTTGCGCGTAATCGGATGGTCTCATATTTCCACACGCTGTCGTTAATGTTGCGTGATATCTCATGACGTCAAGGATTTCCGGGTAACCAACCCCGCCATCCCGCGTCAAATATTTCGTGCCGTAATCAACGAACTGCGACACGCACCACACGCACCGAAATGTTCACATTGTGAGTCCTCTCGCACCCACCCTCCACTGACACGCATCTGATAGCCAATATAGATATAGACGAGCACTCTCGCAGCTCACGCGAGTCGGCGTGCGCCACCTGCACATCTCCATCACCAAGCCGCCCACCCCAGCACCGACGACCCAAGTCCCCGACGTGACAACGTTCCTCACCAAGATCGGCCGCAACTGCCAGGTCCACGCCGCGAAGTTCACCGAGTGGGCCACGCTGTTCGATGCCACATCGACGCAGCTGAAGGAGCTCGGAATCGAGCCGTCGCGCACTCGCAGATATATCATCCGCTGGCGGGAAACTTACAGGCGCAACAACGGGAAGGTTAAGCTGCACGAGCAGAAGCGTGGCGTCAAGATTGATGGTGGTGAGAGGAGGCAGAAGGAGGTCAGGGCTAAGAGGTTTGCTGAGGAGAGGAGGATCGCGGAGGGTAGGGAGAGGTAGACTGAGGAGAGGAGGATCACGGAGGGTAGGGAGAGGTGGAGCGGTGGATGTATGGTACCTACGGCAGGCAGGCAGCAGCAGCGGCAGCAGCAGCAGCTTTTTTGTTTAATCATTTGATTGATTGAGCAGCAGCAAAAGCAGCAGCGGGGCCTCGAGGCATGGAGTGATCAATCATGAAGGCAGACTCCGCCACACCTCCAATTCTTGCCGCAAGACATAGTGCCATCCACCCATCCATCCATCCATCCACATCCACCCATCAATTGCCACCGAACCCTGTATATACCGAAACCGGATAATATGTATTCCGTCTGTTTCCGCGCCCCTCCCCCGGCCCCCCCAGCCACACATGTATCCCATCCCTACTCTACATACATACATACATGCTATACTTCACACGATGACGTTTGTGCCCGGCCAAAGACGGCAGCCTGATGCGTATGCGTGCGGGGGCTCCTCGATTGGCGAGGTGTGGTGTGCCTAGTGTGGGTGATGTTTCGATTCGGTATGATCCAAGGCCGATATGCTTACATTTCCATCATCGCCGGTCACTAGGTACCTACGGTACGCCTGTTTACTCGCTATCGAAATAAGACTTTGTTTGTTGGATGCGGAGTAGGATGGATCATGGGTGGGCACTGGGCACTGGACACTTTGTTTATCTTAGCGGCGGCGGTGTGGGTGGTCCAGGTATCCAGGTATCTATCTGATCCATCTCACCCGGGCGGGCCAGTCAAGCCACGTCACGCCACATATCTGATCCATCTCACCACAGCGCGCAGGCGGGTCAAGCCACGTCACGCCACAGTCGAATCCTTCGTCCACGACTACGAGTCCGGCCGGGTTGGGTTCATGGATCCATCCTGATTTGATTCCTCCCTGTCAGGAAGTGGCTGGCCCGAAAAAAGCCAAGCACCAACCAACGACCAAGGACCAAGGGCCAAGGAGAAAAGTCCCTCGCCTCCACCGCCTCTTTTCTTCCTTCGCAACAGCCACGCTGCGGACAGGACTGTGGACTGTGGACTGTGGACTGTGGATTGTGGCATCCCCCCTCGTTTTTCTTTATTTTTTCTTTCCTTTTTTCTTTTTTTCTTTCCTTCTTTTCGAAAACTCCCAAAATCTATTTTACCTGGTAAACCAGGAGGAAGGGACTCGGGAGGGAGGGAGGTGCCCGCGTCCGCGCCCGCGCCCACATCCGAATTCCCGCAGCGCAGTGCAGTGCATCTCTGCGCACTTGCAAGTTTCTCCACTCCACCTAGTTTATTTTTCCTTCCTGGCCTTCTGGAACAGAGAAAGTAGCGACGGGCGGATGGCGAAACAAATCGAGGAGCACGAGCAGCAGGAGCAGGAGGAACTGGAGGAGGAGGAGGAGGTGGTGGAGGAGGAGTGATGCCACAATTACAATTGCTTTTCTGCCACAGTTCGTATCATTACTATTGGGCGGACGCCGCGCATCCCGGCGGCGGCGGCGCTGCATACATGCACTCCTTTCGAGCGACCTTTCAGCCCCACACACCACAAACCACACACCGCACACCACACACCACACCATGCTGCGAGCTCAGAGCTCAGAGCTGCGGGTGTGGGCACTGAGCTCTGGCTGGGCACTGGGCGGGGAATCAGCCGCACATAGGTACAGCCCGAATTACTGGAAGCGGAGAATGATGGGATTTTTGCTTGTATGGTGGCTCGCCGAGCCCCGGTGAGTGGTCGAGGGCGGTGATGGAAGCGCTTATCGCGGTTCGGCGATGGCTTGTTTTTCGCAGCGAGAGGTCTGTGGGGTTCCGGTGACGACTACGGTACTTATCCACTTCACTGGGGACAGCTGCAAGTATGTACTGGTATGATACATATCCACGGAAAGGATAAGTTGTCGTGTAGAGCAGTGGCCTGTGGTTGCGCAGACGGACGGAGACAACTACGACTTGGGTAGTGCGAAGTTCGAACCACGATACATTCGGAAACCGTGGTCGTCAAAGCCGTTGCAGATGACCGATGGGCAAACCTGTTGGACCTATCTATGGGATCGGTTGGAATACCTAGTGGATGTCGTTGTCCATGCTGAGCTTTTGTTTTTTGTTTAATCATATGATTGCATACGACCCATCTACCTACCTAGATCATGGCAATATCTATCCATACACATTCCGTTTCTATGCCACAGTCTAACTCGTCTTTCGTGGGTGGCTGATTCGCCGTTCCGTTGGTTGAACGGTCGAAGTCGTCCTGTTGGTTTTGTTTTCTTTTCAAGTTTTCAGTGTTCAAGTTTCCGTTGGTGGCTGGTGGCGCAATTCCGCGTTTCTTGCTCTGGTAGGTAGAGGTCCCCAAACCTGACTGGGTGGTCTGGCTGGCTGAAGGTACTTGGGTACCTACTTCATCACAACTTGGACTCGGTATGATAACTACAAAGCCACTGTTGGTGTGGCTTGCATGTCTATCTGCTGGGATCTGATTGTCGGCGGATAAAAGTGGTGCCAAGGCAGGAATTGATGGAGACCAAGACTCAGATTGCGGTTCGGATCTTGACGATGAAGGAGCCGTATCCAGAGTAGAGTTGGTACCTAACCTACCGTACAAAACTCTGCACACCCCAGCGGGCGCCGGGTACTCGTACATGCATACGAGTAGGTACTGTACTCTAGGATAGAGCACAATCTACAGGAAAGCTAGAAGCACCACTCGTTCTGGGGTACTATGAAGACGAGAGCAAATCTATAAATGTTCTTCTCTCGCGGAAGTTGATCGATGTCGAGGTAGTCATGATGATGGAGGTCGAGGTGGAGGTTGAAGGTGGTGGAGTTGGAGAAGTCGGAGAAGTCGGAGAAGTCGGAGTCGGTGGAGGTGATGGTGGTGGGGGAGTGGTTGGTGTTGGTGTTGGTTGGCTGGGGTTGGTGTGGATGTGGCCGGGGTAGTGTTGGGACCGCTGCTCTGTTGAGGCTGAGCACACCTGCGAGATGGATGGCTGGCTGAGGCTGAGCGAGGAAGCACCACCACCCAGCTGCACGATGGATGGACGGCTGGTTCGCTGGAATGAAGGGGAGAGGAAGCATTTCCCGGTCCGATCTCAGGGGTTCCGAGAGACGTTGGTACGAGTGGCACGAAGAAGAAGAAGAAGAACCAGATGAAGAGAGGACTTCGTTACTTATATGTGATGAACACCGAGACGGTACCGACGACTACGACGGCAAGTTCTCCAACGCTTAAAGAAAAACAAAAAAACGGACCGGATGGTTCGATACGAAGATGGCTGATGATGTTGGTGATGGTGATGACGCTTGGTTTCTTTTTCACCTTCTCCCGCCCTGTGCTTGTTGGGTTAGTGAAAGCGAAAAGGTAAGGGAAAAGCCACACTTTGCGCTCCTCCCTTACCACACACAACCTTCCCCCCCTAACCACCACCTCCACATTTATCCGTCAGCACCCACCACCCACCACCTCCACCACCCACCATCCACCCACCATCCACCACCGCCCCCCAACCCTCGAACTTCCCCCCGGCAGAACGCCACGATCACGAACCCGCCCACCACCCACCACACCCACTATCCTCCACCACCTATTAACGAAACCACAGAAATCCATCCCGCCCGCTAAAGGCCACTGCCACTGTCACTGCCACTGCCAGTCCCCAAACCAACTCTCCAACATCAACATCTACCACCTACACCACCATCACCAACCTCCAACCACCACCACCACCTCCACCACCCACCGCCTTAGATACTGCCACCGCTGCGCAGCTTCGTCAAGCGCCCGTAGCTTTGCAACTTTCCCTACACACACCTGCTCGTATTGTAACTCTACACACCCGACCCGTCGTCGCTACCGTCCGACGTTTGGCGCGCCCTTCCCCGAAGCCTACCTGCCTGCGCGATCGCCGCATCACGACTTACCCCCATCGCTCGCCTCACCTCCAATTGATTCTACTCGGACTCGACTTCTCGCGTCGCTGTTCCCGATAACTCGATCGACTAGCTACTACTCTTTCTCCCCTCTCTCTCCCATTGCTGACCCTCGCGCTTGTCCCGAGTGTCGGCAAATTGTCCGGATCCTAGAGTCTCACTCGTACTGGAGGATGCGAAGTCCGTCGCAGCCGCTTGCGATAGTATTACAGCCTCACTGCTGATTCTCACCCACCACCACCGGGGGAAGACAACAACTCCGTCATTCATCGCTACTTAGTTCAATTCGATCCGGTTGCTTTCGCCAAAAAAATAATAGAAGCTCTGCTGAGAACGGTACGTGCTTGACGCTGATGATGTCTTGTTTCGTGCATTCGTTCTCCCTCCTCCATCCAATACAGAAACAACCAACTCCATCCTGCTCACTCGCCAGATGGTGAACTGTTCCTGACCCTCTCCCTCCCCAATGCCGTCGATATCGTCGCCGCTGCCACCGTCTTTGCTGCTGTCGGACGCGTGCAGTGATGTTTACCGTCGTCTCGTTCACCTCATCCTGCAACTCGGTACCACTAATGCAGGTCATCGTTATGATCGTCCGTCATTGAGCTTCTGTTCCCGTGCACTCGCGCTGGATGCCGTTTCCAACACTATACTACGCGGGGTCGATATTTATATCTCTTGTGGTTCATGGCTCTTCATTTGTTATCCTCACACGAGCTATGGTTTCGCGGATTCCCGTTGGGGTTGTGGTTTTTTTTTGGCAAGGATTCAGGGCTGATGCGAAGCTTGGAACTTTAGATTTCGAGTTTCTATCAGCCTCACAGCCTTCATTCTGTCTTTGCTGGACCCCTCAAAACACTACACCACTTAAAGTCCTCCGGAACATTCGTTCATCTTTCCCTCCAGTTTCGGTTGAATCAATTTTCTACCACTGACACCGCCACCACCACCATCTATCCTTCACCACTTTGCTTCTACGTCGGATAAGTAAGCTATAATTCCCTTCAGCAGCACTTTTCCCCTTTCCCCTCTCCCCCACGCTTGAATTTGGCAGCTTTGCGCATGTTGCACACGATTCGCCCGTCGGCTCCGAGTACGATGCTCTCTCTCTGCATCTGGACCTATTTTGCTGGGCTGCGCACTGTATTCCCCTCCCCCCTCTCATATTTCTTGCCACTCGAACGTCATTGGTTTGAGCAGTTGATTATTTTCTTGCGTGTTGCGTGCTACTTGGCAGCTCGAAATATGGTAAACTGACGCCACAATTATCAATAATAGAAACAGCTTCGATAGTACTATGGAAACATCACAGTTCACATCTGTTCCCACTGCCCCCAGCCACGACACAGCTTCAATCAAATCGACTCCATCAACACCTCCAGTGTCTCCCAAAGTGGTTGTCCAGAACATTACGACTCCGGCAAAATTGGCGAGCCTTGCGCCACAGACGAAGTTGTCTGGAGCTGCTGCCTTAGCGCGACGTCAAGCCACAAGTCCAGCGAAAAGGAACCCGATGAGTGAAGCACTCGCAAAGGACAAGGTCGAGCCGGAGACGAGCACTGGCGTGTCTCCGAACCCAGCAGCGGTGGTGTTCGCCAACCCGGTCAGTCGGGCCAGTGATGCACCTGCGCAACAGGAAACGTCGGCGCCATCTCAAAAGGTTCTCGGAAACATCGCTAGCGCTGCCAACGCTATGGATACTTCGGGTAGTGCCACGATCGCTCCCATTGCCGGCTCAAATGAGCCTACTGGCGAGCCAGCCACATCTACAGCCACCACCGCCGGGCCAAGTAGTAGCACCACAGATCCGTCGCTCCTTCAGCCTAGCAGGGACGGCAACGCACAGTTCCCGCTCTCGGTGCAGCCGTTGAGGGCCGGCAGTGCCTCCGAACAGCTTTCGGCGACCACACCTACCACCCCGGGATTCAGTGCCACGACTCCGACCACACCGTTCAGTCCATCGGCTACGACCCCCGGAGGCACGCGAGGCAAGCACACCTGTCATCACTGCAACCAGACGTTCACCAGGCACCATAATCTCAAGTCGCACCTGCTTACGCACTCGCACGAGAAGCCCTTTCTCTGTCAGACTTGTCAGGCACGGTTTCGTCGTCTGCACGATCTCAAGCGACACTCGAAGCTCCACACGGGCGAGAGACCTCACGTGTGTCCCAAATGCACCCGGAAATTCGCTCGCGGGGATGCTTTGGCGCGCCACGCGCGTGCGGAAGGTGGCTGTGCGGGCCGACGGAGCTCGATGGCCGGCGTGAGTGAGGATGGTTCGATGGGAATGGCCGGAGGTGACGAGGACGGTATGGAGGGTCTCGAAGTCCTGATCGACGGAGATGCCGATGGAGATGTGGATATGATCGGAGCCAGTGGCACGGATGGCGGCTCGAGACGGCGCAGCCTGCCTAGCATCCGCACTGATTTCTCGTCGGGAACCAGCGGTGTTGCTGGAGGTAACCCGATCACGCCTGCATCCGGTACGTCTGGCCACACACCAAACCAGCACCACAACACCTATCCTCCTCTGGGCAATCGGGCCAATTCGAATTCGGGACCGTCACCAGCGGGGCTCTTCCCACCCCACATGACGGGCAAAACATTCACCATGAACAATGCATCGCCGATGACTGCTGGACCGGCGCCCACGCCTACTTCTGCTGTGGCAGCGGGCAACGGTTCGATCCTGTCGCCGCATGGTTGCATAACGGATTCGCCGCGGCCGGTCTCGCCTGGCTCTTCAGCGGCACATGATAATGGGTTCCCTGGGTTCCAGCAGCTCTCGGTGAAGTCGCCACAGAAGGGCCGACCGCACGAAACCCCTAGTGCTGCTCCGACCGCCAACATGGGAGGGGCTCGCTTCACTGGAAGCGCTGAAAGTGTTTGGGCGTACATAAAGGGCCTCGAAGAGAGGGTGCGATCCCTAGAGGGCACTGTTGAAGAACTTCGGGAAGAGCTCAAGCAGAAGGCCAATCCCTCCCAGGAGGCATCGTCGTCTTCCTCATCGACAGAGAAACAGGCGCAGCAGCAGAAGCAGGCGATGGCAAAACCACCACAAGCGATGCCGCAACAGGCTGCCGCTAGGAGTTGAGGAAACAAACTGAAGAAGCTGATGGCTACTACGTGTAATAATCAATTTCTATTGTTGGAATCATATCCCGCCTCCTGGGTACCTTTTCCTACTTCGTCACGGACTTGACGTATTTTTCTTAGTTGTGTATGTTTTTCTACGGGGAATTGGGATCTGGTTCGGGGATATGGGATATGGTATTTCTTCTCGTCTTCGTCGTCTTCATTGTTTTTCTTCGTGTTGTGCGAGGTTTCTTGTAATTCGAGGCTATGCCTTTTTTTTTCTTTGCCTTTTTCGTGTCATCTCTTGTCGTTGATTTTGATTGCCGTCAAAAAAAATTCGAGTTTTGCTTGTGTCTGGATTTGGTCTTGTCATGGTCATGGTCTGTGTGGGTATACCTCTATTTCTACTGTGCGACTCGGTGCGTGTGGGGTTTGACGGGAACTTTGAACGATCTGGGATGAGGGATTAGTGACGGGGTGGGTGGGGGCAGGCGAGCGGTGGGCCGGGTGGAGTGGCAGTGAGTGGGTGGAATGCAAGTGAACGAATGTAACGCGTAGGTACTATTACGGGATCGTGATGTTCCGTTCTTCATGTGAATCCCCTCAGACATGTGAAGACCGCAGATAGTGAATACTTCGTAAGAAGGAAGTAAAATGCTCGTCGTTCTCGGGACAGCACGGAGCTGACGCCATGCCCAAGCCTCGGAGGGGGCTACGTCACATGTAGAGTAATAGCAACCATACGCTGCCAACCAATCCACCTCCTCGCCTCGCTTGTCCGAGTCCAACCCAACCCACATGTTATCTGCAAGACTGCAACGCCAACATGACGTCTCCCGCCCTGCAGCGCTCTATAACAACCCATCCCGCACCTCCTGCCCATCTCACAATCAGAGTTAGTTAACCGCTCGACCTTAACTACTTTTACGCACCCGCAAGCAATGTCGACCGCCTTCCCGCTCAAAGCGCCGGACATCGCGCCCACGCCGCCCGGCTACCATCCCGCGACACCGCCGAACGAGAAAACGGGCGTCTCGTACGCCTCTGTCGTTGAGAAGCCGGCGTTCAGAAGCACCCATAGCTGGAGCACACACTCGTCTGCGTCCGTTGAAAGCGATATCCGCGATGGCAAAAGGAGTGTCGAGGAGCCGAGGAGCTATGCCGAGGCTGTGCAGAAGAGTGTGAAAACGGAGGAGAAGAAAGAGGGTGGGGAGGGGGAGGGGAATGGGCAGGAGGATGGGAAGCGGAATAGGAAGGATAATGGTGGTGAGGGCGAGGGCGAGGGTGAGGTGAGGAGGAGGAGGAGGGAGAGGGATATGGATAGTGAGGAGCAGGAGCGCGGGGAGTGGGAGAGCTATGAGGTTGAGAAGGCGAGGCGGAGGATGGAGAGGAAGGCGAGGAGGGAGACGAGGGAGAGGGAGGAGAATCGGAGGGAGATGATGCGGACTGAGAAGGCCGGGGAAGACTCGGTTAGCGATGGTACTTCGAATGAGAGCAGGGAGCCAGAGAAGAGGAAGAAGCGGGAGCTTGTCACTGCGGTTAGGTCGTGAGTGCTCCTTGATGTCGCAGATGGGGTGGTGAGGTGGGTGGCTAACAGCGCGTAGGACAGGTTGGGCTCCAATCCGAATCCCGTTCCGCCGCCGACTTCAGACCGCCGCGGTACTCTGGCACACATTCTCGATCCTCATCTGCTTCAGCACGTTCTGGTTCGTGCTTGCAATCCCGCTCAGCTGGCCAATCCTAGTGCCGTACCTGATCTACATCTTCTTCCTCGCCAACAACCATGCCGACGGTTCCGCACCTTACAAGCGCTCCGAGTTCCTGCGGAACCTCCCCATTTGGCGCCTGTACACGGAGTACTTCCCGATCCGTCTCCACCGCACTGTCGAGCTGGATCCGAAAAGGAATTACATTTTGGCCTATCAGCCACACGGCATCATCTCGCATGGCGCGTTCGGGAATTTCTGTACGGAGGCTACGGGGTTCAAGCAGTTGTTTCCTGGAATCAAGAACACTCTCCTCACCCTCGAACAGAGCTTCACTATCCCCTTCAACCGCGAGTACCTCCTCGCAATGGGCCTGGCGAGTGTCTCCAAGAAATCATGTGAAGCCCTGCTGCGAGGTGATGGTATTCCGAAGAAGAAAGCCGGAAGGAGGCTGTTCCACCCGACTACTTGGTTCTCGGGTGCCACGAATGAGGAAGATGCGAAGGTCCCCGAGGGTGGTAGGGCGATTACCATTGTAATCGGCGGCGCTAGGGAAAGCCTTGAGGCCCAGCCCGGGACTATGAAGCTTGTGTTGAAGAAGCGGAGGGGATTCCTTAAGCTCGCTATCCGTGAAGGCGCTGGCGTTGTTCCGGTGTTGAGCTTTGGAGAGAATGGTATGTCTTTGCAGGTTGCAAAAGCAGATTCGATGCTAAACTGGTTTCCTTAGATCTATACGAGCAAGTCGTCCCCCGCGCAGACGGCTGGATCCACCGTATGCAGATCGCTGTCAAGAAAACTTTGGGCTTCACGGTCCCGCTCATCCACGCGCGCGGAGTCTTCAACTACGACGTGGGACTGCTCCCCTACCGACACGAAATCAACACTGTTGGTATGTCTCCCCCCAGCATCCTTCCACGTCCCGTCAACCGCTAACATGGTACATGACACAGTTGGTGCTCCAATCTTCCCTCGGCGAAAAACCTCGGAGCCCACAGATGAGGAAGTGGTTGAGTTCCAGCAGCGTTACATCGACGAGCTGCGGCGCATGTGGGATGAGTGGAAGGATGTGTTCGCTGATGACCGACGCAGTGGCGCGGATGGAGAGTTGGAGATTATCGAGTAGATTATGTATATTTTGTGTGGCTTTCTGTGGCTTTCTGGGGGGGGCTGATGTACCTCGCGTGGAGACCGGGACACATCTGTTTCGAGTTTTTTGATGTACTTCCATGACTTTGACTGACTGTACGAACTGTACGAATGGACGATATGCGCGCAGTTTCAGAACGGTTTCAGGGTTCTGCCGCGTAATGCAACGAGAGCTCGGTGCAAGTGAAGTGAAGTAAAGGAGAGGACATAACTCGCTGTCCTCGTCCTCCTTTCATTTCATTTCTTTTCTTTTCACCTGTCTGTGAATTGAGTTTGTGATTTTTTTCTTCTTTTCTTCAGAAGCTGGACTTCTTTTTACTACTACTATAATCTGCGCGGGTTACTCGGTCACAATGGAACACTCACACTCACCCCCACCACCCCCACCACCGCCAGCCTACTACGAAGAAGCACTGGAACCGTTCCTACCTCGCGATACGACGGGCGCACAAGCGAAGGAGCGGACAACACTAAATCCGAGGACGAAAATCTTCGCCGCTCTCGGCGGGCTAACAGCTATACTCACACTGCTCTTCTTCTTCCTCCCACCAACCACACTGCTGGGCGCACACCACGTCCAGGACCGGAGCAATGCAACCCTGCACCCAATCCCCGTGGCGGGCGCGGTCGTGGGCGCAGACAACTGGACACTCCCGCTCCCTCCGCTACCACTGACGCCGTACGCAATGGCGCTCACCTGCATGGCAGTGCAGCACCGCGGTAGCGGTGCTGGACACACACACGCACACCGGGAGTACTACTCGGTCGACGAGTCATTCGTGGACCCAGCGGCAACGACGGGGGAGGAGGAGCGGGTGCTGACGTACTCACTCGCGACCACCACCTCGGTCGTGGGACTGGCCGAGTCGCTGCTCGAAGTGTTCACATCCTACGGCCTCGCCGCGAGCGAGGGCCGGCGATTCGTCCTCGACGATGCTGACTGGGCCTGGGGGCGCTGGCGAGATTACTTTATCAGCGGTTCGCTGGCCGCGGACGGTGCGGGCCGGGAAGGGGCACTGCCGTGCCCAAGGAGTGCGAGCAGCCTTGTCGTCGCCCACGCGACCCGGGGGTGGGCGTTTGGGCATGCCTTCACGGAGCACTTTGAGCTCGCCCGGGAGCGGGGGAGTCGCCGGCAGCAGCGGGTGTTCGCCCTGGCGCGGAGCGGGTGCGAGGCGCTGCTGAGCGTGCGGCCGGCGCTGGCTAAGAGGGTGCGCAGGAGGGTGGCGGAGTTGAGGGGGCGGGCGGGGGACGGCGCGTGGGTGGTTATTCAGGCGAGAAGGGGGGACTATAAACCCCGCACGTGGGAGTGGGTCAAGGGCGAGGGCGTGCAGTTGGATGTGCTCGCGGATGTGGCGGCCGAGATGAGTGAGGGCCACGGGAGGGTGCTGGTGATGAGTGATGATCTGGCGGTGGTGAAGGCGCCGGAGCTGGCGGGGAGCTTGCCGGCTGTGGAGGGTGGGAAGGGGTTGATAGAGAGAGGGTACACGAGGAGTGAATTGTTGAAGCTGGGAACGATAGAGAGGAGACATGTGGCTGAGAGGTGGCTGGAGGATATATTGGTGGTGAAGGAGTTGGTGGGTGCTGGGGGAGCGGACGAGGGCGGCGTGGTCTGCGGAGGCGCCAGTGCCACCTGTAGGCTGCTCGCGGTCATCGTCGGGTGGGAGATGAGTGTTGTCAACGAGAGGTGGAGGGATGTGGACGGAGGGATCGGGTGGAGCGGGGTTAATTGGTGATGGAATGATGCGAACATGACACGAACGGGGACGATAATACGATTGATAGTGATTGAACATGAACTTCGTCCACGTATTTGGTAGTGGTACGGACAATCCTGACACTAGGTAGTCGATGTGGCGGACTTATGTACTCTACGAGCGGGACGAAGGGCAAGAGATGGCGCTGCTGAAGGGTGTAACGGATCGGCATCCGTGCGAACCGTGATCGAGACGAAGCGGCAGTTTGTTTGGATACGGATCACTGGCAACTGAGCTGATATCGGTGGGATTCCCAAACAGCCTCATTCCTGCTGACATGCAGATCACGGACGGAAGATCAAAACAAACCATTATCGACATCTGGAACGGAGGCGGCAGGCTTTGACTGGAGCTGTCGATGCGGAGTGCAGGCCGGATCGTCTGGTCTCGACGGTGGCCCATGCATATTGGAACGATGCTGGTGGCTGGAGTCCTGTCTTCCGGATCGTATGCATATGGATCCATCAAACTTTTAGGCCATACGAGCTATGCCCGTGCATCGATCCTTACGGCAGTAGGCGGTGGAACCGATCGAACGCATGGCTGGCACCCTGTCGGCGAGCCATTCCTTCTTTCTCCCGTCCTATATAAACCCTCACTCCCAATCCTTCATTTCCCGCTTCCTTTCCTTTCCTTCCCACTCCACGTTGTCTTTCTCTTTCTCTTTTGCTCTTTTCGCCTTTCGACTTCTTCTCTTTGGTCTCTTCCTGGTTTTGATCACTATTCTGCAATTGCACTCTCGTTTTCGCTGATTCAATCGTTTGTCTACTCAGCCATTCGCTGCTCTTTTGAACCGTACACTTCTCTCTCATCATGTTGTCTCGCTCTGTGATTCTCAACATGCCATCCCTCATTCCTCTGTTGATCCTCGCCGGAACGATGGTTGTCCAGGCTGCCCCCGTGGAGTGAGTCCCAGATACTGTCCTTCATGATTCATCCTCTTGATCCCCACTGATACTCCGTCTTCCTCACAGCCACGACATTGCCGCCATTCGCACCGTTTATACCACCGTGACCACCACTACTACCATGACTGTTGACCATGTCACCGTCACTGGACCTTGCACCCATGAGCCCACCGGCATCGTTTGTTCCCAGCATGACCACGAACATTGCATCCCTCCTGCCCCGGAGCCTACCCATGTTGTCTGTACCCAGGAGCACGAATGCCACCCCGGCGGGGACAAAGGAAAGAAAGGCAGCAAAAAGCTGGGATTGGTCACTCGGAACAACAATGGAGCTTGCGGAGACAACCATGCCGTGAAGGTCTGCCATGATGGATATGTGGCTACTTGCAACTGCCAGGCATGGGGCTGGGATTGTGCCTGCGGACCCCTCGAGGGGATGTTGAAGTGCGTATAATTTCGGCCCAGGCTCAATGATCGTGTCCATTGCTGATGGGATGTAGGACCATTACTCACATGGTCACGGCTACCGCTTCTGTCACCCATACGCACATGATGGACGGCGGACCATGTCATCCTCACACTCCCATGCCGACCCATCATATGCCGACCCATCCTATGCCAACTCATACTATGTCGACGCATCCCGAGCCGACGCATCCTATGCCAACTCATACTATGTCGACGCATCCCGAGCCGACGCATCCTCCTTCCACTGGACGCTGCACGGCTGGATCTTCGCATGAGCTTCTGCACGTTTGTTCCCCCAGCGCCGGTGCTGTATCTCAGCTGACAACTCCACCAGTTCGACGACTTTTATGACAGCTACCCGCACGCCATCATGAACCCTACCATGACTCCAGCTTCTCCTTTCGTCTTCCGAGACTTTACCTTCGATCCGGATTGGACGTTTGCCTTGTGCGAGAATCTGCAGGACCAACGCAACCAGACTTGCAATCCTACGACCCCCGAAGGTGACTACTACATCTCTCTCTACTACCAACTGGCAAAACCCTTCGTCTCCAGGGTTTCCCGCCGTATCACCTACGACTTGGAGCACAACTCGACGTCCTGGGAGCTGCTTTCCTACAACCTTTCGGCATTCCCGAAGGCTGGAGGCGAGATTACCGTTCTGATGTGCGCCTGGAGCATCCACGATCAAGACAAGGATATCGAGCCCACCTTCTGCCATGCCGAGTACTTTCACGAGAAATCCATCCTTCGGCCCGTTATGATCGACCATCAAGGTCAGGAGTTGGCTTTTATCGAGTTCACGGGTTATCACGGACACTACGAGCCTGGTACCGGGAAGCCAGAGGGCGGAAGCTCTGCTAAGGGACTGAGCCCGGCCGAGTTCTTCCTCGACGACATGTCGGTCTGTGTGCCGTCTATGTACGTACATTGAGAGGCGTTTTTCTCCTTGGCCTTGGTTATCTGGCCTTTGTCGTTGTAGACACTTTCTGCTGTTTTTCTTTGTTTCCTTTCTGATTTGATGATTCCCGCAAGCATTGCTCGTACTGTTTTCTACCATCATGGCACTGTGGATGGCGTTTGGCACTGGTATGGCGTTGATTATAGATGAAGCCCGGCCGTTTGTCTTTTTTCTTTTTTCTTTTTTCTTTACCATTCTACCGAGACGGAAGTGTTTTGATATGATGTGTATTATTGTGGATAATTAATGGATGATGTTTGATATTACGCTTAACCTTCCATTCGGTCTGGTATGTTGTGAGTCTAGGAGTTTCCTGTTGGCCTCTCGAAGTTTCGGTTAACGTAGCGCGTAACCTGAGTATGTAATCAGCCTGCACATCCCACGGCCCTCCCCCGCACACACACACCATGTCCGCACTCACCGCCACGGCAAGCCTGATCGAAGTGCTCTCTGCCTACCACGAGCTCAACAGCTCTGGTGTCGAAGAGCGATCCGGCGAGCCAACACCTTTGGAGTTCTCGCGAGGCGTGCGACAGAACTTTCCCGTTGTATTCCGTGGCGCAGTGTCGCACTGGAAGGCGGTGACAAATTGGAGAGCGGCGTACCTACGTGACACCATGGGCTCGGAGAGTATTGCGGTCGCCGAGACGCCGTTGGGGTGAGGCTTCCAATCATAGACACCACGAACCGAGCTGATGTTGGAAGAAATGCAGATTCTGCGGTAGTCCGGGAGGAGGACGGCAAGCGGTACTTTGTCAAGCCGCACGAGAGGCAGATGCCGTTCGGGTGCGTGTTCATCTTCTTGTGAGAGGGCAGTACAAGAGACAGAGGGTTGACATGCCACAATAACGCACAGGGAATTCCTGGACGACTTGCAGGCGAAAGTAACGTCCGAGTCCGAGTCCGCCATGGTGAGGTACGCGCAGTCACGTATGTGTCACCTGTCACCGTTCGCGCCGGAGCTTGGAGGGCCCGCCGCCCGGGCGAGATGTGAAGTCTAAACTGACGGAAATCGATAGAGGATGATAACCTGCTCCGCGAGTTTGCGCCGCTCGCGGCAGACGTCGGCAGAGATATCCCGTGGGCGTCGGAAGCGCTGGGGCAGCAGCCCGACGCCGCAAACGTCTGGATCGGCAATGAGCGCAGCGTGTCCGCGCTGCATAAGGATAATTACGAGAACCTTTTCTGCCAGATCTCGGGATATAAACGGTATTTTTCTCTTACCCCCCGATTCCTGTGGCATTGATTGACCAGTATAAAGATTCGTCTTGATTTCTCCATACGAGGCCATATGCGTCCGGGAGACATCGTTGCAGGCGGCAACATACGTCCCCAACCCGCATACGCAGCGGCTGGCTATCGTCCCCGATGAGCCGGCTAGCGAGGTACTATTCTGGCCAACCGTGGATCCAGACTCACCTCCCGGCACCGCATGGTGGAGGTACTGCCGCCCGATGGAGGTAGAACTAGCGCCTGGTGATGTCCGTCCTATTATTACCCCGCCATCCATCCATCCATCCATCCATCCATCCATCCATTTAAGAATCTTGAGCTGATGCAGTAATGCCCACACCTAAGCAGGTTCTATACCTCCCCGCGATGTGGTACCATAAAGTCTCGCAACGCGGCTCCGACGAGGGCCTGTGCTGCGCCGTTAATTACTGGTGAGTCTCGAAATTGCTTTCCCCCCACCAAGACATGCGGCTGATGTAAGTTAGGTACGATATGGAGTTCGGGGGCGCTTTCTACCCCGGTGTGAGCTTTGCGAGGCAGATGACGCAGATGGCACAACAGGAGGAGGAGGAGGAGGAGGAGGAGGAGGAGGCTGAGATGTGGCGCACTCAAGCATGGTGAGTGCGATGGCCCGATGGGCGTTGCGGTACATAGAACGTACATCTTGCCGGGGAAGTCATATGTCCTACCTACGTAGTTGAAGCGGAAGGCTAGGAAGACACAGTGAAAACGTACCAATTATCCGGGAGACGTGAAATATCACAATGCTACGAAGGATCGTTTTAGGGCCCGTTTGGATGGGCTCAGTTTTCAATTCCAGTTTTAGAGCCAAATTCAGTTCCCCGCCGGGACACCGAATACTGTCCAGTTTCAGTTTCCGGAGAACTTTGAGGCGAACAGAGTGTTTGGCAGTTCTCAATATACTCAGCCACAAGTCTGAATAATGGGATTCACCAGAACTTTAATAATGGACACAATATTGTGGCCCCGCTTTTTTCTCTTCCCCATAAAGGGAGTCCATAGTTGAAGTTAAAATGCGATACTGAGTGGCGGCAAAGAAATGACCTTTCGAGGTCAGTACCAGTTTCATCGCTGGAGCCGCACAGTTTCAGTCTTTTTCTCTCAGTTTTTGTGCCAGCCAAACAGAGTTACAGTTTTGTTTGCTTATGTATGTAGTTTCTCGAAAAACTGACAGTTTTCTCCAACACTGAAGCCATCCAAACGGACGCTTAGCCCGACCAGCAGTTCGGTGGAAAGTGAAACCTGGAGTCGCCAACAAACTTTTACTGTCCCTCGTCTTTGAGACGTGACGTCATAATACACCCAACCTCCACCCCCAAGCGTATGTAGCAATCCGCTCTCCGAATCCTTGAGATTGTGGATTGGTATGGCCGTCGCCCACCGCGCTAACAGCCGCCGGTTCAAGCTAACAATCCAGCAGCAAAATATATAGTGGCACTGGCAGGCGCGGACGCCGTTCACGTTTTCGGCCCAATATCTGAACCGTCACCTGACGGCGAAATGCGCCTGTGGTACATAATGGTAAACATCTGGAGGGGCTGGGCTCGGAAACGAGCCAAGTCTTCCAGGTACGAGCCAACAGTGTGTTCCTGGCATCAATTGGCGGAACATGTCTCAGTACTATACTCACACGGCCGGAAATTTTGGGGCCCCCCCTGCACAGTTTATTATCAGAGATTAGATCTGTGGTTGTGTGTGTCTCCCCCACAGGATTTGTTAACAGATCTAATCTCAGATAATAAACCGTGCAGGGGGGGCCCCCAAAATTTCCGGCCGTGTGAGTAGACCCCTTGCCATCCATCGGCCCACGGTCACCGCGCTCGAACTTGCCCGGAGCGTACAAAGGTCGGTCGGCAGATGGGTATCCAGCGGTTGACATCCGCTAGTAGGCGTAATGAGCGCCAATATGGTCACACTAACAGCGGAATAATTCTTAGTAGAGTTTGCTCCGTATGTACGTTGATAAGCGTGCTGTCCAGTATGTATGAGAAAGTCAGTTTTCTTTTTAAGACCACTTAAAATGCGCTTCTTGCCGCCCTGGAGTAGTGGGGCCGATGCATTGTCTATTTGTGGCGTGTCCAGACTAACGCACAGTGCCAGCTTTCGGAACTGTTCTGGCAGTGCAGACCATCTTATTCTCCTGACTGGGAAGAAGCAACGGTGGATCCAATCAATGTCCAAACAACAAACTGTTGCGCGCGCATGTGTCTCAAATTCTATTCCTGCATTACGGTGCCCGCCTTGACCAATATCCATGTGAACCCCATCGATCATCGGCGGCTGCGGGGAATGGTATCTGTCTTGACGAGGCGACGAAGGTACATAAGACAGTAGGTACATCGTCAATCTTCAGCCAATTCATACATACATTATCCTTCCAGTCTCCGGCCATTACCATCTATAGGGCTTTCCTGTTCAAAGACTCTCAATCCACCAAAAGACCCAATATCACGTTCCAAGCCTCTACGTCCAGGATCCACCGACCATCCCAAACAATGGGCAAAACATTCAAACTCACTGATATCCTGTTAACCATTCCACTGGATGTACTCCGCGCCGCAATAGCGAACCAATTACCAGTGGCGGAGACACAGGGCCTCATCGTTTCGCTCTGCCGGGATCCCGAGCAAAATGATTCGCCCTATCATCAGATCGCCACCGTCACTTTCCCCGGCCAAGAGCCAGCCGCGCTGTCAAAGTGCAAGGAGGACGTCCCAGTATCTTGGGACCTGGTCGGTGTTGGTATAGTGGTCGCTGATGTCGACTTCTACAATATGACGCCGCTATACGCTGCGACTAATCCGCGCTGCGAGTAAGGAATCCCCGGCCACTCTACCTCATAATCTTGAGATTGCGCATGATGAGAGGTGAAATGTAGTATCATCGCGGTGACAGGTCTCGCCGGCCATGGATTCGGCTCTTGGAAATCAAGGGGCAAGCACGACATGTGGCTGAGGGACTTCCTACCGCAGGATCTGAAAAAATTGCAGCCCAGAATCTTGACTTGGGGCTACGACGCGAAATTGACGAAAAGTGAAACCCAAAACAATTTGGTTGAATATGGGAGGCAGTTTATGGACGCCGTCAACGCGATTCGTGAGGTAAGAACAATATCTTTTGCCTGGTGCGCAGATAACCAGCATTGACAATCCCATCATTCAGGACAAGTACCGCCCGATAATCTTCATCGGCCATAGTTTTGGGGGCTTGGTCATCAAGCAGGTACCTAGTTCCCCACATTATGAACAAGTTGACCCTGTAGACGGATGTTAACACTGGGATGATTGCAGGCACTTTGCAACCCAAACACAGAAATCAATTCGATGGATGAACAGATCTACAACAGTTGCGCTGGAATCTTCTTCTTTGGCGTCCCAAACAAAGGCCTCAACCACGAGAACCTCCTGGGCATGGTGGAGGAAGCGCCCAGTAAGGCACTCGTCGAAGACTTGGTCTTGAAAACGAACGCTCTTCAGGTGGCGTACGAGAACTTTCTACAATACTTCAGGACCGACGACCTCCACTTCACTTCGTATTATGAGACGAAACTGTCACCCACCGTGTCAAAGAACGTAAGCTTGACTGATTCCACCCATTTTACCCGCGCCTCGGCCCCCCCGACCCGACGCTGATCATCGGTACTTATATAGGCCACGACCGGCAAGTTCGAGCGTACGGGACTAAAGGTGATGATGGTTACCAAGGATTCCGCCATGTGGACCAGTCCGAATCAGGCGATTCAGAAGATGGTGCCAATTGATGCCGACCACTCGGAGATTGTCAAGTTCATGTCACTGACGGACGTGAACTACCTCGACGTGAGGGGGCGGATCGAAAGATGCATGGCAGATTCACAACGCGTTATATTAGAGCGATGGAGGAAGCTTGGGCGGCCCCTGGAGGAGCCCATCTGATCAATCATCAACCCAGGTGATCTGGCTGGATGCAATGGGAGGTTGCCGGGTGGAACGGCTCTTTGACGGCGGTGCGAAATATTTGCGGGATGTTATGAGTTCTGTGCAAGGCTGGGAATGCGATCATGTACTTATTGATGTTTGAATTTTGGAATACTGGCTCGGGGAATTGGATCCAAGGAGGTTTGACTCGATCTGCTTTCCGCGTGACGAAACTCCACCAAGGCAGCCACTCGGGACACGGCTTGATATCCTAAGCCTTTCGACCGCTAAAACCGACAAGCACATAATTACATGCTAGGAGCCGCTTTCTAGTGCGAGTTAGCTTAGAGAAACCTGTAACAGTGCGAGAGCCTAATAGTATTGGGATATATCACTCGATGCTTCGTCAATGGAGAAGGCACTGGCCTCTACCCTTATTTCCTTCTGGCGCAGCAATGAGCCGCCGGCGAGAGAGCTTTCTTTCTTCCTCTGTGAAGCTGGCAGGAAAAGATTTGTGTAATCTCTCTCTCGACTCTCGGTATTCTCTTTAAACACATCAATACTTCTTTTTATCACGAGTCTTCACCATTTCCAGCGGATGCGCGAAGTGAATCCGCGAGTGCTAGTGCGTGAGTTCGAAGCCTTACTACCAGAACGAACCCCCGGACCAACCCTCCCATGTGCAGGTGGTCCGCGTCTAGAGCTGCTCGTTTAATTTCCGGTTGGATTCAATCTGTAGCTCTTCTGACATCGCCAGGCCGAGGCGAGTCACCATCAATCTTTCATCTGCACGTCGATATCCCATTGACTAAACCGCAATATTGGGATAGGTATATCGATAAGTCGAACTATCGTTCGTGACCGGGCCCCACCTGCGATTCTAGCGCGATTAACTGGTATCCTGACCTCATTATTGAGCCAACAAGCAGTCAATTTAAACACGTGCTTCCAGCCTTTCCCATATTCTACAGAGAGTAGCCCTCAGCCAACCCACCACCTCAATCTCGACTCCTTCCATCAACCCTTCCTTCACCGCTCAAGCCCTCACCGCTGCAAAAAAAGGAACACGCACCCAAGCAAAGGAAAGAAGTAATAACGGCCGGCCCCCAATCCATCCTTCTGTGCTTCCTTGTCCGGGTATCATTTATCCATCCATCCATCCATCCATCCATTTCCCCATCCATCCATCCATCCATCCATCCATCCATCAATTTCCCCAGTTCGATCCATTGCTAGCCAACTTCTATTCAACTACACCTGCAAACAACCTCACCCAGAGCGCACTGAAACGCAACCGCATGGCCACAATAGTAATGGCGACAAAGAAACCCAGAATCGACGGCAGCCTGTCTTCATTCCTCGCTCAAGACATCTCCATCTTGCGCCTCTCCCGACGGTAGCGGCATAGCGGCAGCGATTTCTGTAGGTGGCAAATCGGCACCCTTGCGCCGCGGTACCCTTCCAACCGTATCATTCATATGGCCATCCTCAGACAAAAACCTGTCGAGATAAGAATAGACCGCCTTATTATCCGCAACTCCCGCCAATTGCCACGGCTGATACCCATCGCCATCCCGTTCTTCCAGCTTGGCTCCGCGGCGGACCAACAGCCTCGCGACCGACTCCCACCCGGAATACGCGGCCCAGTGAAGTGGTGTCATTCCCGCCAGGTCCTTCGCATTCACCTCGGCACCAGCGTCGATCAACCGCTTGCAGATGCCGGCGGTGTAAAAACTAGCGGCCAGGTGCAGAGCAGTTCCTCCCGTTCGATCGGTGGCCGCGACATCAGCACCCATCGAGATAAGGAGCTTAACGATATCCCTCCGCTCCTCCTGGATGGCCATGTGAAGGGGCCTCATCCCGTCGGCGTTCCTGGCCGTGATCTTGGCGCCAGCAGTGACCAACAGCTTCACCATCTTTATGTTACCGTTCTTTACAGCAAGGTGGAGGGGCGTGTCGCCTTCGCGATCCCAGACCTTGGTCTTTGCTCCCTTGCCGAGCAATAACATTGCGATGCGGCGGTGGCCCTTCTCCGCTGCGATATGGAGAGGTGTCCGTCCATCCGACTGGAGAGGATGCGATGCACGTTGGAACTTAGAATTGGGATTCGCACCCTGTTCCAGAAGATGGGCCACAGTGTTCGTCAATCCGCGACCGGCGCCCCAATGTAAGATGGTTGAAGCATCGAGGAACTCGATCTCCTTGCCCATACGATAGAGGGCGTGTGTCAGGAGGATGTACAAACGGCGATTGGTTCGGGAGAAGCGGTTCAGATCGCGCTCGAAGAGTAACTCGCCTATCTGGAGTAGGATCTCGCTGGGTAGGGATTGGATAGAAGTCGCTCCCAAGATGGACGGCAAGGAGGTTGAGATGGATGTTGTCCTCAGGCACAGTCCACCGACGGTAGGATGTGGGATACCGTGATGTTCCCTGCCATGATTCTCATCGCACCGCTGATCTTCTTCTTCTTCGTCACCGGCTTTCTCGTGGTCACGTTCGTCGGCGCCCTCGTCTTCAGACTACGCAGAAGGTCAACCATGCAACCTTCCTTCGTCATTCTCTCACGAGCTAAATAAATATGCGTCGCACGTATGCAACGTGACGGATGGAATGCGGGGGGTGTGTGTGAGTGGGTTTGGGTAGATAGACAACATACACGATGATGATAATTTCCGGCACCTGGTGCTCCCCCCTTTCCGCCGCCATCACTAGCACCGCCACCACCGCCGCCACCACCACCATGACCGTTCAACAAAAACTGAGGACTGTGGTTGATTCTCTGTGGAACCCGCCATTTCATTGGTGTTGGCGACGATGGCGGCGTGGTATTGGTGTCGCTGCTGGCATCATCGCTACCCCGGTCACCCGAGCACCTCCCCGCACTAGACGATCGTGGCGCCTCAGAGCTCCAGCACGAGCTACTACTCCCGCTGCTGCTGTTCGTAGGCGATGGTGCCCTCTCGTTCGCAACTTCCGTCAGATCCTCGGTCATGTTCGATTCGTCGTGTACCGAGCTCGTCGGAGGTAGGCAGCGAGCCTGCTTCCGCTTGGGGCTGATGGGCGTCTTTTTGGGTCGCGAGTCTGGGTCGCCCGAAGTGTTTCGCTTTGGGCGCGTCATCGTGAAGGTGGTAGTAGTAGTAGTAAGAATAGCAGTGATAGTAGATCAGTGGCGGGGCGGGGGGCGGGCGGAAAAGAATGAAAAAAAATCCGGGGAAAGCTACGGGATGACAGAGGGAATAGTGCGGGGTGAAGGTAGAAGGGGGAGAGGATGCAGGGGTGGGGGGGGTGGGGGAGGAAGGCAAGGTCGCGGGAGGTATTGAAGAGGTGAAGTGCAAGTTCGTTGTGCGCTTCGGACGGGTGTGTGGAGGATGTGGTGAAGGAGAGTGGGAGCAGGTGTGGAGGGGGAGAGGGTGTGAGGGGAGATTGTGTGTTGGGGTGACGGTGCGTCGCCCTGTGCTCTTTCTATGTATCTTTCACTCGCGCCGAACTCTCTCACTCCGAACTCTCACTCTCTCTTTCACCCCCCCACGGTGGGTAGGTGTCATGCACAGCTCAGGTAACCCAGCCAATGGTAGCCAGCCAACGCCAATTCCGCAATCACAATCCCTCAAAGCCAACACGACCACGCACAGGCCTGAACACAGCGACTCATATGTACGTAGAAGCAAGGTCACGGAGGAGAGCAAGTACTTGTTACTCATACTATCGTGACTTCGAACAGCTCACCTTTAGCAGTTACAATGTTACATACCATAAATACCGTCGCGAGGATCGATCGATGACTAAGACTACCCGGCTGCAGTTATGCTCTGCAATTACCAGCAACAGTCATCTAGGATTCCCAGCTCGTTAACGAGTGTTCCCAAGACCGCCGGAACCGAGAGTGTTGATTGTTGGGTGCGACGATGGCACGTGCTTGCTTTGGAGTGGGGGCGGTCACAGTTAGTCACTCGCGGTGTCATCATTGTCGTTTGGCCCGACAGTGGCCAACACTCGATCGCCGCATCGTCGCCGCCACAACCACGGAAGTCGACCGTTCGGCATGAATAGACAATCCAGCCGTGATGCCCTAATGCCGTGGAAATCTCTAGTGCATATTTGATCTCACTCGCCAAACTTGCCAGCCCTTCAGGCTGCCGAGCCATCACCCCTTTCGGCCCCCACACGCGGTCAACCCCTCATCCCAATTGACCCCGCAGTTGCCTCCCTGAACTATCCACGCATGTCCAGCACAATATGTAAGGCTAGTAGCTATGCACCCTGCAGCTGCAGGCCAAGAGGCCGAAGCTTAAGCACTACGGCATTTCGACGCTGCAGATCAACGGAATGGATGAGACGAAAATCGACTTGGAGCGACGACGATGAATGCCGTCGTGCGGGACAACTTCTCCGAGTCCCCCACTCGTGAACGTAATTCTGCGATGCTCCGAGAGGTCACTAAACCGTGGGCATCCGCACAACATCACTAGCACTAGATCCGGCGAGACTATCTAATACCTATACTGTCTAACAAAGAATAGCATTCATTACGACATTAAAAGTCTTCCCGAAAGAGACCACAAATACCCAAAGCTACACAAGATATCGAAAACAAAACCCCTTATTCGTACGGAATAACATTACCCCCGCCCTGACTCCGTAGTCTCGCTCTTTCCAGCGGACTCATCTGTTGCTGCTGCTGCTGTGGTGGTGGCGGCTGGTGCGGAGGCCCCATCAGCCCTGGGCTGGACGGCCCAGGTGTCCGAGACTTCTCCACCCTCAATGGCGCAACCGTCGGCGCCGTCGTTGTACCCAAACCTTCAAGAACCATCTCCAGGTTCCCAACCACAACCCCATACTCCTGCATCATTCCCTTGACACGCTCTTCCAGCTCAGCCTCGACGGCTTCATCCGCCATGCGGTACCTATCTTCAAGTGCGTTTTCGTCTTCGCCCTTGATCCTGGCCTCGGCGAGAGAAACCTCATGATCTGCCGCGTTCAAGACTAGTGATGCGACGTGGGCGACCTTCATGAGGTTTTCGGCCACTTGCAGGGAGCCCTTGAGGGTTGCGTGGGCATGGAGAAGTTCCCCCTTCAGATGGGCCTTGTTGCCTGTGTATGCGGATGGTGGTCCGGGTAATGCCGCTAGGATCTTGTTGATTTCCATCGTAAGTTGGGTGATGTAGTTGAGGTCCTGCTCGAGACCTGTATCCACAGCGAGCTCGATCACGGAGAGGAGGGTTCGCGTGCGCATCTGTTTTTCGCGGCAACTAGCGAGGGTGCTGGTGGACCATAGGTTAGTTTTTGGAGAGAACGCGGGTGGGATAGAATCGAATACTTACAGTTTCCGTTCACTGTCGTCGAAGTGTTTGATCATGGTGTTCATCTTCTTGATATCGTTGACAACCTTCAGTGGTTCGGTCACGGTCTTTCTGAACCTGCGATCTCGGGCCACAATTGCCTCGTGAACTCTGGCATGTCTCCTTTCGGCCATTCCATCGAGACGAACCAGAGTCTGCAAGACGGCATCACGCTCAGGCCGACCAGCCGCATTCCACCTATCTCTACCGGCGACAGAACTGGCCAGGAATTCCCTACTCGTTCGGAAGTGGAGATTCATAACGTTCTTGATTCCCTCCTGTAGTTGATTGTAGACGGGCTCAAAGACTTCTGTCACGTAGCGGTCATACGCATTTTTCTCTTCTTCCTTCAGGAGCATCTCTTCCTTCTTGTTGAACTCGTCATCCATATCGCCGATATCACCATATCCGATCTTATTGGCCGCGAAGAGGCTATCGATGTAGTCTTGATGCTCCTCTTGTCTAGCCCGACGTTCTTCATCGAACTTTTTGCGGTTGGCCAACGCCTTCGTATCGAAATCTGAGGTTAATTTGTCGATAAACGAAAAATCCTCGCTGATATTCGTGAGTGCTAACTTCGTGTCCTCCAACGCGCGAGACTTCTGCCTCGTAGTACCCTTAGGCGGCAGCAGACGCGTGAGATCTCGGGTGACTGTGTCAGGAGCTATGGGAGCAGGAGCAGGAGGGACTGGTTCTTCGTGAGACTCTTCGAAGGAGGGGAAAAAGTCGTCCGAAGCACTCTCCTTCATTGGCAGGAAAGTCTCGTCCACTCTGGGAGCAGGCCTTGTAGACAAATCCATGTCGACCGTTGTTCCAGCCCGGCGAATGGGTCCATACTCCGATTGCGGACGTGCCGTAGACGTTTTCCCAAAGGGGGTGACCTCGGCGTCCCGATGGAACGCTGTGTAGTCTGCGGTAGCGGAATCCACAGGTGCTTGTGCCCCAGAGAACGAATTCCTTCGTTGGTTGGAACACGCTGTGATTGTGCCTGGCTTGTATGGTGCATATGTGGGCTGTCCGGCTTTAGGCGGCTCCGGGGCTGGAGAATTCGGCTTTGGTGGGTTTGACTCCGAAGTACCTAGTGGCTGAGGATGAAGTGGTAAGCGGCTCTCGACGGAAGATGGTCGGAATGGCGCGTATCCAAGTGCAGCAGGTGGCTCCACAAATTCCTGACGCGTGAGTTCTTTGTTTGGAGTCGCCGCGGGATATTGCTCTTGCGGCTTGGGATATTGCTCTTCCGGTTGTTGGGGATATTGCTCCTGCTTGTACCCCGGGTATCGCTCCTGCTGCTCAGGATACTGTTCTTGCAGCGGCGGAGGATGTTGCTGCTGCTGCACTTGCGCCGGGTATTGCCCATTTTGTTCTTGGGGATACGGTTCCTGTTGGTGCTGAGGATATTGCTCCTGGTTGTACACCGGGTATCGCTCTTGCTGCTCGGGATATTGTTCTTGCGGCTGAGGCGGATGTTGCTGCTGCACTTGCGCCGGGTATTGCTCATTCGGTTGCTGGGGATATTGCTCCTGCCTTTGCACCGGGTATCGCTCTTGCTGCTCGGGATATTGTTCTTGTGACTGCGGAGGATGTTGCTCAAGTTTCTGCGCGGCATAGCGCTCCTGCTGTTGCTGCGGGTAATCGATTGGCTCTGTACCGACATGTGCTGCACCCTCACAGCCGGTTTCCTGTTGCGAATGGTCTGTCGCCAGCAAAGCCTGGTTCTGCGCAGCTACGGGCGGTGTATACGCAATCGGCACAGCCTGTACAGGCTCACAGCCGACAACTGGCACTGATATAACTGATTCAACGTGTGCGGAACGGTGCTCGCAGACGGGGTTTTCGACTTCAACCGGGGCTGTGAACGGCGTAGGAGGAGGAAATTCTACTGCGGGCGCGACTGCAGAAGGTTGAGTCTCCGCAACCACCGGAAGCCTTGCCAGACTACCTTGCCTGCTCGGCGGATCACCGATCGCGAGAGGATACTTTTGCCCTCGAAGGAAGTACTCCTGCTCCATAAAGTCTTTGAAAATTTTCAACTTTTCCTCGTCCTTGGGTGCAGCAGCCTCAGCTTCAATCATAACGATAAACCTCGTGATGGAATCCTGGTAAAATGGGTCCAATTCCTGAAGCCGCTCAATTGTTGCATCTTCCTCGGATTGCTCCATATTGCGATGTGTTGGCTGTTCAGCTTGTTGTAACGCAGGAACCACGATCTGATCAATTGTGAACGCCGTGGGTGTCGAGTCAGCCGGCACCCCGGGTTGTACAGATGGAGGGATGTCGCCCATAACGGATGGGGTTGTCGATTCGACTAGGGGATGAACGGTGTTGGACTGCGGTTGCCATGTTTGTGACTGAGGGTTCACTGCCGGCTCCTGTGAAGAGGGCGGTACATCGGAGATGATGTACCCAACATTCATCTGAGGTTGTGGTGTTGTAAGGCTAGGGTCCGCACTTGGATGGCTTGGGGACAAGTCAGCCGGCTTTTGCTCTACGACACGCGCCGGAATGGGTGTCGGAGAGGCCTCTGCTGTGGCACCAACGGGCTTCCGATCACCATAAATCTCTGGGTGCTGCGCTGGGTGAATGTTTGTGGGAGATTTGTGCACTGGGGATTCCGCTTCGTCGCCCGGCCCATCCGCATAATACCCATCATATGTTTCCCAGCTCGTGAGCCCGCCGGAAGCGAATACATTTGCGGAAGTCCACGCCGAGCCTGCTGGTTTTGGGGGCGAGGGGGCTTTTGGTGTCGGTGGCTTCGGCGGGGGAGTCGGAGCCCACCGGTACTCCTTTAGTGGAGGTTGTGGTTGGGCCTGGAGTGCTGGTGGAGGTGTGGCGGCTGTCGCAGAAGAATACTGCTGGGATGGTTGAGGTGGCTGTGGAACTGGAGGTGGAGTCAAGCTTTTTGGTGGCTCGTACTGGTACTGGGACGCTGCGGGGGGTGTGTACGTGTAGGTAGGGGCCGTTGCTGGAGCAATCGGCAACACAGGTGGTGGTTGTGTGGGCTCATGTGGCTGTTGGCTCTCATGGAAGGGGTTTGGCGGTGGAAGTGGCGGTGTCGCAGTCGTGAAGGTATATATTTGCTGTGATAGTAGATGTTGTGGTTGAGGCGGCGGTGTTGGTTTCGCTGACTCATTATTGTAAACTTGCGCGTTCTGGGGGTATGCATAGTCATTGGGTGGAGCCGCAGGCTGCGGTGGAGTTGAAGTTGACACTGGATTGCCGAGGTGGTTATAGCCTCCTCCTGCGGAAAACGGAGTCGCCTGTCCAAGCGTGGGAGTCGAGTGTGGCTGTTGCCCATACTGAGTTGCAGGTGGTGGGGAGGTTGGTTGCTGGGATTGCCCAAATTGGTACGGAGATTGACTTTGTGTCTGCGAGATATTTGAACATCAGCCCCACATAACTTGGAATTTGGTCAGCGGAAAACGCACATTGTCGGTCGTCGCACCACTTGTAGTAGGTACTGGCGGCTGAGACATCGAGTAATAATCCCCAAGAGGTTGCAGTTGTTGCTGTGGCGGCGGCGGTGGTGGCGGCGGTGGCTGAGGCTGCTGAGGTTGAAACTGTTGAGGTTGCTGGGGTTGCTGGGGCTGCTGGGGCTGCTGGAGCTGGTTTGAGTTCCAATGGTTTTGGACCGGGGAGTAACTTTGCTGAGGCGGTGGAGGAGGAGGATGCTGTTGCTGTTGCTGTTGATAGGGTTGCTGTTGATAGCCGGGCTGGTTCCATGGCTGCGGAGGTTGATGGGCAGTAATCGGAGTTTGCGGCGTCTGGGATAGCGGCGGAGGCATTGGAGCCTGGTATTGATATTGCTGATGTGGAGGGGGTGGTGCGGGTTGGCCGGTGGCATGGGAACCGTACATGCTTGGTGGCACATACTGTCCATGCACTATTGGCGCTCCGTTAGGATTATATCCAGTCCCTGAATTCGCCTGAGGTCCAAACTGAGGCGGAGGTGCCGCGGGATTGTACCCTCCTTGCGACGGCTGTGGCGGCCATGAGTATTGCTGCTGCTGCGGCGGAGCGGTCGGCGGTAGGGGAGGAGGCGGAGGGCCCTGATTGTGGAAGTATGGTTGCTGAGGCGACGGTTGGGGGTACGAGGGAGGCGGAGGAGGGGGAGGCTGTTGATAGTGGTATTGCTGCTGTGGAGGCTGCTGGTACTGAAAGGTGCCGGTGTGTTGCAGTGGAGCAGGACGGAAACCGTAATCTAACTTCCTCAGCACAGCTCCTCTCTTCTCACGTACATGTCGACCTACCCTGAGCGGCATTTGGCGCAACACCCGTTGCTGTTCCAGGCGCGATGGCACCCAGCGGAGCGTGGGAATTCGCCTGAGGTGCGCCCCCAGGAGGACCTCCGGGGAAGGAGTACATCTGTAGGAGCGAGGCTGACGTAAATTCTGGGTTGGGACGATGGAGTGTTTCGCGTTCAGTATGCCGAGATGCAATTGTGGGTCCGGACAATGGAGTGTAGTTATCGCGTGTAGTACGCCGAGTTGCAGTCGCAGCTGGTGGCCAGACAATGTGCGGGGCCCAGTTGATCGTTCGAAGTGGCTGGCTGTCGCACAAGAAGGGGCAGGGCCACTGAATGTTGAAGGTGATGCGTCGAAACAAGCTGTAGCTCAGCCGCATCGCTTGGCTCTCGCTTGAGTGGCAGCTCATGTGAGCCATGCCCCATAGGGAAGGAACATGCCGCGAGTGTGCGATGAGTCCACGACCTGCACTTTGGCGCTTGACAGGGCCCGACCTAAGCGGGGCGTCCACATGAAAATGCCCCACGTGACATCATGAGGTCGCGATGATCATTAGAATGCGATAGCCTTGAGCGATCGCGCAGCAAACCACATCAGCTGCCCGGAACGCGCGTGCTCGGAATGGCGCGAGCATGTCAACCCCCATCCGCCGAGCGGCCGGGGTTGATGAACCGAAATGGCGTACCGTCAACCCGATTCTCAGTCGACAGTGCTGACATAGGTATAGCCGTTTGTGGGGCTCTCGAAATGGCGTCGATGTCGGTAGGTCATCAGTGTTTCCGGCCATCTCCGGTAGCGGAGGAGAGGTACGCCTTCCATAGAGATGCATCCAGACCCCCGGGATGACGGTTACTACAACCACTCACTCGTCCGCAAGGATTGTCCAGTAACCAGCCTGGTCACGTACGAATGGCCCTACCAGAAGTTATGAATTTATCTCTCTCTCCGCTTGCTACCACTATCTGCTCCCGTCTATGCTCTCTCGTTCAACTTTCTTCCGCCGACCCACCCATCCGTTCGTCCTTGCAAAGCGGGCTATCTCCGTCCTACACCTTAGTCCTATATGAAGTCTATCCGTTCCTGATTTTTGCTTGAAGCTGCTCCGCAGAGTGCGAATTCGTTGTTTATTGAAAGCGATCACTGGTCCCAATAGCTTTGTTTCCCGGTAAGCCCCTCCGAAAAAATACGGGTTAATGGTGGCTTGTTTCTGCAAGTGGTGGTCATTTCGTTACCAGGAGGTAAAGAATTCCCAGTTCCCGAGGCCTGCTGAGTGCGGGGTGGGAGTGATTTCGATAACGGTATTTTGCATTTGATGTGATGAGATGATCTTTGGTGAACATATTGTCGAAAAAAAATATATATATTTATCAAATCGCGGTCGGAATTGCGCCCAATGCTTACTTCTGGCAACAAAATGTCTCTGTCGTTCGGGGGGTTGCCGAAGTAAGGAAAGTGAACCTCTGACGCCTGCCTGAAGGTTCTGCTTTGGTGGCATTGATATTGACTGCAGTCCATGTATTGATCGGGTGAGGAATCTGCTCGCAATGCAGAGCTACCCCCATGACTAACGTTTCGATGGTGTAATCTGTATCGCTGTGGCCGATTTTTCTGGAAGGAGCCATGAACGAAATATAGAACAGGTCGTCAGTGGTCCATGGTCGCCATTGGAAGCTCATAGTCTCTCTGTAACGGCACGGTCGGGCAAGGCTCCAGGTAGCGAAGCCGGGCTGGGGGTCGGGTTCTGGGTTCGGTAGAGGCAAGACAGGTTCAGGGGACAAGGTGAGGCAGGGCTCAGTGCAGACGGCAACTGAGAACAGAGGCAGGGACAAGGACTACGGCGCAGACGGCAGCCGAGGCAAGGGCAGAGGTAACAGTGATTGAATTGACAAGTTGTTGCGTGAAGAACTAAGTACAGAGGGGCAACGGCCCGTTTATATAGGAAACCCTGCACTTCTTCTCGCAACCTGACAATAACCGTGGGCGTGTGCCAGACCCTGAGAAATCCACCTTGCCAGTACCCCCGCTTCCGTGACTCATACCCTGCGCAGCCGCACTACCCCTGCTTACTGCAAACAGCCCCAATTCCTCCGGCTCATTCCTGCATTGCCGCCCGCGCAGCCCCTTGCACTGCCCCCGTGCTGCCTTCCCACCCCTGTTCCGACTCTTCCTCGAACATCCCGTCGCGAGCCGTGACACTCTCCCGCCACAAAACGGAATGGTTGGTAATTGTGACACTCTGGTAGGTATCTGTAACGGCACTGTCGGGCAAGGCTGCAGGTAGCCAAGTCGGGCTGGGGATCGGGTTCTGGGTTCGGTAGAGGCAAGACGGGTTCAGGGTACAAGGTGAGGCAGGGCTCAGTGCAGACGGCAACTGAGAACAGAGACAGGGACAAGGACTACGGCGCAGACGGCAGCCGAGGCAAGGACAGAGGTAACAGTGATTGAATTAACAAGTTGTTGCGTGAAGAACTAAATACAGAGGGGCAACAGCCCGTTTATATAGAAAATCCTCCACTTCTTCCCGCAACCTGACAATGACCGTGGGCGTGTGCCAGACCCTAAGAAATCCACCTTGGCAGTACCCTGCTTCTGTGACTCATACCCTGTGCAGCCGCACCACCCCTGCTTCCTGCACACAGCCCCAATCCCCTGCGACTCATTACTGCGCTATCCCTGTGTAACGGCACGGTCGGGCAAGGCTCCAGGTAGCGAAGCCGGGCTGAGGATTGGGTTCTGGGTTCGGCAGAGGCAAGACAGGTTCAGGGGACAAGGTGAGGCAGGGCTCAGTGCAGACTGTAACGGCACGGTCGGGCAAGGCTCCAGGTAGCGAAGTCGGGCTGGGGATCGGGTTCTGGGTTCGGTAGAGGCAAGACGGGTTCAGGGGACAAGGTGGGGCAGGGCTCAGTGCAGACGGCAACTGAGAACAGAGGCAGGGACGAGGACTACGGTGCAGACGGCAGCCGAGGCAAGGACAGAGGTAACAGTGATTGAATTAACAAGTTGTTGCGTGAAGAACTAATTACAGAGGGGCGCCGGCCCGTTTATATAGGAAATCCTCCACTTCTTCCCGCAACCTGACAATGACCGTGGGCGTGTGCCAGACCCTGAGAAATCCTCCACGCCGATACCCCCGCTCCAGTGACTCACAGCCTGCGCTGCCGCGCTACCCCTGTCTCCAACACACAGCCCCAATTTCTCCGACTCATTCCTGCATTGCCGCCTGCGCAGCCGCCTGCGCAGCCCCTGCGCTGCCTTCCGGCCCCTATTCCGGCTCTTCCTCAAACTTTCCGTGGTGAGCTGTGACAGTAGCCCCTCCTCAGGCTCGAGTTCCCACGAGAGCAAGTTGGACTGGTCCAGGCTTCATCGGGTACCGTTGGTGGAAGCCGTCCACCGCTTGTACGTCTGCCAGGTTCTCCTCGGGTTCCCACGTCGGTGCTGCGAAACCCCTCCACTTGACTAGGTACTGGAGTCTTCCCCTCAGCGTTCGGCTGTCCAGCACTTCCTCCACCTCCCATTCTTCCTGGTCGTTCAGGATTACCGGCAATGGTGCATCAGGATCTGGCCGGGGAGGGGGTCGTCGGCGGATGCGTGGAGGAGGGACACTGGAAAGGTGCGGTGCTTCTGGATGGTGTTGGGGATGTCTAGTTCGTATGCGTGGGTTCCGATGGCTCTGGTAATTCGATAGGGTCCGTGGTGGTTGTTTTCCAGTTTCCGGCTGGGTCGCTCGGTCCGCCAGTTTCGGCCGTCCACCCATACCATGTCTCCAGGCTGGAAGGCCGGTGCGGGGGTTCGGTGCTGGTCCGTGTTGTCCTGCTGCCGTGCCTGGGCATAGCGCATCTCGCTGCGGGCAACGTTGTGGATCTGCTGGAGCCGCTCTGCCGCTGTCTGTGCATCTTGTTCTTCGTTTGTGTCGGTTCGGATATCAAGCTCGAAGTCACAACGCGGGTGGTAGCCAAGGTTACCAAAGAACGGGGACAGGGTGGTGGTGTCGGATGCCTGGTTGTTGCCAGTGAACTCTGCCAAGAATAGGTAGTCAACCCAGCCGTCCTGCAGGTAGCTCACGTATGCTCGGAGGTGTTGTTCCATGACTGCGTTCATCCTTTCCGTTTGGCCGTCGGCCTGAGGGTGGAACGCGGTGGAGAGCCGTGCGTCGATCTTGAGGCAGGCGCCCAGGTGTTTCCAGAATCGTGACGCGAACTGGGGGCCTCGGTCCGAGAGAATGGTGTCGGGTAGCCCGTTGTATTTGAAGATCCGGTCGCAGAACAGTTCCGCCAGTCCCTCCGAGGTGATGGTCGTGTTGCAAGGGAGTAGGTGTTGTTGCTTGGTGAGCCGGTCCACGAAGACACATATGGCGTCGAATCCTTTCGAAGGCGGCATTCCGGTTACGAAATCGACGGAGATGTGTTGCCAGGGTTTCTGTGACACCCCGATAGGTATCGGAGGTCACGACGGTCGCAAGAGATGTGATTAGATAGTTCCTGTGATTAGAATAGAGTTGCGAGCCGAAAGGATAGTTAGAAGCGATCAAGGACAAGATAGGAAGGAGGGAGCAAACGGATTCCAGAGTCTAGACAGTGATCGGAGATGCGGGAGATCGGGATAACAGTCCAGAGGACTTTGAGATCTCCGATCATAGGGCCCCGCAGTAGGAACTCCGATCCAGGAAAAAACTGTTATGACGAGAGAATCGAACATCGACCGATGGGGGCAGACAACTTCGAGCGAAGAACTCTGCCGGCGCATGAGGGAGATAATTGCTCGGAAACTCCGATCTATCTTGGGCGCGTGGTGTTTACCACCTGCCTAGTCGAGAAGACTATCCGAAGAGAGCTGACGACGATTCAAGGCTAGGCCGCGGAACTCCGATGCAAAGGAAGCAACGGAGCTACGTTAGGCCGCACTCTAGAGGAATCACGTGCTGAGGATCGGGACGACTATAAGTCGAACCGAGCGGGCAACCGAACAAACTACAATGATCGCACCGAACAAACCATCGAACAAACACCCTTAAGATTATTCCGCTGTGAATTATCGAAATCCCTGACTTTTATTCTATCCTCGATTTTACTATAGACTCCGACGACACAAACCCGTCCCAGTCTCACACTATAATCTTAAGGTTACAGTCACCGATTTCTATCGAAAATGTCCTCCTCAAACCTCGACATGCTCCGCCTCGAACTTCCTCAGACCCTGAGCAATGCGCTCGTTAGCATCCCGCAAGCATCCGAAACCGTCGAAGTACGAAACCCGGCAGCCTGGCTCAGGCTGATGAACCACCAATACCAAACGGCACAAAGAGACCTGCGCCAGCTTTACCAAGCATGCGATCAGAAGTTCAACGAAGAGGACTCCCGAATGCAGGAAATCAGAAGGAACTACGAACAACTCTGCGATGGGGTCAAGTATGTGTACAACCTCTACGCTCACAATGCCGAAATGAATACAGAATGGCTTCGAACCGAGCTGTCAACGGTAGCGAACGCGACGCACGCCCTGAGCAGCGACGTATGGGCAGTCATTCGAGAACGTAACCAGAAAGACGAAGACAACCGCGAGTTGCAAAGCGTCGCAAACGCTCGGCT